CGTCTTCCAAGAGAATTTCTCCAACTCGGAACCAATTTGTTAATTTCACGGTTCACGTTTTTTCACATACGTAATGTCGCGTATAAAAGCCGTGCTTATTCCTGTAGAAGCCGATGTCAGTGCTTGGCTTCTATTCAAGTCAGGCTTCTATTCGAACCACAATTCTCTATGTATGGCAATACTAAACCAGACTTATGCGCTTACAGCGTATCTTCAAAATCAGGCTTGTATTCAAAACAGGCTTCTATACGAGACAGGCTTTTATACAAGACACTACAGGATGGCACAACAAGGCTTTACTACAACTTGAAGTACTGAAGCATTGTTGAAGCTCTATATGTTTTGCTGTATGCGTGTGTGTGTGCGTGTGTGCGTGTGTGTGTGTGTGTGTGTGTGTGTGTGTGTGTGTGTGTGTGTGTGTGTGTGTGTGTGTGTGTTGCTGGCTGCCCGTGCACAGAGCTTGAGTTTGAGAACAGTCGACTGAATATTTACATTGAGAAGATCATGGCCAGGGCAATGGAAAAGTGTCCGGAGCTTTTGTCAACGTGATTATGCATCAGCCTAAGTCAGCCTTAACCGTTGTGCTGATATGACGACGGTGGTACACGTGTACACCATTGCATGTGTGTGTGTGTGTGTGTGTGTGCATAAACACGCGTGCACCTGTGTGCACCGTTGCATGTGCGTGTGTGTGTGCGTTCACACGCGTGCGCCCGTGTGCATGTCAACAACCTCGGCCATCTAACCGGATAGGACATGTGTGCGGTTTGCCGGCAGTTCAACCACCGTGAAAGCGATCATTCTGTTCTGCCGTGCCCCCAAGTAAACGAATTGCTCATTGTGCACAGTGGCCAACCAAATGCACGCGTTGGTGATCCGTTCTCGACACTCCGTTCAACGTCACACCATCTCGGCCGACCACTCTTGTGTCTCTGGGAGATGAGTGTGTGACTTGGCTTGCTTGCACGGTGGAAGCAGGGACAGGAATGGCGTCTACCAAAGCTATTGTCGTGTTCGTTGCTTCTAAGTGCTGCGGCTGCCAACCGGAATGCACAATTATCCGATTTGCTGGTGATAACTGTGCCGGGTATATCTGGTAATATTTATAATTTTCGGATTACTTTTCAGCCGTCGTCTATTGCTACTGATGCTGAGGCTGGTTCGTGAAACAGACCACGACCACCAACACCTCCCTGTGTGTGTGTGTGTGCGTGCGCGCGTGTGTGTGGCCACTGCTACACAGCAGCCCCCCCCCCCCCCCCCCCTACAAACACACCCTTCCGCCCATGTGTATACGTGTGCACACAATGCAAAAAGGGTGTAGAACCACCCCACCCGTCCTGGCCTGCCTGCAACGTTATGTACCCGATGCTAGCAGTAGAGATTTGTTTAATGTTTTACGATGGCATATTGTGTACTCGATACTAGCAGTAGAGATTTGTATCATGTTTTACGATGGCATATACCAGATTTCTACCACGCTTACTGCCGCACCAAAGTTGCACTAATCTATGTGGCCAATGATAACAATAATTATTGTCTAGATCAAATCTTAATCCTGACACCCATTTTGTATTATTTACTCACTTTCCAATGAGATGTTTGTCTGACTTTTAAAACTTGAGACCTAACGGTGGATGCTCTTCTGCCTTCTGCACTTGACGGAGTCGACTAGGTGTGTGCACGTGCGAAGTACATGCGTGTGACTTGGGGTAACTGTGTGCGTGTGTGTGTGTTTGTGTGTGTGCGTGTGTGTTTGTGTGTGTGTGTTTGTGTGTGTGTGTGTGCACACGCACGTGTGTGTGTGCGCGCGTGTGCGTGTCAGCTAGTTGGCTGTTGGGTGCACTTATGCCAGGTAGTGGCTTTTTGCCATCAGGTTTGGCGGCTCGAATGCTTACTTGTTCCTGTCTCCTTTCTTGGTTTCAGCGTCCATAATGATTTCTATTTGAAGTACCGTATTTTCCGGAGTATAGTGCGCACTTTAGATGTGCTATTTTAGGCCCTAAATCGCAGGTGCGCACTATACTCCGAATATGAAATGCATGTACTTCAATGAAGATTGAAGTGCGCACCCACAATGAAGATTGGGGTGCGCGTTATACAAAGGTGCGCACTATACTCCGAAAAATACGGTATAAAGGGGCCGTCCGTAATTATCCATCGTTTTTACGAAGAGCAAAAAATTCGTTTGTGGGTGGGTTGAGGAGAGTTTCATTTTGAAAAATATCGATAGCTGCAACATCAATCTATTCTAGCTGTCAAATCAATGTATATTTTTCGTTGAAGGGAGTGGGTGGGTGCGGGACGGTCATAACTAAACTTTTTCGTTCCGTGAAAATTATCGGTATTGCCGGATGGCCCCTCACAGTAGTCAGATACCTGTTGAGCTACTTCTGGCTAGAGTAACTCTTGTGTAACGAATGGTGCTAATATTGCATGTCCTGATACTCCTGAAGCTCCTATCAGACCCACCCTAATTTAGCCGACCAAGTACCGTTGATCCGCCCCTTGTCGATTTTATACCTGTGAAGCGACTTCGGCGTATACAACGAAATACGATGTTGAACCGACGCATGCACTGCTGTACACAATACGTGCCAATCCAGGATGAAAATGTGCACAATAGGCCTTGGCGGATAATGCCGGCAGAAAAATTGGCAGAACTCGGTACTTTTTCTGGTAAGTTTCATGCATGTTTGGAATGTGGATAAAGAAATGGAGCAGAATTCGAGGAATTGCCCGCCATAAGGTTTGTATGGTTCTGCCAATTTCGGTGCAAAAAAAGCAGAATCTGCCACCTTTTCGAGCATTATCCGCCAAGGCCTAGTGCACAATCCAGCACATCGAGTCTGATTTTTACATTGTTGTACATTGTACTGCACTTGACAGCCTCTATCTAATTCCCGCCCCCTGTCGAAAACACAGCTGGGAAGCGACATGGCGTGTGTGTGTGTGGGGGGGGGGGGGGGGTAGTAGCAAGTATCATCTTCACGGGGGGGCAGGGGTAAATGCAGTTGGATCCTGGGACGAATACCTTGATACGGCCATTCCTTTTTCCAAAAGTACATAACCCCCCAGAGTGTGCAACTCCCACATACCCTGCTGTCCCGACAGAATTTCAAGTTGACGTCATTATTAATGACGCAATGCTCCTTGCACCAGTGGTTTACAGCATGTGTACGGGTGTCAACGCATCACACGTTTTTCTTTGCAATAATTTGTACAGGATCGATCGGCTTCGATCAACCACAGGTTCCGGATTCGTCTGATAATCCGTGTACAGTGCGCATTGCATCATCAAAATGACGTCAACTTGAAATTCTGTCGGGACAGCACCCATAGTGGAGTTGCACACTCTGGGGGGTTATGTACTCTTGCTTTTTCTGCACCATGTCCTCTCACGCCTACTGAGGTGTGACAAGCCCATAAGTAGGATCATTTCCAAGTCCTCCCAGAGTTTGGGGATCTCGGGGGATGTCGCCAGTTTGGCGGTTTGACAGCTAGTAGAGTCATCTTTCCAAAATTGCTTTTGAATATCTACCCCCTTTCTAGGAATTCTCAAAGGAATTTTTTAGGTTATTTAATATTTTCGGATATTGCCACACGTACACACTGCTAGATCCACAAAATGGCAGAAGCTCATTTGTAAATTGAAGAGCTGAGATGCAAAACCCGCTTTTAATCCATTTCATCACTTTTCAGAGCATGGCTACAAACAAGGACTTATGTTATGTTTGGTTTGTATCTAAATCCATATTTGGGTTCCAGTTTAAAAAATGATCCTTGTCAGATTTTGGATTAGAAATTTTGACTGGTGGTGCCCCTAAACCTTTTGAATACACTTGAGCTGAAAATCCGATTTTCTCGATTAGCGATTATTATCAGGTTTTGAATCTCAGCTCTTCATGCATTGAAGACAGCTGCATGCAACTGAGGCCACAACTCTACATGCGGTGATGTGCCGTGGTCGTTGAGATGTGTAGTACCATTCAATGTGTGCAGCTCGGTGACCGGCATTCCCTGGCCGCAGTCACGTCACGGTCAGCAAGGTGCCATGCGACGCACCTCTCGTCGCAGCGAGGCAATCTGCTGTCGGTATTGTGATGCCACCGTCTTCCAGCGGTTGTTGCGCTGCTGAGCGTCCTGCACTTGACGGCGCAGTCGTGTTAACTGTGCAAGCTGGCGTTTCTGTGAATGGAGCAGTCACAACAACAACGACGACGACGACGGTGGAGATGACAACAACCGAAAACAACAACAATAGGTGCAATAGCAGCAGCAGCAACAGCAGCAACAACAACAAAAACAAAAACAACGACAACCCGATCTCTTTAATAGCATCACACCCAGCATCCGGCAAATCAACCCCAGACGAGATTTCAAAGCAAACATCCTACCACTTGTCATCTCTTCCGTATGTACCGTAATGTCGCGTGCATAAGCCGGATTTGTGCATAAGCCTGTCTCGTGTAGAAGCATGAAATCTGCAACAGCTTTTCGCGTACAAGCCTGTCGCATGCATAAGCCGGGCCAGTACACGAGACGCGCCACGTGTCGCGTGCGTAAGCCGGGCTACTACGCAAGACTGGTGAGCGCGCCTTTTACATGTTCATGTTTGCATGGTACCGTACACTTGCACACGCGGAAAACGTGGGAAGATGCAGAAATCAACACCAGCTGCGCTCGACGGCCATGCAGCACTCTTCAAGCTTCAAACTTACCTTTCCCATGGCATTTTCCGTCTCCGTCGAAAAAAAAGAAAAAAAATCCCGTTGGAAAATGTTGGTTTTGACGTCCAAAAGTCAGCAGTTTGCGCATACAAGCCTGGTCATTGAGTGGTGCTTGTCATATAAGCCTGTCTCGTGTATAAGCCTGTCTTGTGTACAAGCCTGACTCCATCACCGGCTTATAGGCATATAAGCCCCGGCTAATGCACGCGACATTACGGTACTTGCTCACATTGCTCAGCACATCTATAGCTCCATTGCGCCCAGCCTACGTGATTAACTCCCAATTCGTATTGCCATCGCTACTGCCTCAGCAAGCAGCTAAACTTTGATCTCTCTGTATCTGATCCCCGTGCCTGTAATTATTTTTCTCTTATTGGCCACAGGCCATCGTGAGAATAAAAGAATTCAAACCCGTGAGAATAATAAAGCCTGATTTGAAACAACAACAGCAACATTGGCCATCGCGAGAATAGAAATTCGAAACAACACCTCTGTTTCGATAAGTATATGTAAATAGGAAGGGAAATCCAAGGTGCTGTGAATCACCATGCGAGTAAAACTGGAAAACAATGCAACTCCACGCAGCAATCCCCAGAAAATTCCACGTGCTCTGGGATATGTGTCATCTCAGGCCGCCGCAGCATACAATCAGACCAAACACTATAATATTATAGCATAACCGGCGGAAGCAGTTTTCGATTGGTCCAGCCATACCCTAGCCTTTCATACAGTTTGTGTATGATAATGGAGGGTAGTCACATGACTTTCATACAGAGTGTGTATGATATGGAGGGTAGTCACATGACTTTCATACAGTGTGTGTATGATATGGAGGGTATACACATGACTTTCATACAGTTTGTGTATGATATGGAGGGTAGTCACATGACCTCCTCAACAGTAAACACACTTTGGTGGCCAAACAGTTGGTCCGGCCATGGCCTGACCAACCAGACCGATTCCGCCGGGAGTGCACAGCAGAGAGACTGCTTTCGGGAAATGACCAGTGCTCTGTGCCTGTGTGTGTGTGTGTGGGGGGGGGGGGGGGGCGTGGTTACGATTTTACCGGGGTGACTGACTAGTGGGTCAATGCATTTCCCGTATATTATTATTATTATGAAAATGGCGATTGCCGTGTGTATGAAAATGGCTATAATTTGAATGCGGCACCTTGACAAGTTGTATTGCTTGTTGCGCCTGCTGAGCTTTCTTTGTTTCTTCTTTCATCTATATACATCAAAGTGGAAGAAATAACAGTCAGATGGCATGTGTGGGTATGTGTACAAGTGTGCCAGCTAATTCTGTAGCTAGGCATACGTGCACCAGACACCGCTGGGCCTGTTGCCAACGGGCTCGCCTGCTTGAAGGTGTGTTGTTGTACCTGCCACCTTTTTTGGTTTCAGGGTTCATAATATTTTCTATTTGATTGATATGGTAAAAAAGGAGGACACAATGCTACGAGTTATGACTAACTGTCCACCAACGTAAGCAGATCTTATACAGTCAGCGAGTGAGACAAAATGGCACAAAACTGACAAGGAGTACTGAGACATTCGGCGACCTGACACCTAACTCCAACACTTCTCCAAGGCGCAGACCAACAACCTTCCAACTTGGAAGGTTCTTTGGTTTATAGTTTATACATACCCAGGGTGTCTCTTAGGTCCTCAGGCTGTGTATAGTGCTCTAAGTCTTGTGGATACAGTCAGTACTACAACTCACAAACAGCAACTGTGCACCCAAGTCCTTCCTTGCCATTACTCAGAGTTTCTTGTCTGAAAAAAAACATTCATTGAACGGCAGTTTGATGAGTGATTGACCCTTCATAGTGAACCGTTTTGCTTATAACGTTAACAAGCCATTCCTCGTAGGGCCACATGCAGACCAACTTAAACCAAGTGCACTCACAATTTAATGGGCCTCACGTTAGTCAAGGCATGTTGCTTGTAGCGTGTGGGTGCAGTTCTGTTACAAGGAACTTCGGCCAGAAAGAACTAATTTTCCTGCACAACGGCGGCTGCTATCAGAAGTCGACTGTGTGGTCCATGAATGAGAACACGGCTCTAAAGCATTTTTATAATATCACATCGTTGAAAGCTTCAGGTTTTTCTGCTCCTGTACCTGGGACATGGATGCGGCTAATGGGGCTTCTCGGCACTTGTGCCAGTGGTTGCAAGACTTATCTCCTAGCGCCACCGTTTGGCGCTGCATCTGCTGCTAGAGTTTACCGGGTGGTAGCGGCCGTCGGGAGTTCCTTTTGCGAACGAGCACGCTACTTAACTTCACTTCTCACTTACGTGTGATTGCAGGTCAGTTATAGCTGTGGCCAGCCTAGCCTTCCTGTCCACAAGTGTTTCCTTCTCCGTTTCGAGGTGTGCTCGTCTGTTCACCGTCGTGCTGCTAACAGTGGTAGCTGTAGCGACTTGGTTGCCATGACAGTTGGTGACAATCGGCCGGGTGGAGATGTCACCCGCACACTCTCTGCTATCTTCGTCGTCCATCACCATCGTTACCGTTAGCTGCTGGGAAAGAATCTTGCCTGACCAGGAGAGGCAGCGAGAGGCAAATTGAGGCAAAGAGAGAGAGAGAGAGAGAGAGAGAGAGAGAGAGAGAGAGAGAGAGAGAGAGAGAGACAGACAGAAAGAGAGAAAGAGAGAGAGAGAAAGATACTGAGAAAGATAGAAAGTTAGGTAGGTAGGTAGGAAGAAAACTAGAAAGATAGATTGCACCTGATGATGGTCAGTCGCCATGCACACTATCCGTCTATATTTGGGCGCAAGACAAAGGGAGTGCAAGATGAAGAACTGGGGGGGGGGGGGGGGGGGTAGAACATTTTCCGGGCACATACTACTAAGTAAGTTACTGCAGCATCTGTTTTATGACATTGGAATGAGTTAATTTGGCCGATACCACTTTTATAATGAAGTGCCATTAACGTACTTTAGTGACAGCAAAATACTGTGATGGTCGTTGAAGGGGCTGGGACAGGTATAAGAAAAGAACCGAGAGTGAATAAGTTCTCACATTTGTCTTTCAGCATGCTGGTATCCGCTTTGGCTTTCACCACAGCCATGAACTCGGGCTTCTGTTGCTCTTGCCGATGACTGGCGCTCATGAAGGCCATCATTCTCTTGCGAGACTTAAGTAGCTCACTGTAGCAACAGTACAAACAGATGATCAAGACATACACACACACACACGTGCACACACACACACACACACACACACATCCACACGTGCACACACACACACACACACACACACACACACACACACACATCCACACGTGCACACACACACACACATCCACATATGCAAACACACACACACACGCACACACACACACACCTTTGGACCTTTGGAAAGCCCATCGCCAGAGGCGATGATAGCTAACTTCTAAACAAGAAACACTGCCTCGTCTCGCTTGTGCTTGTGTACCTACTCCCAGCAGGGCGCAAATCCACTGGGACACACACACACACACACACACACACACACACACACACATACACACATACATACACACACATACACACACATACACACACCTGTCCTGTCGAGTGACTCGTGCCACAGCCACAAGTGTCACGTGGGCCCTAGAGGGACAACAGAGAGAGTAGAGGAGAAAGCCGTCCCACTGCATCCGGCTCATAAAAAGGAGAGTTCATCTGGATTCGGGTCATCTGCGACTGTTACCACGAGACTGATGTATGGCCGGGGGAGAACCTGAGTAGCGGTGTCTACTCCTGCCCTCGGCCGAATGGAAACAGCGGTGGCAGGATGCACCGTGTGCACCACAATACGGCACCACTGTGGTTGGGGACTGAGCCACACACTTGTGACGGGCAAGAACGCCACAGCTAAGCAGCTAACGATCGCAATGACATGCTCCACACTGTTCATGCACTGGCTTAGCACTCTCTGCAGTGCACGAATACGCGTGCATGCACACACGCACACACACACACACACACACACACACACACACACACACACACACACACACACACACACACACACACACACACACACACGCACACTGTGACACACACCAGACCTCACCTTCTCAGCCGCAGCTGCCTGCCTTGAAAGTCTGCAATTTCATGTCTTAGTTTGCACTTGATATCGATCAAACTGACAATGCCTGGAGGATAAAATACGGACACATTATACTGTTTACAGTCCAATAAGAATACCGTCGTGTCTTGTATTAAAGCCTATCTCGAATAGAAGCCTGTTGTGAATGCAAGCCTGATTTTCAAGATACACGGTCAGCACATACGCCTGGTTTTAGTGTTGACATACACAGAAATACCTGGTTTCAAGGCCTGATGTGAAGAGAAGCCTGGCCCTTACATTGGCTTCTGCAGGAATAAGCCCGACTTTAATTAATACGCGACACTACGGTATGTGAGGGACGATGATTGGAACATAGTGGGCCTCGCGAACATGACCCTCAGCACAGGCGAAGAAAATACCATAACCTGCCAAGCCGCGGTTAGAAGAGAAGGGACTTTGTTTGAATAGGTGGAGAATACACATGTATGCTGAACAGCAAGGGAGAGGGAGGGGGGGGGGGGGAGTGTTGTACACCAAGGGGGGGGGGGGGGAATTGCCCGAAACTCTGTGTATTGAGCAGGGAGTGGTGCTTTCTTGCAGGTTTGCCAAGTGAAAGGTTTGATGGACTTCTCGTGTGCGTCTGGTTGGCAGTCGTGAGTCAGTCAAGTGTCAAGTCAAGTCGGCGGAAAGGCGTGAGTCCCAGTGCGAGGAGCAAACACCTTTACCATGTACACCTTGCCAATTATACACTCATACGTCAGTTATCCGGACCCCGAAACTACAGATACTTCAGTCTACCGGGCACCCTTTGGGCGAGTTTCAGTTATTACTTCTTTTTGGTCACTCTTTATGGAAATAGTGACGTCATATGCCATATCCATGGCCTTTCCCCATCTACGTGTGTGCGATTTTTCGGAGTTTCGGACATTTCGAAGTTACGGGCACTGCAGTACCTGATCCGTGACCGCCCGAATAACCGATGTATGAGTGTAGTTAAGACATCATTTTGAATCTCCACATAGTTTACCTTGTTTCAACTCCTCGCACTTGGCATCACTTTGAGTGCAGCTGCTTCGCAATATGCATATGTCTTTCTCGATGGTGAAGAGCTTGAGCTGCTGCTCCTTGTTCCTCTTCTCAGCTGCAGGGAAGAAGGAACGTCACGGCAACAGTGACACGTTGAGCCCTGTACCGCATCCATCATGCACATAGTGAATGCACAATTGCACCTTGGGGTGCGCGTTAGTGCAGTATATTTGCGTTTGTATTAAATACGTTGTCGGTGTTGTGCAATGTTATCGCATGAGCTGATTGTCAAGTAACTGCAGTGGTGTTAGTGGACATATAAAGTAACTTGTAGTCCATTGGTCCTTTTTTTTCTACCTGTATTAAAACTAACAAGAGAAAGTTTAGAGTAACTCTCCACCACTGTAACTAGATACTATATACAGTCAGTTTTGTGCCTAGTTGTTGCACTTTCTGACTGTATATAGTATCTAGTTACAGTGGTGGAGAGTTACTCTTAACTCGTTTCCATATGTCCTTTTCCTTTCTACTTTTATTATTGGCTCAATACCCGAGTTTCAAAGAGAAAGTTTAAAAATACTTTAAAAAGTACTCCGAAGGAATCTCTTGTTGCTCTTGTGGGGAATGCGTGGTCGGCTGCAGAGCGCAATGGTGGTGGTGGTGAGGTGGACGCATAATTGTATCACAGACGTTTGCGTCGCTTCTTTACCGGCAGCCTCGTGAATTACAACCTCGGGCGTAGCACTAAACAACTCGTGAATATGGACACTATCCTCAGATTTAGGAATTACTACTTTTATTTGACTGCATTCTTTTAACGTTTCCGTAAAACTCTCAGACTCCATTGCAGCGTAGTTTTTTTTAGCACACTGCAACAAAGCGCGATGATCTCAGCGCAAACGTGGCAAATCCTTGTCCCCGATCGTGGTTTGTTGCAGAATCAAAAGTCCATGTACACTGAAATGGCACCAAATGCCTGGGAATGCTTGCAATTGGCTTCAATTTTTGAATTTTTTTCCCGGGGGAGGGTAATGTTTGTCCCCGATCGTAGCATCTTCTTGGTTTTTTGAAGAATCAAAAAGTCTTTCATTGTAGTTACCGTACACTGAAATGGCACCAAATGCCCGGAAATGCTTGCAATTGGCTTTAATTTTTGAAATTTTTTCCCGGGGGAGGACCCCCCCACCCCCCTTCCATGGCCGCCCCACTTCCAAAGTCGTTCCGACGCGCCTGGAGTCTAAAAATCGAAGGGATCCGAGCGACTTTGGACATCGATTCAAGTCCCCACTGTCAGCAAGACTTCCTCATGCCCAGTCGAGGGCGTTTTCGCAAGGTTGACCGTAGTTTAGAGTGGTAGATCACTCACCAACTGTTATCCGTTTATTGATCTCCTTCAGAGCAGCTCGGCTTTCCTTGAGATTGTCGAACTGCTGGCTTTGTACAGAAACCAATTCAGTGGCCAGAGAGGGCAAATGGAGTTCACCGGTGACAGCCATTGCAGGCAAGACTTCCAGAGCCGGAGGAGCCAGTGTCTTGGAATGATAAAATTGATATGAATTCAAGCAAAGTTAGTTCCACGCTTGTCCTGCGACTGGTGAGGCCATCTCGACGAAACACGCTGTGTAAGGAATGTAGGCAGTCACCTACTCGCTCAACGTTGGTACGATCAAGAATGAAACAATAACCGAATACTGCGCTAGGCTTCACCCATTACCAGGCTGTTCTTAGCCTTTCACATAGATTCAGGATACGAGGCAGGTCCTAGGAGTGGAGCAACGAACTGTGAGCGAAACCACGGATGGAAAGAGCTTTAGGAAGACAGTAGTCAGACACTAGTCTACTCAATGCCAGTAGTACAGTGGACAGCGTCATGTACTACAGTATTTCTTCCTCGGTAAGCCCACTACTCGCAAAGATGGTTCAAAGAACGACCTTTGACCTCTTGTCCGTGCGACGTGCTGCGCGTGCGTTCCACATTCATGTTTTACCATGTCCATGTTTACACGTTAGGTCCGTTGCACACAACGACGTAGATCGATGACAGTAGAGAGGTTCCGGGGTACGATTTTCCGTGCCAAAATCCGTATGGCCGCTACGGATTTTTTCCAGGCGTGCTCCATACGATTTTTCGGCACGAGAATCCGTGTAGACTGGCTTTCATACGAACCATGCTTCGTATGGAGATTTTGCGTCATCGGGTGCAGAAAGATTTTTCGCGTGCAAATTTGGTACGAGAAACATCGATTTTTCGCGGGAAGTTTTGATTTCGGTACAAATTTTCAAAATAAAAAGGCATAGCGCGGGAATGTGACGTGTTTGCGATCGTAACCTAGGCAATGCCGGCAAACACATAAGTTCCGTACCCCGGAACTTTTCACTGCTCGAAAACGACGTATAAAAAATCCGTAGAGCCTCCACGGATTTTGGCACGAAAAATCGTACTCCGGAACCTCCCTAGTATGAGTCTACAAGCGCGGTCCAGTTGCTCATGAGTTTTGTTCAGTGCACACTGCACATGCATACATGTACATGTAGCTCACTAGTGTTGCACTTGCTGTTTACGTGAATCGTCATGACAACGAGGATGCACGACAATTTTGCTGTTCTTTTGTGCTATTCATGACCTTCGACCTTTGTACTTTGGCTGACTGGTGCACCCTGCGGTGGAGTCCGAGTGGTTTACTCACTCCTTTTTCCTTCAGTTATAATTATACGACTCCCTCGTTCAAATCTTGATTCCAGCAAAGCGATTGTATTGCAGATGCGAGCTCCCTGCTCCAAGTCATTGCCTTAGAAGATTCAAGATTTACTATAGTATACTAAGTTAGTTACTAACAGTAGGTACCGGTATCGGTTATAGCGTGCAGTAGATCTACATCAGGGAGTCGTACTCAAACTAGGGAGGTGACACGGCACAGAAATCCGTGTCACAGGGGTTGACTCGCACCCGTGACCCCTCGTTGTTATTTTTGGAATAGTTCAGTCCAGTCCAGTCCGAAAGGTCATACTCGGATCGACTCGCCTTCTGTACTTCACCTCCAAGCGTGCCGCATGGGTGTCTAGTTTTTGAAATTATTGAGGCAGCACATTTCGTTTACAGCCCATCACTCGCCAGTATTCTTTGAAAGACTACCAGCAATTTGTTTAGCTCCTGCCATGTCCGAACTACTTGATAGCAGTGATGGCAACAGCAGCAGTTATGAGACGGCGTGTAGTATTGCGGTAACTGTTCAGAACTGTTATTATTATTATTATTAAGAAAAGGGTTTGCTCCCCACACCGGAGCTCGCGCTATTCCGCCGACTTTACTTGACACTTGACTGACTCACGACTGCCATCCAGAGCACACGAGAAGTCCATCGAACCTTCGACTCGGCAAACCTGCAAGAAAGCACCACTCCCTGCTCAATACACAGTGTTTCGGGGAATTCACCCCTCATCAGTTGAGCTTGAGTAGGCTGAGGAAGATTGTGCCTGAAGAGCACCACTTATATAGTGCTCTCCAGGCACAAACATCACCAGGGATACAAACTTACAGAGACGCTCCGTTTTCAGCGCGACAAACACCTCGTGAGCACCAGATAGCAGCGTGAGTCAGTGTCGCTCCTGGACGGTGAGACAAGTAAAGTCGGCGGAATAGCGCGAGCTCCGGTGTGGGGAGCAAACCCTTTTCTTACAAATCATCGCCGAGGTCGCAACCAATACTTCGTATTATTATTATTTATATTATTATTATTTATTTTACTAGGGTGTTTCCCACAGACCTATGGTCTTCTTACGGGAGCCCCTAGAAAGGTTAAGCATGAACGAACAAATGGGCGATAATCTGTACAAGAGCGAACAGTGGAAGGCAGCATATTCCACCGATCAGAACCTATGTAGCCAAGACGAGAAAAACCAGCTTTAGTGTGGGCAGAAGGCAAGGCCAGAGAAAAAGAGATTTGGGACCTAGTGACGGCAGTAGTATGTGCACTGGAGGAGCGGGTTCAGAGTCGTATCCTAGGTTAATCCGAATACTAAGAATTGACCCAAATATTAATTAATTGCACATAACACGAAGCTGGTTTTTGAAAATTGTAAGTCGTGTATCTGCCCCATTTCTTCTTTATGACTTGCACAATACACCAGTCTTCCTAAACAACACATTTATAGCAGGGGTTAAGTACCATATAAGAGAAGTACAGCCAGTGATATTGTCATGTTGAAATACTACAATTTTGACACAAATTACACATAACACCAGGTTTTGAAAAATGTAAGTCGTGTATCTGCCCCATTTCTTCTTTATGACTTGCACAATGGTCCAGTCTGCCTAAATAACACATTCATAGCAGGGGTATGTACCATATTAGAGAAGTACAGCCAATGATATTGTCATGTCTAAATACTACAATTTTGACACAAATTACACATAACACGAAGCTGGTTTTTGAAAATTGTAAGTCGTGTATCTGCCCCATTTCTTCTTTATGACTTGCACAATACACCAGTCTTCGTAAACAACACATTTATAGCAGGGGTTAAGTACCATACAAGAGAGCTACATTGTACATCTAGTCATACTATCATAAACAGCCAGCATTTTTCCTGCAGCAGTCGCACCACCATCATCATTATTTCCAGGGAAATCCTCTTACATTGTCAGCTCCTACGTCGTTAGATACAATGTAGGGGGCTGTAGGACCGGCTCGTCAAAAATAGAGAACCTGAACAAGCGTGCTCGGGACGTCTCAGCAATCGCAGTATGCCTGAGCACTCCAATAAAAACTTGATCAATGGCAAAATCGTTCGCCACAGAAAAATCATACTTTGCGGGTCTTGCGTTGCACGCTTGGAGGTGAAGTACAGAAGGCGAGTCGATCCGAGTATGACCTTTCGGACTGGACTGGACTGAACTATTCCAAAAATAACAACGAGGGGTCACGGGTGCGAGTCAACCCCTGTGACACGGATTTCTGTGCCGTGTCACCTCCCTGTTTGAGTACGACTCCCTGATCTACATTTGAGAGGTTCTGCAGAACGAAAATGTGTACGAACTTTCGCTCTACGTCACGAAGTGAGAAACTATTACTTCGCACGAACTTTCGCAACTTTGGACGCGAAACTTGCAGGGAACGCGAAATGAACTTTCGTAGGAAGTTTCGTGAGATTTAGTCCGTGAGCCAAAACTCAAAATCACAAGTGCCGTTGCACTCTCGGATGGACAAATCGCCGCTTACAGTGTTGGTCAAGGACATCACAAAGGATACGTTTTCGCTTGTTGGACGTTCCAGAACCGATCCAGAGACCTTCGCGAGGGCTTCTTTTCTCGACCAAATCCGCGATATTCATGTTAAAACAAAATGGCGTCACGATTTATTGAAAGTGGTATAGTTGGTGGAACGAGTGTTCAAACCCATTTGAACTTCATACTGTTCGTCTTCTTTTTGACATGCTCCCTTTCCATCGTCCTTAGCTTTTATTTGTTGAGAGCTGTTTTGGCTTTCTCCTATGCCTCTGGGGGATGCCAAGTGATGGTTTTGAGAGGCTGGTGATGGCTGTGAGCGAGAGTTTGCCGATCGGCGTCGTCCTCGCTATAGCGATGAAAATACTAGTTACTGCGCACCTGGCAGATATCACAACACGTCGGAGCGTCCAGGAGCAAAGGAATCTTGGGTTTTCACTGGAATCTAGTTCCTCCAGCATCGTGTAGCCCACCGTCGGTGAATGGCGGTCCAGAAAGGTCGAACCTGGTCTTCTGCAGCATCTCGCAGTCCTGCGAGGCACACTGAATACGCCTGTCATGTATTCTACAAATAAAAATCACGAAGTTGTGGACTTTACAGTGATGAGACTATCCTGTATGCTGCAAAAGACGCAGGAAATGTGACTGGTGTCTGTACACTCAGTGACTGGAGGCCAACACCCCAGTCTTCTCCTGCAGGATCTGTTTGACATTGACATTATGCAGTAGGTCGGCATTGACCTGGTTTGGCAGCTATCGTTATAGTATCTGCCTGGTTGGATGTAGCAGGTTGGTGTTTGCTCGTCGTCCAGTCCGGAATTTTCTTGTAACTCACGGTGGAGTACGCGCAGGGTTTGTGATCATCCCTGTTCACTTCAATATTATCAAACACAACGTTCCCTTTGTCACTCATCTTATCCTGAGTACTGAATTTGCTGACAATATTGCACCACACTTGTCACAACCTACCGCCACTGCTGGCGGTGGCGACTGGTTCGTCAATGGCGGTGACCAGGCTGACTGACTAGCTTCGAGACAGCGGCCTCGTTGTCAATCCCGCGGCAGCCTAAAGGTTGATTTTATTCATCCAGCCTCAGCGCCATGTTGACGATGCCCTAGTGACTGTGTGTCATGGATTGCCTTGCCATCAGCGGTCATTGCCGTCCACCTTGATGCAGCCCTCAACAACTGGCTCAGCCCATGGGAGTCTCAAGTGGACAAAATTTTTGCCAAAGTAGCTAGCTCAGAAGATTGGTGCATCGTGGTGTAGGTGAGCACATAACTAGGACTTCCCAGCGTCTATTTGTCCAGGCTGCGATACTATGTGACATGCTGTACTGCACATTCTGTTCAGCACTGCAAGGCCGGCAGCTGGACCGACTGCAGGGGCCGCGCACATGCAGGCCGCCTGTTGCCAGTGCAGCATTCTGGAACGTTCCTTCCTTCTGAGATCCGTGGAATAATAACTTTCTTTGCTTCAAAGCAAGTTGCTTACCTTTCTGTTGTGCTCCCAGTGTCCTTACAACAATAACCTACAGCAATGTTTTATTTTCCTTTCCATTCCCCAACCAATGAATACTACGATGTCGATTCTATTTCTTCATACTTTGGTGTGTGCCCGCGCACGCACGTGTGTGTGTGTATACCTCACTCGCCACTCGAAGTTCTGTTCCCCATCACTGGAACACTGCCTGTTCTTTCAGGACCTGCCATCATCTGCGGATGGGCATTCAATAATTGTATTGTGTGTGTTTCATTCAGAATCAGATCCGCTATCATTGCTATTAGAGAAAATCTGTGGGTTCACATGCAGTGCATTTTTAGATCTGCGTGCTTTTCTCGCCACGGGCGCATACATGGGACATTGTGTGTGTGTGCGTCTGTGTGTATGGGGATATTGTCTGTATCGCCTTTTGGTACTAATGTTCAGGTCTGTGCTTGCATGTGTGAACATGAAATTGTTCGGTTCTGTGCATGCTATTGCTATGTTGTATATTATTGTATGTATGTGTGCATTTCCACGAACAGTGTAGACGAGCGTGGAGAGTGCATTCATCCCTCATCAACCACTTCCCCTTGGGCTTACGAGCGTTTTTTCTGCGTACCTCTCTGATACTGTATTGATGCCGGCACCTGTACCTCGATGTGTTCCTCTATCTGCAGTCGCCTTTAACCTTCGGTCAAGTTAACGTTTATTGTGCTCTATTTATCGTGCGAATCAAAATAAACAATAATAACACAAGTCGTGCTAGAGTGACGACATGTGCGTGTAGTAGGGTTGATGCGATGGGACGTTATAATTAGGTGGAACAGAACACACATTGGGCAGATTGATTGGGCATCATTGATTGTGCTCAGTCTAAACAGTGAACATAATAATTATCTCCAGTGACAGACTGTAGCGGCTAGCCTCCAATAGGTAGCTGGCACTAGTCGCTACTGCTTGTTTGACAGGTGCCGCCAGAACCCCTGTTGTGTCATGCTATAGATGCACATGCCCTGTTCTGGGGCATACTGAGGTACTTTGATTTTGTTGACTGCATGTAGACAGCATCCAATAGTAGTACTCGTAGACCTTGGCTCTTTGTAGGTCAACCACCATCGCATGGATCGATCGGTGACTATGCACTTGGAGGTTGGAATAGCCCGCGCTGAACAGATCTTGCCATGGCCCAGGGAGTGAACTCGCTTACTCGACTATCCCGGTTTTAGTTAACCAGCATGAGTGGTGCAATTTGTCCATACCATGTTGCGAGCTCACAGTTGTTTGGGCAGGTTTTGAGCTGCACCACGAAACAAAGCGAAATAACGGCGTGACTGTAGAGCAAGGAAGCGGCGAGACGGCACTTCCAGGACGAGACAGGCAGTAGAGATGTGTTCACAGCACGAGCAACCTCTCAGACCCTGCCGGTACTCCACAGTTACAAGAAAATGTCGGACTGGACGACGCGCCAATGCAAACCTGCTACATCCACCCAGGCAGATAGCTGCCAAACCAGGCCAATGTCGACCCACTGCATACCGGTATGTCAATGTCAAACAGATCCTGCAGGAGAAGACTGGGATGATATTGGCGTCCAGTGTACGGACACCAGTCACATTTCCTGCGTCTTTTGCAGCATACAGGATAGACTCATCACTGTAAAGTCCACTACTTCGTGATTTTTATTTGTAGAATACATGACAGGCGTATTCAGTGTGCCTCGCAGGACTGCGAGATGCTGCAGAAGACCAGTTTCGACCTTTCTGGACCGCCATTCACCGACGGTGGGCTACACGATGCTGGAGGAACTAGATTCCAGTGAAAACCCAAGATTCCTTTGCTCCTGGACGCTCCGACGTGTTGTGATATCTGCCAGGTGCGCAGTAACTAGTATTTTCATCGCTATAGCGAGGACGACGCCGATCGGCAAACTCTCGCTCTCAGCCATCACCAGCCTCTCAAAACCATCACTTGGCATCCCCCAGAGGTATAGGAGAAAGCCAAAACAGCTCTCAACAAACAAAAGCTAAGGACGATGGAAAGAGAGCATGTCAAAAAGAAGATGAACAGTATGAAGTTCAAATGGGTTTGAACACTCGTTCCACCAACTATACCACTTTCAATAAATCGTGACGCCATTTTGTTTTAACACGCATACGGTCCATTCCACCGTGAGAACAAATATTTTTACGCGAGTGGTGAGGTGTGCGTCGTATGAGCAAGCGCAAAACACGAGTTCGCGTGGAGTGAGGAAAAATAATTTATTTTTTAGAAGATGACGACGTTGACGACAATATCGACTTTGGATATTGTGATCACTTTATTGAAGTTTATTCCTTTCGTGTACATTGATGTTGTTTTGACAACAATGGAAGAAGAGGAAGACGTTTCTAGTGGCAGCGAGGTGCTGGATGAGGCAGCTGACGGCAACGAAGTGGCAAATGACAGCCCAGCGGAGTAATATTGCTGGAATTTTGTGTCTGTGTCACAGCGCCCAATTTAGTAAAAACGAGAAGCCTGCAGTGAGTAATATCGAGACTACAAGTTGGTGTCGCATCGTCAGCGCTGCTCGTGAGAAGGACGACCATATCTGGGCTTTTCTCTGCCAGCACAAGAGCTCAGGGAGGAGTAAATGGTGTGGCTGGTATCATGGAAAGTGCTACACCAATTGCACCCATGTGATAGCAATTGCAAACCTGGAGAAGACCAGTGCCTCTGATTTTGCTTTGTCTATACTTGCTGACAGTGATGTGCATGTAGTAGTGAACCCAGAGCCATATCCTAAGGCCAGTAAGGGGCCACCTACCAGGAGCTTAGTGGTTGATACGAACAACGAATGCCATACCGGTAATTATGAAAGCAGAGCACGGTGTAAACACAACACGGAGAACTGGTCCACCCAGAGTTTCCGGAAGGGAATGTTTTGTTGCAGGCAGCACTGGAGAGGGCAAGACGACAAGTAGCGAGGGCAAAACCAGCGCTGCTGGAGGTCCAAGCCAGAGCACCTTGCTGCTTTGGGGGCAACATACTACTGTATACCATTAGCTGTGTATGTGTGTGTGCGCACGTGTGTGTGTGTGCACATTTCTGGGTGTGCGTGTGTGTGTGCGTGCGCGTGTTTGTGTGTGGGTGCATGTGTGCGCGTGTTTGTGTGTGTGGGTGCATGCATGTGTGTGTGCGCGCGTGCGTGTGCATGCGCGTGCATGTGTGTGCGAGCGTGCATGTGTGTGTGCGCGCGCGCGTGCATGTGCGTGCTAGGCGTTTTCCTTTGTTGGTGACACCACCCCAGGCAACTACTGGTGTTGGGACACGGTGTTGCCACAGCCACTGCGGCCAGTGCGATCCGTGTTTCAGGTCGTTGGTGGGTTTTAGATTCCGCAATTGTCGACAAGGTGTGCGCCGTGTGTGTGTGTGTGTGTGAAACCCGACAGCATTGGTGTGATGTTGTCCAAAGAGACATCCATCACTTACATCTTGAAGGACATTGGTTCGACACTGCACAGCAGCGAGGAGAGTGGCGCACAGCATTCAGAATTGCTTCACCACCACAGCCGGCCTCCCGTGATCGGATTCAGTGTAGTATTTGTAACATTTCCTTTTCGAAGAGCGGCCTGCCACGCCACAAGTGTACTCAAGAGCGTCGCAAACCTGTAGCAGACCAGTCTGGCAGCAGCCAATGCACCGTATGTCTTTGCTGGTTTCGCAGTCATGGTAGACTGACATAGTCGGATTCGGCAGCTGGTTCATGTGTGTGTGTGTGCGCGCATGCGCGCGCGTGCCTGGGGGACTGCATAGTCGCATTCGGCAGCTGGTTCATGTGTGTGTGCGCACACGCGCGCGCGCATAAGCGTGTTTGTGCGCGCGTGCCTGGGAGACTGCGTAGTCGCATTCGGCAGCTGGTTCGTGTGTGTGTGTGTGCGAGCGTGCATGCCTGGGAGACTGTATAGTTGGATTCGGCAGCTGGTTCGTGTGTGTGCGCGTGCCTGGGAGACTGCATAGTCGGATTCTTCAGCTGCTTCATGTGTGTGTGTGTGTGTGTGTGTGCGCGCGCATGCATGTATGTATGTGACATCATCTTATATCGGTAGTTATCTGTGGATTACTATGTTCTGCGGTGGACTGCGACAGCACACATTATGTGCCAAGATGTGCACCTGGTGATTTGCAACTGTGTTATGTTGAGTTGAAAATGAGCAATGACAGATGGCTTTTGGTGCTGTATGAGTGTGTTAGGAAATCAATAGCCAATTCCAACCTCTTGCATTGGCCGTCAGGTTGGATAGGATCAGCGCGTGCATTTACAACAGTGGTGACGTACTTCCTATTGTACTACCGTAATGTCACATTAGCTTCAGTGTTCATATCATTATAATACTGGAGTAATCTACGTATTCACTACTATTCAGTAATCGAGTGGTTATTACTTTTGAAATATACTTCACTCACCAATTCATTGCTCGCTATTATCTACAAGTTCCAGTCCAGTATGATGAAATCAAGAGGCGATTTATCCAGCCAAGTAGAGGAACTTGGGATACGAAATCCAAGAGAAATCATGAGGGTTTTCTCAGTTCGGCCATTCACGAATGTAATTGTTATTCTTCAACGCAAACTGAGTAATATTTGACCTTGAACAGGATGAAAAGAAGTTCATGCTCGGGGCAGTCGTCATTTGCTCCAGAAGGTTACTCACTACAGTCTACTACGCCTATTGGCCTAGGAAGTGGTGAACAAATATATCGAGAGATATTTAGGACATTCTTGGAAGTCAGTTCTGAACGATTGCCATTGTAACTACAAACAGTAGTGACTTTGCTGCATGCATGATCCCGATTCATAATTCTCAGCGGCAAAAAAATTCAAATCTAGTTTTGTGCACTGGTTTCCGCGTTATGTGCACTCGTGGTATCTGCTCATGGCTTCAAAAAATGAGAATCCGTGAACAAGCGCAAAAAAATCAAGCGAAGAAGGCGAAAATGGCCGCTGCTGTCAGTGAGCAAAGTACAATTGTAGTTGGATGTTTGGCGTCTTCTGTGACCATGGTGACCTCCCTGGATCAGTTTCGAACTGTCCAACAAGTGGAAATCGCTTCATGTCAAAATCTTATCGATTTGATTATTTATAGAATGTAGAAGACCTTTCCAACCATGCACACACTCACACTACTACAACACAAACCACCATCGTTCATTCATCAACTACACTTCAGTCAAGAAGAAGAATAACCAATAACAAGGAGATACAAACAACGGAGAAAAGAACTGAGACGCACAATGAGTACGCTCCGAAAACGGCGGTGCTCGGAAGCAAGCGAGGCCAAATAGATCGCGAAGCAGCGCACCCGGACCCATTCGGGCCTGAGCTGCGTAGCGATCGCGTGGTCAGGTGCACTGTGGTGCCATGGAAACAAAGATGGTGGCACATGTAGCGCGTGTACCACGAGGTACTAGGTAGAAAGAAAGGAAAATAAATAAATAAACTGCAGAACGAAAGTGAACGCGAAGAAGAAATATATTTGAGAGTCTTTAGAGAAACAAGAATGTAGTTCGCGTCTGGCGGAGGGTGCTTGCACCTAGCTAGAGGTGAGAGCACCACTGTCAGATAATGGAAAGACTGAGTTAGAAAAGGAGAAAGACGACGGAGTTGCAGACTGAAACTACAGGAAGTTCAAGTAAGACGTGAACACTAAATTTATATGTATTTCAAATATTCGTGAACGGCAGTTCTCGACACTCCCACCAAACAGAAGTGTGAATGCACTAGAAAGAGAAAGGAACAAAGAAGATTGTGAACTAAAGCGTAGAAATATAATAAGTTATACTTACCTTAACGCCGTGAAGTTACAAGCCGTCCATCTAGCGATGTTTTGGCGTGCCTGATCGGCAGCCTTGCGCCTCGGGCGGGTTGCTGATGGCGGTGGTGCTTGCACTCCAGGAGCATTATCTGACTGCTGGCTGCTGATGACTGCGGGGGCATCATCCTGCCGGGTGCTGGGTACCTCGAGTGGATACAGCAGCGATAGTGGGCGTTCCACTGTGCGGCCAGACGGCATCAGGACCTCTGCTGAGCGGACGCAACCATCTGTCGCACTAGCGTTAGCCGCTGTTACCTTGCCAATGTGCCACTGGCCACGTGGTATGCCTTCGGATTTGACAATGACAATCTCCCCGACCTGTGGCTGGCCGGATAGAGACGTCTTGGGCTGGCGGTGATCAGGGTTCGCACGTTCCCTGAGTAATTGCAAGTACTCAGTCCGCCAGCATTTCCAGAAACGTTCCAAGAGAACTTGGGACGCCCTCCACCACTGCAAGATGTGATCCCGGGAGCTGATATCAGGCGAATAGTCGGGATCATCAGCAGAGGATGTGTCGACAGGGATCAGCGTGGGTCGACCACCAACGAGGAAGTGAGCTGGAGAGAGCACGAGAAGACCAGGACCTTCATCGTCAGCCGAAACGGGAGTCAGTGGGCGGTTGTTGACGACAGCTTCAACTTCAGCCAGCAAGGTGAGGAGCTGTGGGAGCGAGAGCAACTGCCGGCCAACAACTTTCCGCATGCAGCCCTTCACAAGGCCAACCATGCGCTCATAAATACCACCTTGCCATGGGGCGAGTGCAGTGGTGAATTTCCACGTGATCTGACGTTGAGAGAGAAACTCGCCTAGGACGGGGTCAGACGGTAGAGAGGACCAGGCATCCGGCACGGCAGAACTGGCGAGGTGAAATTGGCTGGCGTTGTCAGAATACAACAGACGCGGTACGCCACGACGAGCAATGAAGCGACGTAAGCCAGAGATGAAGGCAGCTGTGGACATGTCATCCACGAACTCGAGATGGACAGCACGGATAGCGAAACAGGTGAATAAACAGACCCATACCTTGGTCGTGGAGGAGTCGGACTGCTTGATGAGCAATGGTCCAAAGTAGTCCAGACCGGTGAACTCAAATGGATGAGCAGGGTTGACACGCTCAGCAGGCAGAGGCGGCATCAACGGAAGACGATAGGGTGGCGAGTCTTGACGACGGCACACAAGACATAGCTTCAGTTCATGGCGAACAGCCTGACGACCATGAGGAACCCAGAAGTTGAGGCGAAGCTGTGCGAGGGTGTGGCTTGGACCAGCATGCAGCAGGCGACCATGGATGTCGAGAATGATCAAGACAGTGAGACGATGCTGGCGTGGCAGCAGAGCAGGCTGGCTGGTAGCATGGACGTGAGCAAGCTTGCCATGACAACGGATAACACCGAGCTGGTCACGCTGAAGACCAAATTGCTTCACCAACGGTGACGTGCTATCAGCGAGAGAACCAGAGTACAGATCAGGATAGGAGCTGTGCTGCGCTGAACGTACGAATAGAGACAGAACCAAGCGTCGCACACTGACGCTGAAGACATGCGGTTGAGCAGCAAACTGGCTGAGTAGCTGAGCTAGCAGAGCATGGCCATCCTGAAGGCGTGTCTGCTGAGCAGCGGGCAACCGAGTCCACACAACACGATAGAGGAAATGCATGCAGTAGGTCAAGATCCTGACGGCTTTGGACAGTGAGGACGAGCGCGTTAGGATAGACTGCTGCACAAGTGACGGCGGCAGGACTGGTTGGGTAGCGAGCATGCTGTGGATGAGACGAGGTCCACGATACTCGGCCTCGGCCAACGCCAAGTCCTGAGGAGTGATGGTGGGGTGACTAGAAGCAGGCCATTTGCTGACGTCTTCTGTTAGCCACGAAGGACCAGACCACCATAGAGTACTGTCGGCGAGCTGCGCAGCTGTTTGCGGACGAGTAGCCAAATCAGCAGGATTAGCAGCACTGGGGACATAGCGATACGTGATGTCCGGCAGAGCACGTAAGCTAGCGATGCGATTGGCCACAAATGTAGACAGGTCCCGACTTGATACAAGCCAATGCAGAACGCACCTGGCATCAGTCCAGACAGTAGTGGACGAGAGCGTGAGGTTGAGTTCCTGCCGAAGGAATGACGCAAGTCGAGCACCAATGACAGCACCCAGTAATTCCAGGCGAGGAATGGTCATGGTGTCAGCTGTAGAAGATGACTTCTTCGGAGCCGGTGCGAGCCGCATCTTGCTGAAGACGAGGGCAGAGTGTACCGAACTGCCATCTGTGACCCGGAGGTAGCCAGCAGCTGCATACGCATTGACAGAAGCGTCAGTGAAGATATGGAGCTGCACATCCGTAGCGCTGCCGACCGGACAACACAAACGGGGAATAGTGATCGAAGAGAGCGATGCCATCATAGAGGAGATAGCAGACCATTCGTCAGTAAAGTGTGCAGGTAGAGGGTCATCCCAATTGAGCTCAGCTTGCCACAATTGACGAAGTAGCAGGCGCCCAGACAGAATGGCTGGGACGAGTAGACCAAGCGGATCGTACAAAGCAGAGACGGCTTGCAAGACAATGCGCTTAGTAGCAGGTGCAGCAGCAGAGAGGGTGCAGCGAGAACCAGCAATTGACAATACATCGTCATGTGTGTCCCACTGTAAACCAAGCACCTTGACATGTCGAGTCGTGACGATGTCATCCGCTGGTAGAGTCGCCCGAGCAGCTGTACTATTGGTTGTCCACTCACGCAAGTTCATTGATGCACGCTGGAAAACGGACTTGGCCTCCTCATATACAGCAAGAACATCAGAAACATCTGAGACACCAATCAACACGTTGTCCACGTAGATATTCTGATCGATAGAAGCGGCAAGAGGAGTACACTGCAGCTGCAGATGGTGATGGATAGTAGCTTCCAGCAGAAACGGACTGGCAACAATACCGAACGGCATCCTACAGAAGCGATACACAGCCAAGTTGTCCTTGGATGTGGTAGGGTTTGCTGGATCGTCAAACCAGAGGAAACGTGTGACATCTCGGTCATCCGGCCGAATGCTGAGCTGGAGAAACGCTTTCTCGATGTCAGCCAACAGCACAATGGAGTGGCAACGGAAGCGGAGAAGTATGCCACAGAGATTCGGCAAGTTGATAGGGCCACGATGCATGCACTCGTTCAGACACTTCGCTGCTTTGGATGACTTGGCCGAGGCGTCGTATACAATGCGCAGCTTAGTGGTCGCCTTGGAGGGTGTCACGACTGGCTGGTGCGGCAGGTAGTGCTTGACGGTGTGAGTTGAAGTGTTGGTTGACACACGTTCAACAATACCCAGCTCAACCTGAGACTGGATCACTGCATCGTAGCGCAATAGCAGGTCATGGTCCCTAGCGAGCTGCTTAGCGAGGGAGGTCAAACGACCGAGTGCGAGGCCATAGTTGTCTCGCAGGTCAGGTGGCTCAGACTTCCACGGCCAAGCGACTTCATAGCGGCCATCGCGAAATCGGACGGTTGAGTTGAAGTGCTGCTGGGCACGGTTGTCGTCAGTGAGGAACGGCGAGTCACTGATACCAATACTGTCGAGAGACCACATCTCGGACAGATCCGGTACGCGTTCCGTAGCGCACACAAAGACCACAGAGTCAGAAGCAGAGGCATGCGAGCTGTCTGCAGTGGCTGGATTCGGGTTGCCAGACAACAGATATCCCAATCGAGACGGAATGAGGTAGAGGCCAGAAGGCAACCGTGTTGGCAGACCACTCATGAGGTCCCAGAAGTACTGTATGCCCAGTAGCAAGTCGACTGCATGAGTGGAGGCACCGTCCGGTAACGGATCAGCCAGAGAGTCTGCCGGCAGATTGATCAGAACTGCTCTGTCTGCCGCAGAGAGTGAGCTGTGCTGCACAGGGTGGATCGTCTTCGATGCTGGCAACACATGCGCATGAAGAGTCCGAGTAGAACCGTCCTTGTGGAGGAGAGCAAATTGTACCACATCTGGCACAAGGCGCAGAGGAGTCTCACTGCCAAAGGAGAATACGTTCAGCGTGTCCTTACCGAGGGGCTGAAGTTGAAGTTGCTCAGCAGCAGATGCGCTGAGGAATGTTGATTGACTGCCACTGTCAAACAGGATGCGCACAGTGGTACGGCGACCATTGGCGGCGATAGCAGAAGTTGCAGTCATCATGCGCGCTAAACCAACACGATCCTGTACCGTGTTGCACTGGACATTGACAGACATACATGAAGATGAGAACTGCGCTGGTGTCGTAGCGGATTGAGACTGCTGCTGTGGCTGCTGTTGCTGTGGCGGCGGAGGCGGCGACCTCTGCGGCCTTGGCTGCTGCTGTTGCTGGGGTGCCGGCTGCTGTTGCACATTGTTGACACCGATCTGGTGAACAGCAGACTGTTGGCGCGAACAAATAGCAGTGTTGTGATGGTTTGGCTGCTGGCAATGTCGGCATTTCCGTTGCTGGGTGCAGGCAGATGCGACATGGCCTTTGCCAAGACAACGGTAACAGAGATGGAGCTCAAGGAGCCTGTCCTTCCGAGCTGAGGTAGTTGCGAACCGTCCGCAGGCATCGTGGTTGTGGGCACCACCGCAGAACACACACGGCTTCCGTGGCCGAGCGGGTGCGGACGTAGCAGCTTGCGGCCTACGGAACGTTGCGCCAGAAGTGGCCACAAGTGTACTGGACGGCAGCATATCCACTGGAGCGGTGCTTTGCTGCTGGCCAGAGCGTTGTTGTGCTCGGTCGTGCAGAAGCACGTACCGTTTCAGGTACTGGCGGAGGTCTTCTATGTCCCACGGTGCTGAGACGTCATGGGAGGGTCGCCACTCCTCAAGCTTCGTAGTTACACTCAGTGGAAGCTTTGAGAGTACCTGGTGGCATACTAGGCGTTGACCTTTCAGTATTTCCCCCTGGGCCTCCAGTTGCAGGAGGATGTTCTCCAGAGCCTCACATGTAGATTTTATATCCGCATAGCGTGTGGAGGACTGAGCGGTATGCTGTAGGCGACCGTATAACTGAGCAATAACTATATCAGGCTTGCCATACTCGGCCTTCAGGGTGCTGACAGCAGTCGGATAATTTGCGTCGGTCACTGCAATGCCGGAGACCAGACGGGCGGCAGGACCTTTCAGCACACTGCGCAGATACGTGAACTTTGACACCTGGGGTAACTGCTGTGTGTCGACTGCAGCAGAAAACATATCCCAAAAGTCGGGCCATGCAAGGATATCACCATGAAAGGTCGGCAGTGTGAGCTTAGGGAGCTGCACGGGTGTCCGACCAGGAGTGCGACGTGGTGTGTTCGAGGTGTCCATCTGCCATGTGGCCTCCACAGCAGCACGTGCGGCATGACTGGCAGCCTGGGAGACTGCAGCAACAAACATAGCAGAGCCTGGAACAACCGAGGGTGCATGGAACGAGGTGTTGGTAGACGTGGAGTCAGCATCCGACCAGACAGACTCGCTGTCAGAAGTGTACTCTGCATTGCTCCACTGTGCACGACCAGTGGCACTACCAGTACCAGGTGTAGGCTCAGGCAAGTGTAGTGGTGGTGGTGGTGGCACTGCTGGTGTGTACTGCAGTGTGCTTAATGAACCAGTATGGTGAGTAGGATCATGGGTATTTGCAATTGCACTGACTGCTGTGAGTGCTTGCCTAGCAGTACCAGTGGCATTTGGCATACTGTCCATCACACCAGTAAAGGCAGGCGTGCTGCTAACAGGATGACTAGCGTGTTGAGAGACTGAGAGCTGCTCCGAAACAGGGTGCTCAGTCTGCATGTGTTTACTACTATTACTAGCACTACACATCACACTCTCAGAACACCTGCTTTCACTTGGCACTGGTTGCTGTAGCAGGGAGGGCGCGTGTTTCTCCAAAAACGCCCTCGCTGTTCTCAAAATTTCCACCTCCTCATCGAAGGACGACTCCCAAGAGTCGAGATCGTCTAGTTTCTCATCGTTTGCGTCGAGCTCGACGAGGCTACGTATTTGTGATTGAAGGTCGTTTATGTGAGACGCTAGCTCTGCCGCTGTTTGCCAGTCGCCCAGCACGTAGTGTGGGGATGGCTCCTCCTTGTGGAGCTCCCTCGCCAGCTTTTCCCTGACGCGTGTGAGGCGACGCTTCATATTGGCCCGGCGCTGGACCATTTGAGTGTACATACCTGCACGACGATGAGTGTCGGAAAAACGACGGGGAAACTGCGTTGCGGACAGGTAACCGTCACCTGGTTACAGCACCATGTCAAAATCTTATCGATTTGATTATTTATAGAATGTAGAAGACCTTTCCAACCATGCACACACTCACACTACTACAACACAAACCACCATCGTTCATTCATCAACTACACTTCAGTCAAGAAGAAGAATAACCAATAACAAGGAGATACAAACAACGGAGAAAAGAACTGAGACGCACAATGAGTACGCTCCGAAAACGGCGGTGCTCGGAAGCAAGCGAGGCCAAATAGATCGCGAAGCAGCGCACCCGGACCCATTCGGGCCTGAGCTGCGTAGCGATCGCGTGGTCAGGTGCACTGTGGTGCCATGGAAACAAAGATGGTGGCACATGTAGCGCGTGTACCACGAGGTACTAGGTAGAAAGAAAGGAAAATAAATAAATAAACTGCAGAACGAAAGTGAACGCGAAGAAGAAATATATTTGAGAGTCTTTAGAGAAACAAGAATGTAGTTCGCGTCTGGCGGAGGGTGCTTGCACCTAGCTAGAGGTGAGAGCACCACTGTCAGATAATGGAAAGACTGAGTTAGAAAAGGAGAAAGACGACGGAGTTGCAGACTGAAACTACAGGAAGTTCAAGTAAGACGTGAACACTAAATTTATATGTATTTCAAATATTCGTGAACGGCAGTTCTCGACAGATGTCCTATCTAGGACATCACCAGGACTGGTGACCTCCCTGGATCAGTTTCGAACTGTCCAACAAGTGGAAATCGCTTCAGGATACCATCGTGAAGCGGTGTGCTGAAGGACGATTTGTCCATCTCTGGGTGCAACGGTCGATGCTAAAACGGCCGATTCTGAGATTTGGCTCACGGACTAATTGGGTCATGTCGTACGTGCACTTGGCGCGTGCAAACTACGAAAATGTGCAGAACACAAAGTTCGTGCGAAACTTCGTACACATTTTCGCAAGGCCTGTCGCGAAACTTCGTTCGAATTTTCGTTGTGCAGAACCTCTCTAAAATTGACGATGATCGATGGCGGAGATGGAGCAGGTCAGGGAGCCCTACAGGGTCCCGAGAGCAGATTGCGGCCAAATTTGGGACGATGCCGGACGCCAGTCAGTATGAAGTAGCGAATGCATTAATGGCGGATCGCCACGTAGATTGGGGTCGCGGGGTCATACTACACGGGCACTACTCGTAGGTCTACGTTGCTCCAAAAAAGGGCACTTAGTCCGTGAGCCAAATCTCAGAATCGGCTGTTTTAGCATCGACCGTTGCACCCAGAGATGGACAAATCGTCCTTCAGCACACCGCTTCACGATGGTATCCTGAAGCGATTCCCTCTTGTTGGACAGTTCGCAACTGATCCAGGGAGGTCACAGAAGACGCCAAACATCCAACTTTGCTCACTGACAGCAGCGGCCATTTTCGCCTTCTTCGCTTGATTTTTTTGCGCTTGTTCACGGATTCTCATTTTTTGAAGCCATGAGCAGGTACCACGAGTGCACATAACGCGGAAACCAGTGCACAAAACTAGATTCGAATTTTTTTGCCGCTGAGAATTATGAATCGGGATGCAAACTGCATGCAGCAAAGTCAATACTGTTTGTAGTTACAATGCAATCGTTCAGAACTGACTTCCAAGAATGTCCTAAATATCTCTCGACATATTTGTTCACCACTTCCTAGGCCAATAGGCGTAGTAGACTGTAGTGAGTAACCTTCTGGAGCAAATGACGACTGCCCCGAGCATGAGCTTCTTTTCATCCTGTTCAAGGTCAAATATTACTCAGTTTGCGTTGAAGAATAACAATTACATTCGTGAATGGCCGAACTGAGAAAACCCTCATGATTTCTCTTGGATTTCGTATCCCAAGTTCCTCTACTTGGCTGGATAAATCGCCTCTTGACTTCATCATACTGGACTGGAACTTGTAGATAATAGCGAGCAATGAATTGGTGAGTGAAGTATATTTCAAAAGTAATAACCACTCGATTACTGAATAGTAGTGAATACGTAGAATACTCCAGTATTATAATGATATGAACACTGAAGCTAATGTGACATTACAGTAGTACAATAGGAAGTACGTCACCACTGTTGTAAATGCACGCGCTGATCCTATCCAACCTGACGGCCAATGCAAGAGGTTGGAATTGGCTATTGATTTCCTCACACACTCATACAGCACCAAAAGCTATCTGTCATTGCTCATTTTCAACTCAACATAACACAGTTGCAAATCACCAGGTGCACATCTTGGCACATAATGTGTGCTGTCGCAGTCCACCGCAGAACATAGTAATCCACAGATACTACCGATATAAGATGATGTCACATACATACATGCATGCGCGCACGCACACACACACACACACACACACACACACACACACACACACATGAAGCAGCTGAAGAATCCGAGTATGCAGTCTCCCAGGCACGCGCACACACATGAACCAGCTGCCGAATCCAACTATACAGTCTCCCAGGCATGCACGCTCGCACACACACACACACACATGAACCAGCTGCCGAATCCACACAAACACGCGCGCGCGTGCGTGCGCACACACACACACATGAACTAGCTGTCGAATCCGACTATGCAGTCTCCCAGGCACGCGCGCACGAACACGCTTATGCGCACGCGTGTGTGCGCGCACACACACACATGAACCAGCTGCCGAATGCGACTATGCAGTCTTCCAGGCACGCGCGCGCGCGTGCGCACACACACACATAAACCAGCTGCCGAATCCGACTATGTCAGTCTGCCATGACTGCGAAACCAGCGAAGACATACGGTTCATTGGCTGCTGCCAGACTGGTCTGCTACAGGTTTGCGACGCTCTTGAGTACACTTGTGGCATGGCAGGCCGCTCTTCGAAAAGGAAATGTTACAAATACTACACTGAAACCGATCACGGGAGGCCGGCTGTGGCGGTGAAGCAATTCTGAATGCTGTGCGCCACTCTCCTTGCTGCTGTGCAATGTCGAACCAATGTCCTTCAAGGTGTAAGTGATGGATGTCTCTTCGGACAACATCACACCAATGCTGTCGGGTTTCACACACACACACACACACACGGCGCACACCTTGTCGACAATTGCGGAATCTAAAACCCACCAACGACCTGAAACACGGATCGCACTGGCCGCAGTGGCTGTGGCAACACCGTGCCCCAACACCAGTAGTAGCCTGGGGTGGTGTCACCAACAAAGGAAAACGCCTAGCACGCACATGCACGCTCGCACACACATGCACGCTCGCACACACATGCACACTCGCACACACACATGCACGCGCGCGCACACACACACATGCACGCGCATGCACGCGCCCACACACACAAACACGTGCACACATGCACGCTCGCACACATGCACGCGCGCGCACACACACACAAACACACGCACGCCCAGAAATGTGCACACAAACACGTGCGCACACACACATACACAGCTAATGGTATACAGTAGTATGTTGCCCGCAAAGCAGCCAGGTGCTCTGGCTTGGACCTCCAGCAGCGCTGGTTTCGCCCTCGCTACTTGTCGTCTTGCCCTCTCCAGTGCTGCCTGCAACAAAACATTCCCTTCCGGAAACTCTGGGTGGACCAGTTCTCCGTGTTGTATTTACACCGTGCTCTGCTTTCATAATTACCGGTATGGCATTCGTTGTTCGTATCAACCACTAAGCTCCTGGTATGTGGCCCCTTACTGGCCTTAGGATGTGGCTCTGGGTTCACTACTACATGCACATCACTGTCAGCAAGTATAGACAAAGCAAAATCAGAGGCACTGGTCTTCTCCAGGTTTGCAATTGCTATCACATGCGTGCAATTGGTGTAGCACTTTCCATGATACCAGCCATACCATTTACTCCTCCCTGAGCTCTTGTGCTGGCAGAGAAAAGCCCAGATATGGTCGTCCTTCTCTCGAGCAGCGCTGACGATGCGACACCAACTTGTAGTCTCGATATTACTCACTGCAGGCTTCTCGTTTATACTAAATTGGGCGCTGTGACACAGACACAAAATTCCAGCAATATTACTCCGCTGGGCTGTCATTTGCCACTTCGTTGCCGTCAGCTGCCTCATCCAGCACCTCGCTGCCACTAGAAACGTCTTCCTCTTCTTCCATTGTTGTCAAAACAACATCAATGTACACGAAAGGAATAAACTTCAATAAAGTGATCACAATATCCCAAGTCGATATTGTCGCCAACGTCGTCATCTTCTAAAAAATAAATTATTTTTCCTCACTCCACGCGAACTTTAGGCACCCAGGATGGCAGAGGTCGTATCTGTTCACGGGGGAGACAGATGAATCCCGGGACATACCACCCTGGGGCCTAATAAATTACAACTCCGAGGAGAGGGCAACTTTGTCTAGTTGTTGTTGTTTATTTTAGAGCAAAGAGGAAGAAATGTGTCATGCGCATGCGCATATCTGGTGAGGGAGCTGACGTCATGCAGCGAGGTCGCTACAGTACTCCCCCACCAGAGAACAAGCGGAGCGCAGAGAACGACAGAGAAAAAACTAGGAAATAGCAAGAGCACTGCATGTGGCGTACCCAATGTTTGTTAACGAGGCTAACAAAGGCCGAAACAGAGGGAAAAATGCAGGAAGCGAAAAGAGATGCGTGACAGAGGCGGGTTAACATGAAAGAGGTGGAGAGCATGTCAGAGGCAGAAAGAGAGAGAAAAAAAATTGTATGCAAACTGTGAAGGCAGAGGCAAAGACGCGCAGTAATCAGTTGCGGGAAAACTAGCTGATGAACAGCCCATATACATGTAGCCGTGTATCAATGTGGCGAGGCAGCGACTGGGTAGTCGGCAGCCAATCCAGGTACGGAACATGACAGCAATACAATTTTGTAGTAGTAGCAGCAGTGCTGGCTCCACGACTGGGGAGGCTTTGCGGGTGGGAGGGGGCCAAGCTCCAGCTTGTGGCCAGCGCACACTGGACGGTGGTTGGAGGGTGGTTGCTCCACAGCTGCTCCAGGTCCAGGCGGTGAGTGCGGATGTTGAGGCTCAAGTTTATTGTCAACAGCCGGTGATTGACAGGCAGCCAGAATGCGGTGCACGCAGGAACGGACTCAGTCACTGCGGCGAAAACCAGTGATGGCTGGCAGGCTGACGGGCGGAAACAGCATGACGACGGATGGCAGCGGCAGGAGGGCGTAGTCCGCAGCAGCTCCAGGTGTGCCGAGGGCGGGTGGGCGGCGAGAGGCACCACAAATTCCCAAATCCGGAAAGTCAAAAACTACTGTATACAAATACTCCGCGAGCGCAGCGTCAGGGGTCACCAATTTAGGCACCCAGGATGGCAGAGGTCGTATCTGTTCACGGGGGAGACAGATGAATCCCGGGACATACCACCCTGGGGCCTAATAAATTACAACTCCGAGGAGAGGGCAACTTTGTCTAGTTGTTGTTGTTTATTTTAGAGCAAAGAGGAAGAAATGTGTCATGCGCATGCGCATATCTGGTGAGGGAGCTGACGTCATGCAGCGAGGTCGCTACAGAACTCGTGTTTTGCGCTTGCTCATACGACGCACACCTCACCACTCGCGTAAAAATATTTGTTCTCACGGTGGAATTTGGTCGAGAAAAGAAGCCCTCGCGAAGGTCTACGTCTCTGGATCGGTTCTGGAACGTCCAACAAGCGAAAACGTATCCTTTGTGATGTCCTTGACCAACACTGTAAGCGGCGATTTGTCCATCCGAGAGTGCAACGGCACTTGTGATTTTGAGTTTTGGCTCACGGACTAACTGCACTGTTCCACAGTTTTATTTTATTTTATTTTTTTTAAGGTTCCAAGCCTCTTGTACGGGCAAAATAAACACAAGTGCAAGATCAACAGCTTAGTACCGAGAGAAAATGAGCTGAAATGGCTGTGAAAACAGTCTTATACGGAGGAAGCTACAATGGCTGTGAAAACAGTCGCCTGTCGCCATCCTGTCAAAGAGGAAATCCCAGCGCTGCCACCATGTAATGTTCTCCCGACGTCCTTAGTACGTGTCGAGAGCACACCAAAATACCAAGTCAACACGGTCTCGTTGTGAGGCAAAGAACCCTTTTCATTTTCAGTGCAAGAACACAAAATAGTCGTGAAAGACACATCATACAGCAAGACAGTCGCGGGTACTCCATATCTGGATCTAGTAGAGTACTAGAGGGTACACTACGGTGCATGAGACATCTATAAAGAGAAGAGTACAAATAAGAGAAACAAGCATGCACAATGGGTACACACACACATACAAGATAACACTACAATAAGGAGGAAGCTAAAATGGCTGTGAAGACAGTCTAATGCGTAGCAAGGCGAGCCTCAGCCTGGACGAGGTCGACAGGCACAAGGTTGATGTGACGGCGGCGAACGGAGCGTGATCCTCGAACGCACCGGATCGCAGACCTAGCAAGAGAGAAAGCCAAGCAGCAGCGCATCCAGCAAACGACTTTGCTGTAGCTCTCCTTGCGCTTAGAAGCCAGAGCATCAGCAATCCGCTTGACGACGATGGCTGCCTCTGGACCCATTCCGCCGCAAGAGGAGAAGACCAGTGGTGTGAACGAGCCATGTTCAACTTGGTTTTAAACTCTTTCGCCATACTCCCGCTTCTTGGCACCTTCCAACTTGCGATAAATAGATGCAATGGGCTGGGACCGATAGCTCGCTGAGTGGGGATAGAACACCCTCGTATCGAAAAATGCATTGCGGCTATGGTCCACAGTTGCTGTTAGCGGTCGCCAAAGGCACTTGGTGGGCCGGTAATTGGGTCACGTGTCAACAAAGTGTCAACAACGTCTCGACCACGTGTATTTAGCGGTACACTAATTTTGGTGTCCCCAAACGTTTAAAGGGGAAGTTAAAGGGGAAGTTAAGGCAAAAATTAAAATTTCACCAGTTGTAGTCTTCGGGGTGCTGAGTCGAATGGTCTTGGTCCGAGAAAGCTGAGACGCTCCCTTCCTACTTGAATCCCAATCGAACTCGCGCACTTCCACCGAAACTGGGTGACTGCGCCCTACTGGATGGGGATTTGTATGCAAAATGTCACTAAAAGCGCCATTTCGTTCTTATAAAAGTACGGATGACCGCGATTGGCCCATATGTTGTAGTCTTTTGGACGCTGAGTCGACTGGTTTTGGTCCGAAAAGGCTGCGATGCAGCGTTCCTCCTTTATTCCCAATCGAACATGGTTGAACAAGCGGTCACGTGCTCCTGGTTGCCCAAATCACCTGGTCACCTCGCCAGCAGGCGACAACTAAAGTTACTTTCACACCAAGGTTCAACTCGAGTGACAGGACTGCACCCAAAAAAGGTCAAACAGCACTCCGAAGACTACAACTGGTGAAATTTTAATTTTTGCCTTAACTTCCCCTTTAAGGCAACAATTAAAATTTCACCAGTTGTAGTCTTCGGAGTGCTGAGTCGAATGGTCTTGGTCCGAGAAAGCTGAGACGCTCCCTTCCTACTTGAATCCCAATCGAACTCGCGCACTTCCACCGAAACTGGGTGACTGCGCCCTACGAGATGGGGATTTGTATGCAAAATGTCACTAAAAGCGCCATTTCGTTCTTATAAAAGCACGGATGACCGCGATTGGCCCATATGTTGTAGTCTTTTGGACGCTGAGTCGACTGGTTTTGGTCCGAAAAGGCTGCGATGCAGCGTTCCTCCTTTATTCCCAATCGAACATGGTTGAACAAGTGGTCACGTGCTCCTGGGTGCCAAAATCACCTGGTCACCACGCCAGCAGGCGTCAACTTTCACACCAAGGTTCAACTCGAGTGACAGGACTGCACCCAAAAAAGGTCAAAACAGGCTGTAAGTTGTACCCTGCAGGCACGGTGACCAGGTGACTGGTGTACGCAGGAGCACGTGACCGCTTGTTCAACCATGTTCGATTGGGAATTAGGGGCGAACGCTACATCGCAGCCTTTTCGGACCAAAACCAGTCGACTCAGCGTCCAAAAGACTACAACATATGGGCCAATCGCGGTCATCCGTGCTTTTATAAGAACGAAATGGCGCTTTTAGTGACATTTTGCATACAAATCCCCATCTCTTAGGGCGCAGTCACCCAGTTTCGGTGGAAGTGCGCGATTTCGATTGGGATTATAGTAGGAAGGGAGCGTCTCAGCTTTCTCGGACCAAGACCATTCGACTCAGCACCCCGAAGACTACAACTGGTGAAATTTTAATTTTTGCCTTAACTTCCCCTTTAACTGAAAACATCGAGCACCAGTATGGAAAGGCTTTAGACAGAAAGCCTTTCCAATACACAGTTCCAAGAAGAGAAAAGGTTCCAACTCTACCGAGAACGGATCCTTTGGCGCACCCCAAATCTCACATTTCCGCGCAACCATGCATTGCGAGGTACATGGAAGGACGTGTGCGCGTGAAACTCGGAATGTCCGTTCTAAGGGGGTGATTACATGTGCAGCTCCAGCCCGGGCTGGTAGACCAGGTAGACAGGCGGGCCAGCCCGCCTGCAACGGGATCTCGGGGTTGTACACAAATCCACACAAAACCAGCGGAGCCTGTTTTATTTCACTTCGCATACGCATGCCGGAAACGAACCCCTTAATTATGGTACGGGAAGCCCGTTTCTACTTAACTACTTACATCTGCGTACGAGAAGCCTCTTTTTTAAGTTTTTGTCGCCACACGCGCACATACATGTACAAAAAATGTAGGCATCCCGATACACTTCCACTTCGTGAAGGGATGTAGAAGTATAGGGTTGACATACAGGAAACAGACATCTTTATAATTATACAGAGATCTGTTGCGCTGGAAGCTTCTCCTTTTTCTCTGGTGAAGGTGGAAAGAGACTGATAAAGCTGTTCTTGTCAACGTGCCAAGATGAGGACTCTAGCGATACTGGTAGGTGATGATAGATTGCAGTCGACAATGTTTGCCCAGTGTTGTTTGTTTTATAAACCAAAAAAAACTAAGTATATTTATACCGATATCGGCAATATTGAAAAAATCTCGTTAATGTCTCAAATGCAAGTGGCGTTTCTTCGCTGCAAACTTTGTACAATTCCAATCCAAATTGCGGCCAGAAGCCATTTTGTGGTGAATGAATTTTGTGACTGCTTGCATGTGTCTGCTTATCAAGTATCACTTCGGAATAGTAACAGTAAGATCAGTGGTGTCGTAGTTGAGATGTCTCATATCTCTTAAACTGTCAAATCCTATATATAGGATTTCTGGAACAATTTCCAATAATCATGGCCATGTTTCCGCCCGGGATAAGTTGTGTGCCTAAATGGTATTGTAAGGTGTTAGGGCAGTATCAGTAGGTTCTGTTGAGAAGTTTTCAACGTGAGTGCCGGTTAGGCCTTGACGGATTATGCTAGCATAATTTTTCGCATAATTTCTACCAAAATCGAATAATCGCATAATTCGAGGCAAATTGCATATGAATCGCATAAATTGGAATAATCCGCCTGTTCGCATCAAATTCCATACAGTTGTACATGTTCTACAAGTACAAGTACAAGTAGATGCACCAGGAAGTTGTAGGTTTACGACTCCCTTGATAACATGTCCAGTCCACTACAGTCAGTGACGGTTGTAGCTAGGTCGGACGCGTCCGGACGTTGCGGTGACCCCATTGAACTTTTGCTACTACAGTACAACGCCCTCAACAAAACAATTCCCCTGGTATTTTGCACAGAACCATCATCAGCAGCATAATATGTGAGCATAATGCGGCATAATATGATAACTTTTAGCATAAAAATAGCATAATTCTGCGATTTTTTCAGCAATGCGAAAAGCATAATTTCACGAAAATATTAGCATAATCCTTCAAGGCCTACTGCCGGTATTATTACTTGACTTACAGGGCAGTTTTAGAGAGGACATGTCAATTCTTTGTCGGATCCCATTATATAGTATTTGAGTGTTCTGCATTATTTACTGCGAGTACAGTGTTGTAACTGCTGCATATGATGATAGAACTGGCAGGGAAAGTAATATTGAATGCTTAGTATGCTGAATAAAAACACAGATACCATGAATATTATGTCTGTGACTGATTGGGGAGCACTGCCACAGGTTTGCATATCTAGTGCTTTTACCTGTACTACAGTGGAAGTTTCACACCGAAATTTGGCCGATCGGCTTGACATTTGAATTATTCCTACGGAGATGCATGGAAAACAATTCCAAATACCCTATGAAACCCATTTCATCAATTTGCATAGGTTGTTTAGCGACATCCTTTAGCCAGAGACCAAATCCTATGTATTGGATTTGCTGGTGACAGTTTAAAAGAGATGGGAGATCTAAGAATGTACATGTATGCCGATAAGAGTTTAGAGGAAGGAGAAAATTCTACGAATTCTGACGGTACTGTGAAGCACAACTGTAGTACGCAACCGACCGAGTGACAAGGCAAAACTGGTTCTGTCTCTCCGACTCAAAACACAAGTAGTATTGTCAGGGAACAATAAGACAAACGTAGGTAGCACAGAACTTATAGTATATTAAAAGACTCAAGTGAAGGTAAGACGACAGAAACAACGGAAGCAAAGACTCTGCAACAACTGAACTGGGCAACTGACACACGGATCTATATACGGTACGAGATTGCCAGTTACAGCTCCGAGCGCTAGCTAGCGATCTCTAAATGAAAGCAAGGGATCTGATGGTGCCAGCAATGCATAGTGCAATACATAGCAATACATAGTGATTTGTGTAGGGGAAAGTCCGTCTACTACACTGCTCCCCCTCAAATAATTTTCCGTCCTCGGAAAACGAACAAGAACATAATACAGAACTAACGGAGACCTAAACTAGGCTCAAGCAGCAAAATACAGCAGCAAGAAAAAAGAAAATCATACACAAGCACACAATGTAAACAGAGTGGAGCAGAAAGGCAAGGCAAGTGGGAGTTTTTAAACTCATTGTGGGAACACATAGTTGTTCCTGTAACGAACAGGAAGACCGGCGTTACAGTGCAGAGGGGCACGCGGACCAGGTGCTGGTAGTACTGGCTGCAGCAAAACCGGCGGCGGAGGAGAAACAGGTTGGGGTGGGGCATCATCAGCATCAGGCCAGGAGAATAGCGGAACAGGCGGCGAACATGGAGAAGTAGGAGCCAGTGGCGCTTCAGACAGCGGGACATCTGGGCCGGACTGAGACACTGACGACTTGGCATTTGAGCGGGCGTGTAACTTGAGGCGGTTGAAATGTACACGCTTACTGGTGCTGGAGGGCTCGTTGATCAATTGAATGTCGTATGACGTTGGCGGCGACACGTAGACAATCCGGTATGGTCCGGTCCACAGTGGCTGGAGTTTGCGACGAATTCCAGGTTCAAGGAGCCACGCACTATCACCGACTTGGAACGCAGTGCCACGTTGACGAAGGTCGTAGTGGTCCTTCTGGTTGTGGTGCGCAGCATTATCATTACGACGGGCAGTATCGAAACTATGGTGGAGGGACTTGGACAGTTGTGTTACATATTCGGCGGGCGACACAAACTCTGTCGGGGGTGACCCATAGACAAGGTCGATAGGCAGACGGAGTTGGCGACCAAACATAAACTGAGCTGGGGTGAATTTGAGTAGAAGAATGGTTGGCTGTACGGTATGCAAGCAGGACGGTTGAAACATACTGATCCCAGAAGGTGGGCAGATCCGCTACATACACTCGCAACGTTGAAACTATGGTGCGGTTGAGGCGTTCCACGAGCCCATCGCCCTGGAGATGATACGCAGTGGTCCGAGTCTTTCGGATATTCATGAGGCGACACAGTTCACTGAAGAGTTCAGACTCAAATTGTGTGCCCTGATCGGTGTGGAGTTGTTTTGGGGCACCAAACCGACAGATCCAGTTTCGAAAGAACACATCCGCAACGGCAGCAGCAGTCATAGTGGGTAGAGGGTACACTTCAGGCCAATGTGAGAAGTAGTCACTACATACCAGTAGGTAATGGTTGCCATGGCGACTGGTAGGCAGTGGTCCAACGAGATCCATAGCTACGATCTCGTTAGGGAAGCCAGCCCCCCGCATGGATTGCAATGGTGCTCGGCCAGTCGAAGCGGGACATGCACTCTTGGCAATTAGCTACAAATGTGCTCAAATCAGCTGACATACCTGGCCAGAAGAAACGGCATTTGGCCTTGTCAATGGTCTTTGTAACACAGAGATGACTACCACTAACATCGGCGTGCACTGCAGATAAGATATCAGCTTGGAAAGAGAACGGAACAGCTAATTGCAAAACAGAATCAGCCGATGGGTCTATGCGATACAAAACACCATCACGTAGGAAAGCAATTGAATTTCAGAAGCATAGCGGCGAACAGCACGGCTAGAGGCAGTTAATGGGTGCAGGGGGAGAATTAAACACATCATCACTAGAATCATGCCAGCCTAACACAATGGACAAATCAGGATCCTCTTTTTGCGCAGCAGCAGCAGCAGTAAAGCGCGGCAGCCAGGACACAGGTGCAGGTTTCGGTACAGTGGGCACAGGATCACAAGCAGGAGCAGGAGCAGGAGCTGCTGGTGCGGCTGGTGACGACTGTAGTGGTTCTACAAACGCACCAAAGACATCTTGTAACTAGCTTCGTTACTACAAATCACAAGTGTGTGTGAATACAGAGAACGACAGAGAGATCAAAGGAAAAGCCAGGCAGGCAAGTACAGCTAAAGTGCGTACGGTACAACTGGCATGTCGCACAGCGCGGCCGGATGAATGCATACATGTTACATAAAAGGATACAATGACAAACAGTGGGATGTGCATCCACTACAACGACTGGTCAGGCAGTGACTGACGGGTAGTGGCGGCAACAGACTCAGGAGGACGGCGAGACAGAGCATCGGCATTTCAATGTTGACGGCCAGGGCGATGAATAACAGTGAACTCTAGTTCAGCAAGTTGTTCTAACCAACGGGCATGACGACCGCGTGGTTCCTTGAGTGAATGGAGCCATTTGAGAGCAGCATGATCAGTGCGCACAACAAATGCTCGACCAACGAGGTTGTAGCGGAACACATCAGCAAAGTGTACAAATGCAAGGAGTTCCTTCTCTGCAGTGGAGTAGTTACGTTGGGCGGTGTTGAGAATAGCACTACCGTAGGAAATCACACACTCATGGCCATCTTGTACCTGAGAGAGCACACCGCCCATACCAAAATCACTGGCATCAACATCAAGGATGAAGGGAGCGGCGGCAGACGTGTAGTCAGGCTGAGCAAGCACAGGCGCAGATGAGAGGCGTTTTATTTAGTACACAGAAAGCAGCCTGACAAGCAGGACCCCAGGAAAACGTCGCATTTTTCTTAGTGAGTGCGGCCAGTGGGGCGGCAGCTTGCGCGAAGTGCGGAACAAATTTCCGGTAATACCCAGCAAGGCCGAGAAAACCACACTTCACGAACGGATGTCGGCTTACGCCAGTGAACAATATCGTGAACCTTCGAAGCTGAGGTGTGAAGGCCATCGGCACTGATGTCCACACCAAGGAACTTAGTGCGGGGCTGCAGGAAAGCGCATTTCTCAAGCCGAAGCTTGAGATTGTACAGACGAAGGCACATGAAAGCGGACCGGAGGCCATCCAAGCCAAGGCTAACAGTGGCTGACCCAATGTCATAAAAAAAACACAGCAGACGGGATCATGACTGGTAAGGAGATTATTTAGGATCGTTTGCATCAAACGCTGAAATGTGGCAGGCCCATTGCAGCAACCCATAGGAAGAACCGTGAACTCGTACAACCCAAGGGGCGCCACGAAGGCTGTTTTAGCTTGGTCTTGAGGGTGGATTGCGATTTGCCAGTAGCCACTAGGAAGGTCAAGTGTCGAGAATACCTTAGAGCCAGAGAACGCGTCTAGGGTATCGTCGACCCGAGGAAGAGGATAAACGTCAGCTGTGGTGATCTTGTAGAGCCGGCGATAGTCAACACAGAGACGCAGAGAGCCATCTTTCTGGGGCACGAGGACAACAGGGGAAGCCCACGGGCTCGTAGAGGAAGTAATGACACCTTTCTGCAGAAGGTCATTGATAATATTCTGGAGCTGCTCACAATGACGGAATGGAACACGGTGAGGTTGTTGTTTGACAGGCGAATGATCACCTGTGTCGATATTATGTGGCACAAGAACACAGTACCCATGGTCGTCGGGATGAAGAGCAAATACATCGTGGTACTGCAGGAGAAGGTCACGCAAGGTAGAACGGTCTGTTGCTGACAGGTGACAACAATTCTTTTCCATATACGCATCAATCTTCTCTTCTGGCACAGGCGGCGGCATGGACGGCGAATCAACAACAGCAGCACAAGTGTCAGCACACTCAGGGACAGATTCACATACAGCAATATGAGTATTCGCATGCAGGGTAATCTGGGTGGTACCACGGTTAACCACATTGGTAACCAAGTTATCCGGGGACGTGACAGACGTTCCGACATCCAATGCCGGGTGTTTCTCTGAGAACGAATCAAGTGGCTCGATTAGATACGAAGTATCAGCAGCAGGAGAGCCAGCAGCACATACCGACGGGGCAACCGGAAGATGACTTCATGACAGGGCGGAACTGAAACAGACTGTGTGATGCACACACGGAACGAGGAAACAACACGAGACACCGGAGATTCAACAGCATTGGCAGCAGCAGCAGGTACGGAGGCAGCGGCGGCAGCAGGAACGGAGGCAGGGACGGCAGCAGATACGGAGGCAGCGACGGCAGTAGGAACAGTCGGAGCACTCAGGTCGGGCACGTCATTCGTAACATGGGCTGGTGTGGGCGCTGCAGCAACTGCAGCAGACAGCGAACGCACACGTGGAAGGGGTACAAGCGGCAATTTAACATCATCCAGGACCAACTGAGCCCAGGAGAAATCAGGCAAGACATTGTGCTGCTGGAGGAAGTCAGCACTAAGGATTACATCAGACGTGATATCAGCAGCAATGATAAAATTCTGAACAGCTGCGAACGAGGGTGTACAAACAGAGAGGGACACGGTACCCGTGGTGGAGAGGAGACGGCCCGTCACACCAGACACAACAGGAGCAGCAGACACAGGGACAGAGGAAGTCGTGCACAGACTATGCCACAATGCAGTAGACACAAGTGAAACACTAGAACCAGTGTCAACAAGAGCATGGCATTTGGTATCTTGGAGACTAACCTCAACATAAACAGACGGAGAAACTGCAGAAGACGCCTGAACATGAGTAACAGGACACACAGTCACAGGTGCAGACGTAGGACAACGCACATCAACAGTACAATAGCAGGGACTACATTCACAACCAGTACAAGTCGGCACAGTCGAGCTAGAAACAATAGTATCGAAGACTGGAGCTTGCCGAGCAGCACCAGTCAATAGCGGTTTCCCGACAATCACGACGGAAGTGGGACGGATCGCCACAAGTGAAGCACCCGCGATCACGCTCGCCATCGTAAAATCCGCAGCCTGTGCCGTTGTACGGAGGCGGGCTACGATTCGAGCTGCCAGGAAATCGAGTTGGGTCCGACATGGGCGCGCTTCGAGGAAAGACGCTGTGATCACGGCCACGTGGAGCTCGAGTGTCGGCACTATACGCCCGTGGCAACGGAGCGGAGGTTGCGGAGAGGACCTGGCTGTAGATCAGCTAGCTGGTCCGAAATTTTGCTCAACAACGATAGTACGAGCGGGTCGGTGGAGCTCGAAGTCGGACTCGGAGCTATCTGGGCCACGGTGGCACTGGACGCAGGATTCGGATCCGCGAGTGGACCTACGGAGTGTGCCTGAGGTATAGAGGTGGTCAGGGCAGCACAGGCTGGTGTAGGAACTGGAAGGCTGCGGCGATTCTCGACCTCTAAGATCGCTGCAACTTCGTACGCCCGTCGAATGGCGGCATCGAGGGCTGCAGGGCTGGATGTCCTGATGTGCAGGCGCAGATCACTATTGACCTGGCCGTCAATGAACTGGTTGAGCGTCAGGCGATCCAACAGCGGACCCTGTTGTCCTGGAAAGGCGTGTGCCGCAAGGTGCTGAAAAGCTGCGGCGAACACGGCCTGGGACTCAGTTGATCGTTTCATGCGAGCTCGAAACTCGGCCTCAAGGAGGCGACTTTGCTGTGGCGGTTCGAACCGTAGCCCTAATTCGGTGCACATTTCTACATACGTATACTGCGGGTGCGCCGCCAGAATGGTCTGATAAGTTGTAAAAGCACTCTCCTTGAAACAACAAGGCAAAAACTGCAGCCTTTCTGCATCCCGGTACCCATTTACCACGCACGCTGCGTCGAACCTGGCGATGAAGCAGTGCCAATCGTCTTAGCTGGCACCCCCAAACATCGGCGGTACAACTACCGGCCGAGCAAGTGGTGCCTGTCGAGGACCCGGAGCCAGAGCTGGTGCAGCAGGAGCAGCAGCGGCAGCGGCAGGAGCGGCAGCAGCAGCAGCTTGAGGATTCGGTGCCATTTTCGGTGTCTTGTATATAAGGATAATAAACAAACAAGGAGGAATTCGCAAGCAACACGGGACGCGTTTGAGGACTAAGCCTACACTATAGCAACAGTTTAAGTACGGCGAGCAGTGCAAGAAAAACTGGCAACGAAGAGCTAGCTTAGGAGACAAGACTACGAATAGATCCAACAAAGCAAGCCTAGAAAATACTAGCACTACAAAAATGTAAATAATAAAATCGTAAATTGCCACGGAACAAAGTTACTCAGCTTGAGTTGAGACGAGAACGGCAACGGCAACGTTCACTGCACGGCGAAATAACGAGGCGTGGTCCGGAAATACTGCGACTGACGAACGCAGAGCTAACACCGCTGCCACCAAATCTAGTACGCGACCGAGTGACAAGGCAAAACTGGTTCAGTCTCTCCGACTCAAAACACAAGTAGTATTCTCAGGGAACAATATTGCACGAAAAGACAAACGTAGGTAGCACAGAACTTATAAAATATTGAAAGACTCAAGTGAAGGTAAGACGACAGAAACAACGGAAGCAAAGACCGTCTGCAACAACGGAACTGGGCGACTGACACACGGATCTATATACGGTACGAGATTGCCAGTTACAGCTCCGAGCGCTAGCTAGCGATCTCTAAATGAAAGCAAGGGATCTGATGGTGCCAGCAATGCATAGTGCAATACATAGTGCGATGCATAGTGATTTGTGTAGGGGAAAGTCCGTCTACTGCAACAACAATAGTATGCATTGGAGTCATGGGACGACAGGGCACATGACTGACAGGGGTACTGAGAGACTCAACGACCTGCCATATAGCTTTAACATGTCTACTGAACGAAAACCAATAACCTTCTGACTTGGATAGCTTTGGTGTTGCACAGGAGTAATTTTGGCAATTGCCGGCCCAGTACTCAATGCACAACGTGCAGAGCGTTTCAAACGAAAAAAGAAGTCCAGTTTGGATTTGTCGTAACTCAAAGTTTGGTTGCATGGCTAGATTTGTTATTGTATACTTTATTAATAGTGGGAATCATATTAGATTTATATTTATTACAACAACTCACGACTCGGTGGAAACACCGGCCAATGTTAAAGAGAGCGGGTGATTGCCAACCACGGCGATAAATTAGGGTTCGTGTTTTAAAAGAGGCGCAAGACCGATCGTTGTAGGGCTGCATGATGGTGAATATGTCGTACTACTATAATGATTGTGTGACTGTAAAGTCAATGTCCTGACCAGTTTCGCTGCGTATAGCTCATCAGGAGACGCTTTTTAGAGAAAAGCCGTGGACTGAAAATTAATAGTGTAGGTATATAGCAGGATTAGATAGGGTTTGATTAGGCTGATGTGTAAGATTATAGTAAGGACTTATTGGACTCGGATGGAGAGCCAAGGATTAATAATTATTTATAAGAAAGAAAAAGGACCAAAGAGCTAAACGTCAGGGGTCGCACTTGTGTACTTAGACATCGCAGCCATTTTGAATTCATCACGCACGCAGCACGTGCGCGGCAGAGTCGTGCAGCCAATCAGAGTTACGGAAAATTCAAAATATTGCAATATTTGGGCGATTTGTAAAGGGTTCCTTGGCAGCGGTTTATCTAGCTACGGCGTCGAAAATCGCAGGGCTGCTTTGACGGCCAAGTACGCGGACATCTATCGAAAGAAATTTTGAAATCGGTCAAGTAGAACGGAAATACGGTAATACGGTCCATTTCCACCTGTTTCACCGTACTTCACCGTATCTTGATAATAAATCGCTGCTCTTTATCACAAATTTGATTCGATAGATCTCAAGAGGAGATCGCAATGAAAATTTTGAGCCCTCAACCATCAGAATCGGACCAGAAATGGCTGCCAAGGAACATTTTGAAGATCAGACTAACACACTTACGGCACTGAAGAAGTGCAAGTGTCGCTCAGTTTGAGCTGGGCGGCAGGGTGTCACTGTCAGTCACAGTGTTACTAGTGGTAGTGCTAGTGCTAGCAGGGCATTCACTCGACGGCGTGGATATGGCAGGGAAAGATCTCGCTGCAGCAATACTCTGCACTGCCGCACGCGTTCCAGGGTTGTTCTGCACGGCATGTGTGCGCCCTTCCTTCTCCAGCACGTCGATGCGCTGCTGGTAGTCTTGTCTCCTGCGATGGCGCTGCAGGATTCCCTGGTAGGTTTCCGCAGCAGTAAATGATCTCGCCTGCGACGTACCGGCTTGGAGTGCTTGGAGCTGCTTTCGTGCTGCGCTGAGACGTTCGGCAGTGACTGTTGAGGCGTATTCACCCATGGCAGCGGCGATCTCATGTGCCGTGGCATCTACAAAACCCAGGTGTGGAAACGAAGAAAAGATCATTTGATTGTGCCTATTATTTTTGAAGGCAATCGTGGACACGTACGTGTGGAGATTTGGCAATCAAATATTGCAGAATAAGTGCAATGCTCATCATGTCACATAAACATTTGGAACTATTCTGATTCAGTGGCGAAAGTGGCTTACCTGTGATCTTCTTCCGCTTTCCTGCTGATGTTGACCGTGACTGCTTGCTGTAAAGAATGTTCTCTACGAACAGGTGCGTAGCTTGCTTGCTCTGCTCAGAGTCAGACGCCGTCAAGTGGATGCTAGCCAGGTTGAACTGACGCTCTGCCATTACGTTGTTCACGGGTAACGCAAATATGTGCTTACAAAACCACGTCCACGTACACGGCTCTTTCTCGGCGTCGATGGTGCTGGGTGATGCCTTCTTCGCTAGATCTCTGATCTCCGCTGCCATGCCATCTGGCATAGGCCATTTCGCCATCCAGTCCGTCATGCCCGACACATCGGCAGACACCAGCGCAAGCACCTCAAACTCTCGAAACCAATGGCATGAAGAGTCTTGGAGGAGATGCTTTTGCCTGTCGAGCAATCCGTTCTGGTGGCACACAGCAGCAAGAGTGAATGGACACTTTAACGATGTTGCTGCTGAAAGTAACTCTCTGTACAACGTGTTCCGGTCAATGCCGTCTGGCAACCATGGCAGTCCATCAGTATTACTGTCCACTGGCAGACCCCTCACCCTGAGCCAGGCTCTCCAGAAAAAATGTCGATAGCTGGAGTCGGCGCCCATGGCAAACAGTAGCGGAAACTTGAACCACCGGGCTCCATGCTTTTCCAAGCTGCCAATGATGGCCAAGGTCAAAGGCTTCAGGACGTGTTCCCGGTAGTGTTGACTTCGGTCAGGCAACAGATCTGCCAGACTAGCGACAGTCAGTGGCATGGCAAAGTCAGGGTCAATGTTCATGAGCTTTGCCATGTGCAGATCATGGAGAACTTGAGCTGGCCACTTCCTCGCAAGGTAGCCGCTAGAGAAGCCGAGCTCAGTGTCTGGCAGCTGGCTTGCCCGCAACGCTGGAATAATCAGCCTGTCAAGCACTTCCAGCAATGTAGTGCGTTCGGCTTTCAGGACTGGGCTCGCCGACATCCGTATGATTTCCTCCCATATGCCATAATGAACGTCGCTCTTCGGCAGGAACTCCAGAATGCGTTTTCCCAGCTTCAAGCACGCATCCCCGTATTTCGTGCACCATTGCAAGTTCTCGTGGATGTACGTCCAGCGTGTCTCCACGAATTCTTGAGGTAAGGGTGGTGATTTATTGAGTATATTTTCGGACACGTACAATGCCTTGTAATATGAAGGTTTCTGGTGATGCACATATCCGATTTTGTATTGAAGCTGGAACAAATTGAAGCTTGTCATCTGACCTCGCTGGCCAAAAGCCTCCGCCATTCCGTTTCTTAATGCAATGTTTATGATGTGCGGGTAGCAGCCTATGAACACTGTGCGAGCTTTGAATAAGTTGCCCAGCTCCACAGCGTGCCCTTTCTTGGCTCCGGACTGTGTCGAAGCGTTGTCTCCTACGACGCCGACGACTGTTTTAACCCCATATACGTTGCTTAGGACATTGTAGTCGGCGCGCGCTTGATCCTCTCCCCTCCCACTAGCCACAATGGTGTCTGCCAGCAAGTAGCCAACAGGGCATGCATGTTTAACAGACCAGGTGTGGGCCCCCACCATATGACGGTCCTCACCTCGTTTATTTGAGTCGTCTGCGAAGATGGCTATGTCATGTTCAGTGGTGGACAGGCTTTCCTTGAGGATGGCCTTGTCCACTTCTGCTAGCAGCAAATTCCACTTTCGAATCGTTGACGGCGCAACAGTGGTGTGTAGGTGTTTGCAAGGGCCTTGGCCTGTGAGTAAGTGGTGGCTCAGGTGAAGGGCTAGTGCTGCTTTTTCATTGGACAGTAGACACGCAATTTTCAAGAATCTAACTTGGGCCATGAAGCGAGGGCAGTGTGCTTTGGTGCCGGAAGACGTAGCAGGAATGATACTTGGGGCATTGCAGTGGATTCTGTTGCTGACTGTCTGTTTTTTTGTTTTCTTTTTTTGTATTGTTTGTGAAATGCGCAGACATTTTATTTCCAGGCGTTGCTGCTCGATCTTCATTTCTTGCATCTCGCACTTCTTCTCCATAGCTGCGAGCCGTTTCTCTAAGGAAATGGTCTCTTTGCTGCTGGCGACCGTTGTCTCTGTGGCTGCCGACGATCTGGCGTCCTCTATTGGGCCATCTACGGGCATGTATTTTGTTGACTCGCCCACAGTTGCTACTACACTTCTGGCAACTGAGCTGGTAGGACTGGAGACTGAGCAAGCAGGACGCGAGACTGGGCTGACAGAACATGAGACTGAGCTTGCAGGACTGGAGACTGAGCAAGCAGGACGCGAGACTGGGCTGGCAGGACATGAGACTGAGCAAGCAGGACTGGAGACTTCTTGACTGTCCTGCACTGGTGGTAGAAACTCTTCAGGTGTTCTCTGCGGAGAGATGTCAAAAAGGGGATATAAAATCTTATAAGATTTGCTTGAAAAGTATCAGAACTGTTGTTACTTTGAAACGGACTCTGGAATTCACCATAGGATGTTATTGAATTAATATTTGAGAGTACACACAATTCCTTTCCTGTTTTGTTTAAATCGATGTCATCGTTAATGCTGGATGTATTGTATTTTTTCATCTGCTTCTGAATGATCATTCCCAGTGCCTGTCCAATTAAATTATTTAGGTTAGTGTTCAAGTCACAGTATTGTTTGGTCAGTTTTGCTGGATAGTACGCCAAGGCTACATGTAGAAACCATTCTACAGAAACAATGATTGGTATAGAGCTTGTTTCCAGGCATACGTGTCAACATAAAATTTTATTGTGGTTCCATCGTTGACGCATATGTCAACTCAGCTGCTGCTGTTTGTCACAAGTCAAGGGAGAGTATTCTGGGATCTCAATCAAGATCGGCAGGCGTGAGGTTGTTCTCTACTTCAAGTGCATAACTGTATTATTCAACCACACAATGAATATGTGTTACATACTCGCCAAATGTTTTCTGTGACTGTGCAACCCATTAGAATGAAGATTCCGGACAATAATAATCGTACACATGATCGTACACATCAGAGCTAGAGAGCGACACAAATAAAATAATTCCTATCTTACTGGTGGTTCATCCTCGATATCTGGAATATCAGGCACTGCAATCGTTGCCGGATTATCGCCCATGTCGCTGGAACTAGACCGAAGTCTCTTCGCTTGCGCTTGTCCAAATCGTCCTCTATGCCTTCGCTTGTAAGATTTTGGATACTCCATGCTGGGGCCGCGATCTCTTTTCGGAGGCATTGTAAAGCCGAACGAGAAAAACAACACGACTTCCACTTAGCAGTAAGTAGTCACTACAACTTACAACTAAAGGGAAGTCGAGGGAAGGACGGCAGGAGAGGAAGGAGGAGATCCGACATTAGGCGACAAGAAGACGGGAGTAGTCAGTTGCCTTCAGCAGCAGAATCGAAAAGCGTCTGAGCCTGTGATTTTTGGTTGATTTTTGGTTGCTTTCATGCACGGATATGCCATATATATGCTAGGTACATCGCCTCGGTGTCACGCACGTGCCCAAAAACGCACGCGCTGGGCACGCACTCAAAAGCAAGATGGCCGCGATGTCGAGAGCCGATCCCGATAGCAAGTGCGACCCCTAAACGTTACACTACAATGTCCACTAACACCACCAGTTACTAAACAATCAGCTAATGCGATAACATTGCACGACACTGACCGACGATACTGACGTTCTACAACTAACTGGCTAATAGCTCTAGCACATCTTGGATGCGAACTCCAACAGCCTTCCTACTAGGAAGGTTCTAAGTTATAGAAATAACGTAAGGAGGGGAAGGTGAGCGCAACCATCTTTTGAGCCACACACGTTGTGTGGAATGTTGCTTTGCATCCTTGAATCGTGGTTTGACAGTATTGTCCAATGGTCTTGCCAGTATCGTCATCGACATGAACATCCGCCAACATCCTCAACAGCTGAGACTTTCAGCTCGTGCATATCTTGTTATTTTCAACACTCCATATTACGTAAATGTCACTCTTTTATCTCTTAATGGCTGCCAGCCATTTTGAGCATAGAGATTTGAAGCAATAATGCGGACGCCGACGACTGAAAGTGGAAATGGAACTTTCCCAACCCAGTTCTCTTCCCTCTTCAATATGTTTTGCAGGTGCTGATCTGTATGGGCAAGATGGCTTTGGCTGAGCCAGAAACTAACCAGAATGTGACGCGGTGTGGAAATTGCCGTTGCCAAGGCAACAATGTTATTAGTTGCCCTGATTCGTACCCTGCGTAAGTTTTTTTCTTTGGCAAGGATGGCTTACATGTCTGACCCCAGGCTGCGTTTCTTCTCTGTCCACCCTGTCTTTTCTCCCTCTTTCTCTTCTGGTGTCATGTCTAACATTGGGTGCAGCGCAAGCGAAGTCTAGGCTCACGCCTTTGCCAACGCGAAGAGGCTGAAACACTGACATGGCATTTCGGAGCCGTTGGAAAGCATTAATCATTTTCTGAAATGCCGTCAGTAGTCGCAAAGCAAGGCTGTCAAGCTGAAAACAAAACAAAGCGAACATATCTTTTCATTCCCGTCAATCAGGCGCATTGCGAACAAAAGCACTGCATTCGCTGCGTGTCGTTACTATTTCTTTGGTTCAGAGCTTTAAAGAGCAGGACAATGGCGCTGAGGAGCAGGAAGAGTGAAAAGGGATTTTCATTAGAAGCTAATGTTTTGAAATCTTCGCCATCCCCAAAATGCCTGAAACGTATTGCTGTTTACACGAAATCGATAAACGTTTTTAGGTGCTCCACTGCAACTTGCTTTTAGGTGCACAACGGCACCGTGCAATGTGTTTAGAGGACATTTTAATACTAGTGAGGAGAATGGCCGATATGAAGAGTGTGCGTGTTTGAAATAAGGAGCATGAAAGTAGAGAGAGAGAGAGAGAGAGAGAGAGAGAGAGAGAGTGAGAGAGAGAGAGAGTGAGAGAGAGACAATTGGTACGGAGCTAAGAATCGCACTTCGTCAATCAAGCAACATCTGTCAGCCCGTGCCAATTGTCGTGAGTTGTACAGTGGTAATGTTTTCTCAATATTGTCACTTGGTAGATGTGCGTTGCATTTGGCTGTGTTAGAAGCTTTGTTTATCTGTAAGTTAGATTTATACAAAAGAGAAAGACGAAGGAGCTACAGGGGCGTAGCACCCGCTACGACTGGTATGACCATGGCCGTACCACTTTTCGAAAAGTGTGGTCCGTCTGGAACGTGCAAAACCGTAATAAAAAATCAGGATCCATCGATGCATACATATGTATTGTATGCGCATTAGACTTTGACCATTTTCTAGACTCGTACTCGTAGATCTGTTATGCATCTGCAGTCGTACTGAGTACTGTACTCGACTCGACTGCACACTGCGCCTGAATTGAAGTGTGCCAGAAGTTCCCAGAACGCAGGATTTTGTGTCTTTTTTACAAAATTTTACCGGGGGACGTCCCCCGGACCCCCCTCCAACACGGCCTTCGGCCGCATCGACCTTCGGTCGTACCACTTCCAAAAACCCTCCTACGCCCCTGAGCTACAAGTTACGCTATACTGTCCACTAACACCATCAGTTACTAAACAAACAGCACATGCGATAACATTGCACGACACTGACCGCCGGTACTGACGTTCTACAACTAACTGGCTGACAGCTCTAGCACATCTTGTTAGTTGTAGAACGTCAGTACCGTCGGTCAGAGTCGTGCAATGTTATCGCATGAGCTGATTGTTTAGTAACTGGTGGTGTTAGTGGACAGTATAGCGTAACTTGTAGCTCCTTCGTCTTTCTCTTTTGTATAAATTAAACCTTGGCTCTCCATCTGAGTCTGTAAGTTAGATCCTGAACTTTGCGTACAGAAAGAGAATGTGTTGTAAATGCAATTGTTTGGTGTTACTACTCGTCGAGGTGTTAACAATTTAACTTAAAATTTGCTCACCATGTTGTTGTCACTATTATTATTTTCCTTCAAGTTTTGTGTCCTTCTGAAATTCGTAATTTTCCACCTTGTCACGAGTGTTGTGGTCTCATAATCTTTACGCTATATAAGTTTTATGTCCAACTTGAGCCATTCCCTGTACAATCCTTGATGAGAAGGGGTCGAAAACGTTCGAATACTTTTGACAAGTGCTTTATTTGACTCGATGTGTGTTTGCGTGGATACTTGCGACCCAACCTTCGTTTTGTAAGGTATTATCCGCCTCCTACCTCTTTTAGAAATTATTATTATTATTACCGTATTTTACCGGTTGTAAGTCGACCCCGGTTATAGGTCGACCCCCGTATCCGGAGGTCTCAATTCTGCGTTTTATAGTTTTCACCCAAAAGAAGCACTACTAACCACTCCCTGCTATTAACTCATCAACAAATCATGTAAACATTCCTTATTGGAGGTTATAACATCCCAATCCTTGAAAAGACCAATAAACTGGAAAACATGTGTACACATAGTGCACTCGTGTATGCAGTGCAGGTCATTTTTGTGTAAGATTCTGATAGTTCCCGGTTATAAGTCGAATCCCGGTTGTAAGTCGACCCCCACCCTTTCTCCTTCTATTTTAGGTCGTAAAAGGTCGACTTACAACCGGAAAAATACGGCACCGTAAAGTCCGCTGCAAGCGCCCACCCCATTTTTGCAGATCTGCTGTTCTGTACATACTGACCCCGTGCACTGTCACCCCAACTGTCCGAAAGTGCATCTCACACCGTAGCGCGAAGAGCGCTTTGCTACGGTAAAGTATGTCCACTTTCCTGGTTTCAAAATCTCTTAGGGCACTATCCACGAGCTAGCTCAGTGGTGATTTTATGAAGATGGTTGTTCTATTTCGCAAATCCAAACGAGAGTTTCTTCCTAATAACAAGGTAGCGAAGAACAGAGTGTTGCAGGAACCAAATACACTTCTGTCGGTGTTTCATCATTTCCAAATCACACAGTGCTCAAAGGCAAGTGTTTTTCTCGAGCACTTCAGAGTTTTCAACAAGTTAGCAGCGACTTTGTAGGTGTAGCTTCTGTGACATACCCTGGTCTACTTGCAATTGCAATACTGCGACCGGTCAAGTCGTTGAATGACTCTTCGTCAGAACAATCACTGTTCCGTTCTGAAAGCGCGACATGGTGGCACTGCAGAAATTTCATGAAAACCAGATGGATTCTACGGCATTACCACATGGAGAGCGAACTACCACAAAGACGACTCATTTATCGAATGAAAGGAAATCTCGACAGAAGGTTTTCTTTGCAGCAAGATAATGACAATCGCTTGTCCAGAGCCTCCTGGTAAGGCATAGGCAGTTTGTAGGCATTACAGTCGTTCTCGTACGCATTCGACATTCATGCCAGTTTTCTACAACTGTATTGACCTGAAAAAGACGAAAATAGTATGGATCCGCTGGGGTGGGCATTTGCAGCGGACTTTACGGAATTATTATTCTCACAGGTTTAAGGGAAAGACACATAATAATAATAATTGTAAAGAAGAGAAGAAACACATGAGAACAAGTTATGCAGCAACTGCATTTATTACTGGCTCAGTATCCGAGTATAAAATAATAATGGACTCAGATGGAGAGCCAAGGTGTTAGTGGACAGTATAGCGTAACTCGTAGTTCCTTGGTCTTTCTCTTTTGTATAAATAATAATAATAATTATTATAGTTTTACAATACATGAATACAGTGTACACAAATGTCGATCCAGCTTGTATTACTGATTGCGGTTATCAAATTATTATAAGTAGAAAGGAAAAGGACATATGGAAACTAGTTAAGAATGCCTCTCCACCACTGTAACTAGATACTATATACAGTCAGAAAGTGCAATAACTAGGCACAAAACTGACAGAGTACTGAGACATTCGACGTCCTGACACCTAGCTTCAACACATCTCCGTAGCACTAATCGACAGCCTTCCAACTTGGAAGGTTCAAGGTCATGGAAAGACCAAAGAGGGGAAGGCAAGCGCAACGAAAACCTGCACAAGCTACAGTCCCAACGGAACAAAGAATGTCGATTGTTACGGGACGATGCCAAGACCAGTAGGCGATTTGATAAAGCGGTCTAACTACAATTCGAAGCAGCAAAGCAGCACACCACCCAACTTGGGTGGGCCATAAATATCAAAGATAAGTAAAGAAGGGGGAAGCTTTGCGAGAAGGATTTGTACAAGACGAAAGCCAAACTCCTACAGTACTCATGCCAGACATTGTGATGGACTAGTTGACTACAAAACAAGTTGTTTCACACGACGTACGTTTCGCCTTATGGTTCGTGACGGCTCATCAGGTGTGCAATTTGAAACTCGGGTATTGAGCCAATAATAAAAGTAGAAAGGAAAAGGACATATGGATACGAGTTAAGAGTAACTCTCCACCACTGTAACTAGATACTATAATGCAGAAAGTGCAACAACTAGGCACAAAACTGACAGAGCACTGAGACATTCGATGTGTGAAACAACTTGTTTTGTAGTCAACTAGTCCATCACAATGTCATGCATGAGTACTGTAGGAGTTTGGCTTTCGGCTTGTGCAATTCGTTCTCGCAAAGCTTCCCCCTTCTTTACTTATCTTTGATATTTATGACCCACCCAAGTTGGGTGGTGTGCTGCTTTGCTGCTTCGAATTGCAGTTAGACCGCTTTGTCAAATATCGTACTGGTCTCGTCATCTTCCAGTAACAATCGACATTCTTTGTTCCGTTGGGACTGTACCTTTTGCTCGTTTTCGTTGCGCTTGCCTTCCCCTCTTTGGTCTTTCCATAACCTTGAACCTTCCAAGTTGGAAGGCTGTCGGTTAGCGCTACGGAGATGTGTTGAAGCTAGGTGTCAGGACATGACATAGTGCCCTCTCTTGAATAGCGCTGTTTCTTGAATAGTGTCCTCTCTTGAATAGTGTCCTCTCTTGAATAGTGCCCTCTCTTGAATAGTGCCCTCTCAGGAATACTGCTCCATCTGTGATGGACTTTGAATAATAGTCCCCCAGGGGTGCAAATCACGCTAGTACGGTATTTAGTTTCCCCTGCAACAAAGATTAAGTCGCGTATTACTGCATGCTGATGCACTGAATCTATATTTTGTGTTGCCACTCTCAGATATGTTGAGGACATTGTCCTGACCAATATTACTCCTGGTGTGTTTGACAAAATATTTAACCATGCTAAACATTTGTAAGTAATTGTACTAAACTGCATTCAAGTGTCACACATGTATTATGCATAGCTACAGTCAAATCTGTCGTAAGCGACCGCCCCTTGGTGCAAGAAAAAGCGGTCTCTTACGGCAGATTGTCTCTTACGCAGATGTATGGTAAATCCGGCATACCGGGCATGCTTCCATGTACTCAAATCAACGAGAATAATGTGATTTTTAATATCTTTTTATTGGATATTCAATAGAAAATAGGGGTGCACAAACCCAAGAATAGTGCACATACCAGGGCTAATCTTTTACATGTTCAGCCAGCTGTCGACTAAAGCAATGGCAAGTACAGTCAACTTCGCTTATAACGACATTCGGCGGGGCATCAAAAAAGTGTCCTTATTCGCGAAGTGTCGTTATATCCGAAGTCTTATTATATGTATTACAGTTGGAAGGGACTTTGCTCTGGGCATGGAAATGCTGTCGTTATTCGCGAATTGTCGTTATATCCGAAGTCGTTATTAGCGAAGTTGACTGTACAGTTTCGCACCTGACTGAACCTGAGTCGCGGTCGCTTACAGCAGATTTGAATGCAGCCACCGCGCGTGAAATTGCGGTCGCTGGTCGCGCACAGCAGATGGTCGCTCTGGACAGATCAGTTTGTATGTGAAACCGTCGGTGCACGGAAAATCGGTCGCTAACGGTAGATGGTCGCCTACAGCAGACGTCGCTAACGGCAGATTTGACTGTATAATCATTGGCCTGCTTGCACATGTATATTGTACAATTCTCTGTCTCTCTCTCATTCTCTCTTTCTCTCATTCTCTCTCTCTCTCTCTATCTATCAATCTATCTATCTATCTATCTATCTATCTATCTATCTATCTATCTATCTATCTATCTATCTATCTATCTATCTATCTATCTATCTATCTATCTATCTATCTATCTATCTCTTTCTCTCTGTCTCTTTCTGTCTGTCTGTCTGTTTGTCTGTCTGTCTCTCTGTCTGTTTGTCTGTCTGTCTGTCTGTCTGTCTCTCTCTCTCTCTCTCTCTCTCTCTCTCTCTCTCTCTCTCTCTCTCTCTCTCTCTCTCTCTCTCTCTCTCTCTCTCTCTCTCTCTCTCTCTCTCTCTCTCTCTCTCTCTCTCTCTCTCTCTCTCTCTCTCTCTCTCTCTCTCTCTCTCTCTCTCTCTCTCTCTCTCTCTCTCTCTCTCTCTCTCTCTCTCTCTCTCTCTCTCTCTCTCTCTCTCTCTCTCTCTCTCTCTCTCTCTCTCTCTCTCTCTCTCTCTCTCTCTCTCTCTCTCTCTCTCTCTCTCTCTCTCTCTCTCTCTCTCTCTCTCTCTCTCTCTCTCTCTCTCTCTCTCTCTCTCTCTCTCTCTCTCTCTCTCTTTGCCAACTGCAAGAACCGAGCAATGCCTGGGTTACCCTATGTACAAATCTCTCCATTACTTCAATGGCCTCTCATCAACGTTACGCGATATTCAATCACCAGTTTTGTTTAAGCAAAATATGAGCCGTCAACTGACTAAATGTACCTTAGGACCTGATTTCAACTTTCATCAAAATGTGACGTCAAAGTCACTCAAGAAAACACGAAGTCGATCTTGAAATTTTTGTTTGCAGGTTACATCGATCAATCGATCGATTGTGGCCAGTCAGAATGGCGAGTAACGATATAGCATTGAGTCCATGGCCAGCAATCGAGGACATCTGAGAGTTGTAATTTTTGTACTCCACCGAGGTGTGATTTTTGGCGTGCTGGGCCAAGCACAAGGAAGCCATCTGCAAAAAAACTGCAGAAAATGGTTGTTCTTTGATCCTTTGGTGTAATCTTTGTTTCTAGTCGAAGCTAGTTGCTGTTTGGAGCAGAAACGCTGAAATTGACTATTTTCTGCATGTACTCATACCTGTACTCATGTACTCAGTCATGCAGTCTCACTCGTATTTTAGCTCTTTTTCTGGAATGGATGCTGCTCTGCGCCCCTTGGTGAACATTTCCTGCGCTCGTGGAGCAGCTGAAAAGGACCACTGGTATGTCTAGTTCCTGGTTTGAAAGTGGAGAGTCGACTTTTGTGCCTTGAAAAAGGAGTAGAGAGCGATAAAGGTACGTCTGTTGCTTATTTTTGAGTGCACCTCGTACATTTTTGATCGTGATAGAAATTCTCAGACCAAAGTCAGACCAAAGTCAGCGCGATGATGGCCGTACAGTTTTCTTGTGGATTTTTTAGTTGTTTCATCTCGTATCTATGTCAGTATCGTGATGGTGAAGTGGAGAGGGTGATTTTCTTCCTCTAGGCTTCGTTCGGCCGACTTTGCTTCGTCCTCGTTGAAAAGTGATCCTGAAAAAAATGTCGATTCGCAAAATTATGTTGATTTTGAATGTACGTGATGACATGCGATTGCTGGCTATGCTGTCGGTGTGTAGCATGAGGACGTGTCTCTCGTAGATGAGCACGACGTTCTACTGCGATGTCTCCAGGTACGACGACAGCGAGCGCGATGATTGCGATGACGGAGACGACAACCCGTTCACACCGGCGGCATAGAAGCCCCAGCTCCGTCCGTCTGACAACGACGAAGACGAGAGTTAAAATGACTTGGAGCAGGAAGGTCCGCGTGTCGAGGAAACCCTAATCGCCGCAGAGATAGTGGACTGGGTGTCAATCGGAAGTAGCTGCCCTGGTGACAATCACTTTGCTGCACTTGACAAGGACCATTTGAAAATGTTGTCATGTCGCTCCGCCAGCTGAAGCGCCGCTCTCGCCAAAGTCACAGCCCAGTCTTCAAAAAGTACGGACTGGATCTATGAACTGGCTACCTCAGTGACCGCGGGATTCGCGAACCTGGCAACCCGGCAACAAGTATGATACTGCATGCATACATGTACATAGCCGAATTCGACAATTATAGTGCATTCTACAATATGGAGAATTCATGGTACTTGCAAGTCTAATATTGATTTGAAAGTTTGTCTGTGTGGCTTTCTGCTCGGCCAGTTTCTGTTCTTCAACTTCGTTGCAATCAACTCTCTTCCTCGTACCTTTCTTCATGAATTCAGTCTCAAATTTAAGTGCCTTTTCTTGGCCTCGAACCACAGCTCCAACAATCTACGCTCACCCAGGAATCCATGGCCATCGGAGAAAATCAAAATCAAACTGACCTGTTGGATAGACAGACACTGTCAAAACAAAAGCCAAGGTGAAGGCATACATGTAGCACGGAAACAAGAAAGAACATCGATATCAGTTCCTAGTAGGGCTCAAACGGCTAGTCCAATTAACCGGTTGCAGACCGGTTACGAAGAATTAACGGGTAACCGATAAAGATAACGGTTACGCAGTAACTTTTCAGTCAATTTTTCAAGTATCAGGTCGTTGCAAAGTATGCACTTTCGCAGGCTTTCGCACCGCACGCGAACGCAATTTCTGGGCTGTCAACTCGGTCATATCTGGTCTCTTCGTGTGAGAGTATGTATGAATGAGCATGCAAGTGAATGTACTTGGTCCGATTTATTAAAATGTGCGCTTCACTTCAAAACTCAAGCCTATGTACAAAGGAGCACCTGTACTAAAAAATCAACCAAGAGACGGAAGAGAGATAACTACTGTGTCGTTTCTTGGCCTGACCTTCTAGTTTTCAAAATTCTTTGTTGCCATCTTCAACAGGTCCGTCAAATAGTAGTAATAGGTTTTTCATTTGACCCGACGAGACCACACGACGCTTGCAGACCACATCACGAGCAGTTCACCAGCCAAACTCCACGAAAGCAAGTAGTATTACAACTGACAAGTCTTGTTTCGTTCCATAAAGTTGACGGGGAACTCATCAGAGGATCTTCTGAGTAATACAGTCAACTTCGCCAATAACGACATGTGGCGGGGCATCAGAAAAGTGTCCTTATTCGCGAAGTGTCCTTATAACCGAAGTCCCATTTGAATGTATGTGAACCCATATTTTGTATAGTATGATATGCATATCAAAATCAAGCTCTTTTCTTGCTCTATGTCAATGTGTACTTTATTTTCATATTGCAGTTGAAAGGAACTAAAAATTCAATATGCAAGGGAAATCAATTGAAAAATATGCCTTTTTGAGCCATCTACAGGGCCAGAGACATGTACATGTGTCATGATTACTGTACAATCATGTACAACTACATGTACATAATTGTATACATAATTATAGGTGTGCTGGTAAATCCAACAATTTTGAAGCCAACATGTAAAAGGAAGAAAAAGCCCCCCCCCCCCCCTTTGGCTGCATTTTCTTGCATGTGTGCCTTTATATTATAATAATAATAATAATTATTATCCATCACCATAGGTTCTGGTACTTCTGCATGACAGGTACATATACTTGACTGACAGGTACTTGAAATAGCTGTCAAAAGCCCAGAAAGTCGTTGTTCAAGCAGTGAATATGACCTCGGGGCACTAAAAGCATGTCGCTATTCGCGAATTGTCGTTATTCAGATAGTCGTTATATCCGAAGTAAAATGTATACAGTTAGATGGGACTTTGCTCTGGGCATGGAAATTCGGTCGTTATTCGCGAATTGTCGTTATATCCGCAGTCGTTATTAGCGAAGTTGACTGTACTACTTGCTAACCGACCGTTAGCTTAGCAGTTAACCGTTAGGGGTAAAACCATGACCGTTTGAGCCCTAGTTCCTAGATGTTAGCCTCATCGGCTCATGTTCAACTCTACAATGGTGTGTTCCAAGCACGCTCAAAATATTTTTTTGAATTTCGGCTTTCAGCCGCTTGTACAAGCTGTGGCTGAAACAAGCAAAAAACGGCTGAGAGTCAGCCACGGCTGAAAGTCGCTTGTAGGACATTTTTCAGCCATTTCCATGGTAATAGTGACGTAAAGAAGCGCTTTTTTCGGCTGAATGGCTGAATCGAGCTCGGTGGTATTATATTGATTCAGCTGGTTCTGTACAGCGATTGTCCCATTTCCGCCCATTCAAGATAAACTTTATTAGGCAATAATTCACTCAAACAAACACCGAACACACAGCCCATATCTCTGAAAGCACTCATCATTAGCTTTATCAGTATGTGTGGTATTGCTGTTTTGTGATGTCTGTTTAGGAGATTATCTCGTCTTCATGTGGAGAATGTGGCTCCGGGATCATTTTACACAAACTTGGAAAGAATGTGAGGCAACGTATGATACAGAATTTTTACTTGTGTTAATAAGATATTGTGTTTACACTTCCCTGAGCAGGTGACTATTAAATTTTGTTGTTATCTGGCTTGCAAGTGTTGAGTTTCCGAAACACTTACCATACCACAATGCACGGATCGGCTACATCATTGAAAGCATAGCGTATTTGTATTTGTATTTATGGATTCTCCACAGGCCTTAGCCTAAATCGAGGGAGTCTTCGTCAACAGCTTATGAAGAAAAAGCTGAGGAGAAAAATAGAAAGTAGGAAATAGAATGATGCGGGGTGGTAGTAATATAACACAGTGCTCTATGACATCGCTACTGTACGTGGAATGAAACCAGAGGGCTCATGACGGGCGATAGCAAAGTGTGTGCGGACAAGAGCGGTAAAACATTTTGGGCTGGATATAGTACGAATGGCAGCCGGGAGGGAGTTCCATGTGGCAGTGGTGACAAAGAGAAAGGTGGCACGGGTGTGTGTGCTGGCTCTAGCAGGTGGGAGTAGATGTTTGGGGCGCCTGGCGCTGTTTGACACTGAGTAGCCTAGGTCCTCCAGGGTCGTCATCTGGCTATTGATAAGGTGGTGCAGCTCAAGAAGGCACTGAATGTGTCTTCGCCATGCGAGGCTGGGCCACTGGAGGTGCGTGAAAAGTGAGGCTTTCGGCTCCGTTTGAGGAGGGTACACGCCATACTGCCGCAGGATCACACGTACCACTTTTGCCTGTAGCCAGTCAAGGGTAGTAGCCTGAACACTGGAGAGTTGAAATTGCCAGAGGGATGAGGCGTATTCAACCACAGGTCGAACATATCCAGTGTACAAGCGGCTGGCTACGGCTGGGGTGATACGCTTGTTCCTGTGGATCAGCAGGACTGCTTGCCGGCAAAACGTTGTCGTGATGGTGGCGACGTGGTTGGTCAAGTCGAGGTTAGAGTCCAAGATGACTCCAAGGTGTCGGTGAGTCGTTACATCAGACACGTCATCTCCCTGCATTCTCACGTGCGGAGTCGGATGAGTAGGGTGGGCACGTTCTGCACGACTTCTAGGAGAGAACTGCATGGTGCAAGACTTCGAAGGGTTGAAGCACCCTCCGACTGAATCAGCCCACTGCAGAACGCCATCAGTGGCGGCCTAGAAGGGGTGGACCATTTGTTGTTGGTTAGGTCCTCCGGCTGCTCTCCCAAGAGTAGTGTCATCGGCAAATAAGAGCACATCAGTAGTGACATCAGACGATATGGTGCGAGGAAGGGCATTAATGTAGAGAATGAAAAGAATGGGGCCAAGGTGAGGTCACTGGGGAACGCCTGCAGAAACTGGATGGGTCGGCGACTTGGCAGAGAGAACTTTGACACAGAAGGAACGGTCTCTGAGGTAGTTGGTGAACCAAGAAACGGCTTCAGGGGATATGATAGTAGCGAGCTGACAGAGAAGAACAGTGTGTGGTACCTTGTCAAACGCTTTCGCGAAATCCTAGAATAGAGCGTGGTAGTCATTGCGCTTGTCGAGTGCTTTAGCCACTCTTGAAGACAGGACAATTAGCTGATCGAGTGTCGACTTGCAGGAGACGAAGCCATACTGGTGGTCAGTAATAATTATTAATCTCTGCCTATCGAGGAAGCTGGTGAGGTGCTCGGCGATGATGGCGTCCAGAATCTTAGCTATGGCCGGCAGCAGGGAGATAGGCCTGTAGCTAGCTGGCTCCGCAGGTTTGCCGTAGGGCCCTGAGCGAAAGAAATAAACTTTCTCTTTGCATTTGACAAAGCGCGCGACACCGTCTACCACATTGATGACCTAGGCAAAAAAGCATAAGGATGTTATAAATTTTCATATCTCTTATTTTTTCAAGACCCAGGATTCGAACCCGCACTATTGCCCTGTGCTGCATGCATTCCCCCGAAACACTTAGCATACAGTCATACTTGTAAACGCAGCCTGAGAGGCTGCGTTTACACGGAAACGAAACGATATGGAACGAAAACGGGCTGTCCTCGAATCGTTATCAAGCCGTTTATACGAGAACGACAAACGGTTTTGAACCGTTTACACGCAAACGAAAAACGGGCGATCAGGGGCCTGGAGAGTGGAGTTATCACGTGCTGACTTGGCGCAAGGGCGGGAAGTAACACGTTAATTGGAGTTGGTAAGTGCTGGTGGTCGCAAGGGTTTGCCATTTCCCGCGAAAGATAGTCCTGAGCGGAATGGTTTCTTTTTTTTTGGCTCTTTTCCAATCGTTTTAACTGCTGTTTTTACCGTTTACATGAGAACAAAAACGTTTCAAAACAATTTGAAGTGTGTTTCCATTTCGTTCCGTTTAGGCATCGTTTTCGGGCATTGTCGTGTTGTCACATTCCAAGCCGTACCGCTTATCGAGACAGATCAGATGTGGTAGAACCCTGGATATGAATGGGCAGCCATACTTCACAGCATATCGGTGCATGCACATTTCTCTCAGGATGCGACGCTTGACACGCGGAGCGCTACCTGGACACTCGTAAACAGTTTGACTGAGGCCTGGTTCGACAGACTCGACGACAAGGATCTCTGCCTTAGCTCGCTTGACCAGTATTGTGTCTACACTATGCAACTCTTGAATGCTCGATGCACTGCACTATAGGCCTGCATGCATTCCCTCAATACACTTAGCATACATACTCCTTCTCTTGATGGTACGGCACTCTTGATGGTACGGGGCAGGTATGGGATAGCGCCAGGCATGCCGATGGCACAAACAAACAAACAAACAAACGAGAGAGCTTGGAAGCTCAGGGCCCTATGCTATGCTCTGTTGCCTAGCTCATCGTGCATGTTGTTAGAACTGATGGAAATGTTTTTCCTTTGATTACCTACATCATTGTATCGCAAAAAAGTTTCAAGGAGTTACTGAAGTAATGTCTTCTGCAAAGCTACGGGACCGGACTCGACGGGATGTCTGCCCTGACGTTACCTGGGACCGGCGCTGCCTCTGCCAATCACGGGCGTTCTGGAGTGGACGGGATCTCTCCTCCGATGTTTCCTGTAGCAGACGCTGACTCGCCCGTTCACGCTTATTTTGGATACGACGGGATCTCTCTTCCAAAGTATGTTTTTGCTGACGCATCCTATCACCTATTCGGCAACTAACGTCCATTCTAATTGCATTTCCTCCTCGTCGCCCCCCCAATCTCCCTATACATCAGGGAGTCCTATACATAATACGACAAATATTGTGGCCAGCTGTTTGTGGCCAGCTGTGTTTGATGGTACGGTACGGGACAGATACGGGATAGCGCTAGGCGTGACACAAACAAACAAACACTAAATTCAAGCTGTATGGACCCTGGCTAGCGCCAGACGTTACTGAGTTAACGTCTTCTGCATAGCTACGGGAATAAATAAACACCAAATTAAAGCTGTGAACCCTGGCTAGTGCCAGACGTTACTGAAGTAATGTCTTCTGGATAGCTACGAGAATTAAAGCTGTGTGGACCCTGCTTAGCGCCAGACATTACTGGTAACATCTTCTGCATAGCTACGGGAACGAGAGAGCTTGGAAGCTCAGGGCCCTACGCTATGCTTTTTTTGCCTTGATGACCTAGACAAAAAAAGCATAGGGATGTTATAAATTCTTTAAAAAATTCCTTTTTTTTAAGACATAACCTGGGATTCGAACCCGCACTATCGCGCGCCCAGCATGCATCCCCCTTCGCATACATACTAATTCTTCCAAGTTGCTTCACATTATGATCTTGCATTTGAAAGCCCTATTTGAATATGCATTGTGGCCAGCCGTCTTTGATGGTACGGTACGGTAGGGGATAGGTACGGGACAGGTACGATCGAGGGTAATACGACACCGTCTCCCGTACCGTACCATCAAACACAGCTGGCCACATACAGCTGCCCGCAATATTCAAATAGGGCTTTCAAATGCAAGATCATAACGTGAAGCAACTTGGAAGAATGGGTATGAATGCGAAGTGTATGGGGGAATGCATGTAGGGCGATAGTGCGGGTTCGAATCCCAGGATATGCCTTAAAAAAAAATAGGAGAATTGAAAAATTTATAACATCCCTATGATTTTTTTGCCGTCAGATACGGGATAGCGCCAGGCGTGACACAAACAAACAAACAAACACACAAATACCAAATTAAAGCTTTGTGGACCCTGGCTAGCGCCAGACGTTACTGAAGTAACGTCTTCTGCATAGCTACGGGAATAAAACTAACTAACTCTGCCGTCACCATCGTGCATCAACGAAGTTTTCCATAATCGATTTTCATGTCACTATCATCAGTGGAATATCGTGACTGAATTGAACGCTAGCCAAGCAAAAACAATGATTAAATATGCATTCCAAAATGTGATAAAAGTTGGAAGCAAGCAACAAACGTTGTTTTTTCCACAGATTGTTTCTCTCACTTCCCAGGTGTCACATTCTGGTTTTCTAACCTTCTTTTGTGCCACCTACTTACCATTTTTGTTGCTTGCTTGTAAGTTTTATTACATTTTGGAATGCATATTTAATAGGGGTGAAAGGAGTATCTATTTTGACCAATCGATCACTCATTCATAATATTCGATCGAGTATCCGATTATTTCGAGTATTTTACCAAAATTCAAAAGCGCTAGATTTGTGAGTTCTCGACCAATTCGGAAGAAATTATCTGTGAACATTGAACAAAAGTCGCCAGCGTCTTGTACAGAGTATAAAGTAACGATTTTCATCAGTATTTTCAGATCTCATAACTAACTACAATTGTAACTAACGTTACTTTATTCAAAATTTAATAATAATAATAATAATGAAGATTTTATGACTTGGGGCTCCCCGCGTGCTAGAGTGTACGTGAAGTGTGTGGGTACAGTGAGGGCTGCGTCCCACCCGCCTGTGTGGATTCACAGGAAGTGTGAATTACGAAGTCTGAGGAAAATGTTGAACGGCCTCTGCTGGGATGACGACTACACCATAGCTCAGTGGTTAGAGCATCGCTAGCTACAAAAGAGGTCCCTGGTTTGAGTCCTGGTGGGGACGGTCAATTTTTTCTTCAGACTTTTCCCGTTTGTCTCTTTCCCTCAAACTAGTGAAAATAATAATAATACTAATAATAATAACTGGCTTGAGGGAAAGAGACAAACGGGAAAGGTCTGCAGAAAAAATTGACTGTCACCACCAGGACTCGAACCAGGGACCCTCGCTTGTAGCCAGCGATGCTCTAACCACTGAGCTATGGTGTAGTCATCATCCCAGCAGAGACCGTTCAACGTTTTCCTCAGACTTCGTAACTCACACTTCCTGTGAATCCACACAGGCGGGTGGGACGCAGCCCTCACTGTAACCCACACACTTCACGTACAAACTAGAACGCGGGGAGCCCCAAGTCATAACATATTAACTGGTTTGAGGGAAAGAGACAAACGGGAAAAGTCTGAAGAAAAAATTATAATAATAATACTTGCCGTGGTGATCGCATCGTCCAAGTCATAAAATACTGACTCAAAGGCATGCATAATGCATGCATACCATATGGACGAGCGGTACAACAAAAGTTTTTGAAAAATAGAATGCCACAAAAAAGCCGATCTAGTATAAAATTTCGAATACTCGCTCATTTGAAATTTTCGGACGAATACTCGAATATTCGAACTAATCGTTTCACCCCCAATATTTAATCATTGTTTTTGCTTGGCTAGCGTTGAATTCAGTCACGATATTCCACTGATGATAGTGACATGAAAATTGATTATGGAAAACAAACATTTGACTTCGTTGATGCATGATGGTGACGGCAGAGTTAGTTATTTTTATTGCTTTATTAAAATTATTGTCTCCACGGCGTTTGAACAATATGTTATTGTTGATTTTTTTCTTTTATCTCTCACGTGTTCTTTACTATTTTAACCACCAGAAATGAATGGTTACCACACAGCCTGTTCTCTCGGTTGCGCTCTTGAAGTTGTTATATCCGAAACCCTTGATGATTGATGTCGAATTTTACCGCATGTCTAGAAAATTTGTCAATACACCATGCTTCAAGGCGTAACACTCGTTTAGCTGGAAAATTTCAATCATTGGCTATGTGTGCTTTGTGACTTGTTTCTTGGTTTTTGCTTCTCAAAGTCTCTTGTCGGAGAATAATATAACCAGCGTGCAACCTGGTGTCTTTAGTGGAATGTTGGAGACACTGTAAGTGGTTCAAATGAGAAGACTGGTTTGTGGAAATGTAACTGTCTAAGGCCAACTGGGTCTCTGGCTCTTCAGGGAGGCGCGTGATAACTTGTGACTTTTGAAGCTGAATTGGGACGTGTTGGTTAGAAATGGACTATCTTTGGAAGTGGACTCGGATGGAGAGCCAATGTTTAATTTATACAAAAGAGAAAGACCAATGAACTACAAGTTACGCTATACTGTCCACTAACGCCGCCAGTTACTAAACAATCAGCTCATGCTATAACATTGCACGACACTGACCAATGGTACTGACATTCTACAACGAACTGGCTTACAGCTCTAGCACATCTGGGATGCGCACTCCAACAGCCTTCCAACTGGGAAGGTTCTACTTCCTCCGCTTCATTAAAACTGTCGCTTCGCAAATCGCAATGTTTGTGACTTGCCCGTAATATGTGAAGTAAAAAAAGGAGTAAATTATCGTGTCCGTTCCCGAAGGGAACTCACGACGGCCGCTAACACCCGATAAACCCTAGCGGCAAATGCAGCACCTAACGGTGGGGGTGAGTGGATAAGTCTCATAACCACTCGCACAAGTGCCGAAAACGACCCCATTAGCTGCATCCATGTACCCCTTGTGCCTGGCCACAAGTTCCCAGTTGACGTGGGTAGCAGCACGGCTGGAAAAACCGCTCCCATATACCCGTCATATGTAGTATCTATATATGCTATAACAATCTTGGAAACATGTTTGAAGAAGGGCTGAGGCTTCCTGCAGCTTCATCTGTGAAAAGAATTCGGGTGGACTCACCTATTCCCATAGCGCTGCATATCACATCCGAACCAGTTCCGTTATTTTACAACGTTTCGGCACTTGGCCATCATCAGGTAATAACAATGAATACCGTGGAAGCCACACAAGAGCAGTATATACGCAGAGTGTAGCGCCAAAAAAGATGCGAATTATGTCACCTAGTATGACAGAGAGAGAGAAAAGGCGCAACTAGCACATCACGGAGGAGAAGCAGCAGACGGTAGCGCGCATTGTGCTCTGTGAATGGCGTTGCGCAGAGTGTAGCGCCAAAAAATAAAATGATGCGAGTTATGTCACCTCTATACAGAGGGGGGGGGGGGGGGGAGAGAGAAGGTGCAACTGTGCACATCACGGAGAAGAAGAGCGCGCCGTTGTGCTCAACGAAGTGAGGGTACATGCCAAATAATTATGGTGTTAATTCTAGCACAGGATCTAGGAGGGGAGCACGGAGCCCCATGAGTCAATGCACTATGAGGTTAAAACTTCCATGCCAAACTGTTACCACCAGGGACGCGACGAGGCATCAGGAATAGAATGGTTTTGAGTGACCCGCCTCATATTATAATTATTCAGTGATATTGAAGTAGCAGCAGGGGAAGCCGAGAAAATTCACAACAAATCCCATCCGGTGCTTATGTTCACATGGGGCTTGGCATCACGAATCTCAATCGCCTCGCGCAGTTTGCGACGGGCTCGATCAGGCTCTCTTCCTTTTACTTCAACTGCAGAGAATGCACTTTGCCCATAGTTAAGCTTACATCCAGGGTGAGTGGTGCGAAAATGTTGGCCCCATGGCTTGTCAAGTTCCTGGCGTCTTGCCTCACCATTATGTTCTTCCAGGCGAGTTTCCAGAAAGCGGCCAGTCTCACCAACATATTGTTCCGGACATTCTTTGCACTTCAGCTGATATACAACATTCTTCTGCATACATACATCCTGTCCCCCGGATATACACGAGATACATGGCCCCTTTGGGCGACCTCTCTTTTTCGGTTGTAGCGGATTTGCAGCCTTGACACATAGAGGAGGAACGAGGGCGGAGCGACACAATGTGCGCCTCAGGCTACCAGTGTGCTCATATACGACTCTAACCGGAATTTTATACTTTCTGATTGCTTTATTCACTGCTTGATGTACTTTATCTGACTTATATGGAAGCTTTAGAAATGCGCAGCATGGGTTGGCATGGCGACGACGCTTTGGCCTTATGGAGGCAGTGCGTGCCTCTTCAATGATTTTCTCGGGGTAATTGTTCAATCTTAATTGCTCATGAACCATCGCTTCACTTTCTGCACGCATTCTGGTATTCGATGAGAGCCTCTGAGCTCTTAGGAATTGTGACGAAGCAACTGCCAATTTGATATGGTGGGGAACTGCCGAAGTATAATCAATGAGTAGACCACTAGCACATGCCTTCTGGTACAGCTTGTATGCCAGCTTGCCTTCCTGGATCATAATTGTGATATCCATATAATTTATGGAGCCACTCACCTCGCTGAGCTCATATGTGAAGTTGATACTTGGGTGTGCAGAGTTGAAATGCTGCACAAACCGCATCAAGCTCTCTCTGCCGTGGGTCCATAGCAGCAGGATATCGTCGATGTAGCGTTTGTAGAGGAGCGGTACTAACGGAGAATCCTGCAGAAGCCTGGCCTCAACCGTATGCATGAATAGAATCGCAAATGGGGGTGCAAGATTGTTACCCATTGCAACCCCGTCCACTTGGTGATAGATCTGATGGCCGAATCTGAAATAGTTGTGGCTGAGAACAAACAGCAGCAGATTCCGTACCCCGCTCACACTCAGCCCAAACATGTCGATCCGCTGGGAATACTGCTGCAGCATATCCACCACTGCCTGAACGCCCTCCCGAATAGGTATGCTCGGATATAACCCGACTACATCCATGGACATAACAATGGTGCCATCGGGGGCGCTCAATCCCGGACATGCGTCACAGATGTGGGTTATTGCTTCCGTCGTGTTAGCCAGGTGGGCCGGGACAAATTGAATGAGCTGCTGTAGGATGCGCTCCAATACAAATCTTGGAAACATATTAAGCCTTCCACACAAAAGGTGCAGTAATGCCACAAGGAATGCATGGAATGATTTACTTACCTGAAAAAATGCAATCCCAACATTTGCGGAAATTGACCAACTTTCTGGGCTATATCCTGGTGAAGCAGAATACTGTTGAGTCAAAAATGTGCAACAATTAGCACAAAAACTGATTGATGAGATCCGAGATCCTGACATTCAACGGCATCAGGTCGTTGAATGCCAGGATCTCACCAGTCAGTTTTTGTGCTAATTGTTGCACATTTTTGACTCAACAGTATTTTGCTTATAACCGTTTGTGTTGGACAAAACTGATAACTTGTAAACTTATGGTCCTCTTTTTTAAAAAGAGGAAATTAAAATTTTAATCCTCGGCTCTCCGCCCGAGTTTTTCTGGGCTATTTCTAATTTTTGAAGGTCAAAAATGCCCCGTGACACCTGTAAAATTACATTTTTAAGTTTGAGGATCCAATGTAGACTGGAATGGCTGCACCTGTGAGTGAATTCTGATCCTGTACAACAATAAAGATAAATATTGCTAAATGCGCAGTCAAGTTCGCATGTGTATGCGCAATCCATGCATCCAGTCCAGAAAGCACTTCATATCAGGTATCAAATGTCTTCGTTCCCTTCTCTTCAGGATTACATAGGCAATGGCTAACATGAAAAAAATGAAGCCTAGTCAGGTGTGAACATTTTAACTCGGATCCTGAGCCAGTAATAAATGTAAAAAAGAGAAGGAAGCACAGTAGCCTGTCAGTTGTGCGTCCTATTATCGCACGTTCTGACTGTTTATCATCTTGTTACAGTCGTGGATAGTTGCTGCATAACTCGTTCTAATGTATTTTCCAACTCTTTTTTACATGAAAAAATGACTGCAACTTATAGCTTAAATGAACTGAGATGCAACACTCTTAACAAGGCAGAATTTGAACACGTTTTAGGGGAAATAACACAACGAGAACACCATGAGAAAGAGGTGGACATCTGATGATGGGTGACTGGCTGGAAACATGATACTTTTTCGACACCTCATTAAAGAATGTTTCACCCAGCGCAACCGGGGATTGTGAATAGCAACTGAATAGAGCGGTTGTCTGCTGACAAACACCTTTTCTTGACAACACCATGGTGAACACATTATGTGGTATTGTTCACACTGTGAGAAAGCGTTGTACATACGTAAGTTGGATCCTGAGCTGTGTGTTCAGAAAGAAAGTGTGTTGTCTCTGCAATTGTTTGGTGATGTTCCTCATCGAGGTGTGAACATTTCTCATTATTTTTTTGATTATACAGAAGCCTCGCTGGTAATCGCCTGACTGCTTTGCCCGAAGATCTCCTGACAGATTGTCCCCACCTTCGATCTTTGTAAGTAACTCAGAAGCAGTAACATTTATTTCTCACTGGCTCATTGGCTGTTTCCTATAATCATTTATTATTTATTATTTATTTATTTATTTCACCGTCCAATGGCAGAAGCCAATGCAAAGGAGGGGGCGTTAGCCAGCCATGGCAAGAGAAGAAGAAAAAAAAATGAAGGAAAGAAGATGATAATCGGAAGAAAATAATGCATCAGCGGGGTGAAATGTATCACTATGTTGACCATGGTGGAGAGCGGCGAGATAGCTAGCAACAGAGGCGAGCGAGCCTACAACGTGGCATGACATTTAACATGGTCTATGAACTGTCTAGTATTGGATATTGTCTTCATTTCCATGGGCAGCTTGAGCCAATACGAGTATGCAGAGAAGATAGGAGATTTGGTAAACATAGTTGACAAAGCTCTGGGAAGTACTATGCCATTGCGAGTGTCCCGTGCGAAAGTAAACCAATTATACTTGGTGAGATGTTCAGGGACTATGTTCAGTTTAATACGATATTTAATAGTAGACGCTTCAGGCGCTTTTTTCAAAAACAGAAATACTCGTATTTCTTTCTTGTATCTGATTCAGATGGGTTTAGGAAGACTCCACAGAAAATTTTAAGGAAAAAGAATAACTTTGCACATAGGTATAGCCACCCAAAGTTGGAGAGTTGAATAACAGTAATTTCAGTGTTTCGATGGCACCAGCAGCATATCACCGATTGGCAGGACTTGCTTCAGTGTCTATAGTGGCAAAATACCAGGCTCGGGAAAGACGCAAACGGGAAAAGTCTGAAGAAAATTACTGTCACCACCAGGACACGAACTAGGAACCCTCACTGGTAGCCAGCGATGCTCTAACCACTGAGCTATGGTGTAGCCGTCATCCCAGCAAAGACCGTTCAACACTTTCTTCAGACTTCAAAATCATTCAAATTTTCGTGCAAGACCCAGCTTCCTGAAGATTTCAAATGATTTAATTTCGGATGGTGGGTTAAGGAAAAAGTTGTACCATGGAAAATGTGGGCACAACTTACTGTTCAAAGTCTGGTTTAGTTGGGGGACTCGATCGCATAACTTGGCCAACATATTTTCCATGATTTAATATCTGACTGGTATATAACTGGTGGTGTTAGTGGACATTGTAGCGTAACTGCTAGCTCTTTGGTCCTTTTTCTTTCTTATGATTTAATATCTCTTTTTATTTTAGTGATTGGTGTAGCCCGGAGACCATAATGGAAAGTGTTGTGAAGATGTATGGATATGATGCAAAGGGCAACAACAGTAATAGGTATTGGCTGAAGGAAGTTTCCCCCTTGTAATATGTATCGTATATTTGAGTCCTGCTGGTGACAGTCAATTTTCAGATTTTTCACGTTTGGATAGTTTCCTACGAGCAATGGATAAATATTTCGGATGGAGAGCCAAGGATGAATTTATAGTAAAGAAAAAGGACCAAGAAACCACAAGTTACGCTAAAATGTCCACTAACAGCACCATTTACTAAAAAATCAGCTCATGCGATAACATTGCACTGCACTGACCGACGGTACTGACGTTCTACAACTAAGTGGCTAACAGCTCTAGCACATCTTAGATGCGCACTCCAACAGCCTTCCAACTACGAAGCTTCTACGTCCTCCGCTTCATTAAAACTGTCGCTTCGCACATCGCAATGTTTGTTACTTGCTCGTCTTTAGTCAGGCTGCCGGAATCACTGTTTCCTGTGTTCAAACATTGGTGCAACCTTTCCTGCGCAATGTCTACTTGTTACTGAAGCCGTGGTGGTCTCGGAGCTCTCTTCCGCACTAAAGAAATCCATCTCTGTTCGCACTATTTCGCCCCAGAGCGCGTATCGTCTTTCTGGAGTTCATGCCGTCCAACTTAGTTCGCGAGGGCATTTATCAAGACATCAAGCTCGAGTATAAGAATCCTGGTATCTCCCCTGAATTCGAAATGCTGAAGTTTACGATGGCAAAAACAAAGTGTTCTCAAATTCCTAAAGTGGGCCAAGTGGGCCGCATGTTGCTGCAAAGGTAGCAGGTCTGAAAAACAAACAAAATCAGTGAATCGCTTTCCGAGGAAAAATGGTGCGGAGTTGCTTACCCTATCCTGCTGGAAGGTCATTACAGTCATTGAGTGTACTTGGTCCGCCCAGTTAAAATTGGCGCTTATCTTCACACTTGTCTCAGGAAATAAATACGAATATTTGAAGCAAGCCATGATCACAAAGCACTATATACATGATTATTTTCATGTCAGTAAGCCACTCAGTCGAAAATTCAAGCAAGTTACACATCCTCCTCGCCACTATCGTCCCTCAAAACAAGCTCAAAACGTACGATCCGGACAGCTGCTGCACGGGTCGTTTCATAGCTTGTTCCACTTCTCCTCGTCTCGAAGCACGCTCAAAGGCAGTGCGTGCCTGTCACCTTCCCATCAGAAGCCGAGTGAGTCTGCCCGCATGTTGACTGTAAGTGTTATCCGCGTTCGTCGCAATAATTCGTCTTTGTTTGAGACAAAAAGGCAACGCCATATCAGTGTCCTTTTTTCAAATCGCCTCTTACGCTTGTCGTACTTGCTGATCAGCACCCGTACCCACGCGAGCCGCTGGTGCTTGAAGATCTACATGCAGCGCAGTACATGCAGTGATAGCTTCCGCTTGATGTAGCACCTGTGCGTACTGCACCTTCAACACCGTGCACCAGGCTTTTCGGCTACTTCCGCCGCGTCATTAAAATTGTCGCTTCGCACATCGCAATATTTGTGACTTGGCTCGTCTTAGTCAGACTGTCGGAATCGCTTTTTTCTATGTTCTAACACTGGTGTGACCCTTCCTGCGCAATGTCTACTTGTCACTGAAGCCTTGGTGGTCTCGAACTTTGTCGGAGCTCTCTTATGCACCAAGCAAGTTCATAGCGCTCCGCACCATTCCACCCCAGAGCGCATTTCGTTTTCTGGAGTTCGTGCGGTCCCACATCGTTCGCGTGGGCATTTGTCAAGACTGCAAGCTTGGGTATAAGAATCCTGGTATCTCTCCTGAATACGAACTGCTGAAGTTGACGATAGCCAGAACAAAATGGTCTCAAATTCCTAAAATGTGCTACGTGTGGCGCATGTTGCTGCCAAGGTAGCAGGCCTGAAAACACCAACAAAATCAGCGAAGCGCTTGCCAAGGAAAGAAGGTGCAGAACTGCTTACCCTATCCCGCTGGAAGGCCGTTACAGTGCACTTGAAAAATGCTAGCTTGCCTTCATCGCCTGCCACCTGGAGGCATGGATCGCCTGAAAACGAAGTTTTTTGACCTGAATTTGAACGCGCGTCTTGTTCAGCGTCTTGCTGAGTGCTGACAAGTCTGCCTCAAACTCTGATGAAGACGTCGACCTTAGCTGCAAGTGCAGCGAAGCGGGGGGCCACAAACTAAAGCTTGGTTCGTCGACAATGCTCTGCCTCAATTTCTAGCTGATTTCTTTGCCCTTCGAGTGGACAAAATAATTTTCAAAAATCGCTCTGGGAAGCGACAATTTTAATGACGCGGAGGAAGTAGTTTCCTGAAAGTCCTTTGCACGAGTGTTTCTCTCAGGACTTGGTGTTTTCTTTGATTAGCTCCTTTGCCCTGTCCTCTGTGAGATTCAAAGTGTGTCCGCCGGATTGGTCTCACTTACTGGAGATATCGACATGAGCTGCAGTTTCTTCGTCAGCGAATTGCTGGTGATAGCCCTTCACTAGGCGCTGTACTGTGCAAGCACTGAAATTCAAGCTCGCGAAGCGCTTTTTCAGCTTTTCTATACCTCCCCGGGGTAAACAATCTTTGCCATCAGACAGCGGGAAGTAGACAGAAACTGTATTCTCCATCGCACTGAAATGCGAACATCCTGACCTATTTTACGGACTCGAGCGGAGGTTGCAGTGTTTTCTTGCGCTGACGGAAGTGTTCGTCGGCGGCAGCTCCGTCAAAACGACTCAAACGAACCGATCGCAACTTCTGTGATGGTTTGGGCTGCCATGTCGTCGAATGAAATGGTCAATGGTTATGTTCGGATGGTGAATCGGTGGTTCCATGCCGTGTGACAGGCAGAACACCAAAAACCAAGTGAGAAGATAAGCGCCAATTTTAACTTGGCGGACCAAGTACTTGAAAAATTCTACTTAGCCAGCATCGCCTGCCACTTGGAGGCATGCGGATCGCTTGAAAACGAGATTTCTTGACCTAAATTTGAACGCACGTCTTGTTCAGCGTATTGTTGAGTGCTGAAGAGTCTGCCTCAAACTCTGATGAAGAGGTAGACCTTAGCTACAAGTGCAGCGAGGGGGGGGGGGGGCACAAAAAAAAGCATGGTCCGTCGGCAATGCTCTGCCTCAATTTCTAGCTGATTCATTTGCCCTTGAAGTGGACAAAATAAATTTGAAAAATCGCTCTGGGACGCGACAATTTTAATGATGCGGAGGAAGTAAGTTATTTCTATAACTTAGAACCTTCCAAGTTGGAAGGCTGTCGGAGGGCGCATCCAAGATGTGCTAGAGCTGTTACCAGTTACTTGTAGAACGTCAGTTCGCGCGCTCAGTGTCATGCAATGTTATCGCATGAGCTGATTGTTTAGTAGCTAGTGGTGCCAGTGGACATTATATAGCGTAACTTGTGGTTTCGGTCTTTGACCACATGCTGGTGAGCTGATCTACTCACCTCCCACCGCTTAAGGAGGTGCATATGTGCCTTGATCCTTGAAGGGTGGTGGCGTTCCTACGGATGCGGAAAACTCGGCCTCTAGCCGAGTCTGACGCGAACCGTGAAATTTCTCTGCGGTTTCTTCGTCCTTTTTTTTACTGTAGATAAATATTTCCTTCTGCCTTTTTTTGTGCTGATGCAGTAATGTTTTTAATAATAAACTGAGAGAATTGCCATCAGGCGTATTCAGAAATAACCCGAAACTCGACTCCGTGTAAGTATTCCAACCAACGATCCACCAATGTCGGACTGCAGACTTCTAAAGAATGTATGGTCATCAGCATTCGAATGGCAGGCTGAACAAGAACTTGAATTAAGAATTATTTCACTTGTGCCGTGTGATCAGAGCAGCTGCTTGTTCACTTGTTGATTGTGTGTGACCGCTGCTCCATTCCACACCTCTATCACTCTCAAACTCATTGCTAGAGAGGCCAAGCAGCACATTCTGCCCTCGGAGAAGTGGTATTTCAGTTTCGCTCACGATGGCTGTCATTACCTATGCTGCCACAGCGCCACGATCGATTCCTAAAAATTATAACAAATTGAAGAGGAGGCATCACTCCATCATTCTGTGCATAAAAGCATTGTGTCCATAAACATTCAGCTGAGCAGTGTTATCACTAAGAGACCTTTTATTTTTGTCTCTATTACTTTGTCACACAGGCACCTGAGCTATAATAAACTTAGTGAGCTGCCGTCGGGTCTTTTCACATACAATCCTGTTGTTCGCAGTGTGTAAGTATTGTGAATGTGGATTGAGAAGCACAATGTTTTTAGGAGAAATCTCACTGTGCCGCTAAACTATGACGGACTCCAAAAAATTAAAAGCCGTATCCAGTTTTCCCAGTGAGCAAATCCGCTTTGCTCGATGGACAAGGTTAAGAACAAATTAATTTTTAGGAAGTGAGCTTGAGCACCGCTCGATAGTGTTAACCAACGGCCTTCCAACTTGCATGCACCCGTACTACGTTGTACTCACATTTCGTTCCGTTGGCCTGGGTAGCTACTTGCATGCCCATGTTTGCCATAGCTACCCAGGCCCTTTATATTGCGTTGTTTCTCAGTCGATTCTCTCTCTCTTCAACTCGTTCTCTCTTCAATAACCTCTCTTCAATAATCACAAGTAAGTCGTTTCGTTCGTCCTGGTCTTACTTCCTCCGTATACAAAAACTTCATGACTTTTGTTTGAAAGCTGCGCACAGCTCTGGAATTGTTCCGTTTGACTCGGAATAACACGTGTGGCATTGTCTAACCTGTTTACAAGCTATATACAAAGAAAAAAGCAACTCAGAAGAATGAGATTGAGTTTTTTCAGAGTCTTCGTCGCTCATGTCATTGTCACCTGACGACGCCGACTCCCCATCGCCAACAGTCGCTGCTTGCGCTCGCATTTCATTCAGATTCTTGTCACCTGCAGTGATGATCTGACGCTAGACTTTGGCTACGTCCTCTTCATCTGTAGAGCTGTGTACGAATCGGTGTCAACTATATTCAGTTGTTCCAACCCGCGACCTCCATTATGCCGTGAAACGAGTCGCACAAGCACATCCACACGCTTCGCATTTTCTCGCCAGGATAATCCTCCCAAGCAATCTTCAATGGCTTCGAGGAGGTCCCTGTGATTCCCCTTGGCGACAAAGGAGACGTCTGACTTGAGAGAGGCGAAGAAAGCCAGGCCATCGACATTCTGATCCTGAGTCTGCGCTGGTTGCACGACGACTGAAATGTTTCATCTTGCCGTGCGAGCGAAACAAATCTATGTTCTCACGCCGCGTATATCTATGGGGCCGCGCACCGCAAGTACGAGCCTGGCCAGTTTCCTTGGTTTCAGGGCAGCGAGTGCCGCGTGACTCCATGTTCCAGCCACGAGCTACACTTCGTCACTTTGTCAGTTTCGAGCAAGTAAGTGTTAGTTTTTTTCATATGACTCTTGAGTTTCTGTCGGCAACGTCCTCACACGCAGGGCGTCCGTGGAGAATCTGTTCGGGATCAACCAAACAAACCTCGAGATGGACGTGGGTTGTCGATGACAGCCTTTGGCACCGTTCGTTGAGCAGGTTCTTGCTCAAAAACACTGTTAAAAAGTCACGAAGTTTTTGTATACGGAGGAAGTAGTCATCCCGTCTCTAATAAATGTCGTTCCCAATAACTTGTTCCCGCTGTCCGTTGTAATGTCTAGAGAAGATGTCGTCAGTCATCCTTCTTCGGACCCAACATTGGCGCCCAATGTGGGGCTCGAACCCACAACCCTGAGATTAATAGTCTCATGCTCTACCGACTTAATCTCAGGGTCGTGGGTTCGAGCCCCACGTTGGGCGCCAATGTTAGGTCCGAAGAAGGACGACTGGCGACATATTCTCCAGACATTACAGCGGACAACGGGAGCAAGTAGGTGGGAACGACATTTATTATAGACGATGAGACAAGAGACCAAGACGAACGAACGACTACGTTGAAGAGTGAGATTATTGAAGAGAGAGATCGACTGAGAAACAATGCAATATAAAGAGCCTGGGTAGCTATGGCAAACATGGGCGCGCAAGTAGCTACCCAGGCCAACGGTACGTAAGGTGTGTATGACATAGTACAGGTGCATGCAGGCCGGCTAGAAAAGGTACGGGAGGAGGTACCTAACATAATTATATAGCGTGATCTAGTACTTTTGTCCCTGTCTTTGCTCATTATTTAATTTTCTCCTTTTAGCACCAATATACTGATTGCAATAAACAGAACCAGCTGAAGGGATATTGTACAAAGGTTTTTTTGAAATGTCACAATTTGTTTTACCCTAAAGTCCGGTCAGTGCGTCCCGCCAAACCTCCTTTCGTGGTCGCTCTGGGGAGGCAGGGTGGTTGCGTTGTGAGGTAGTTTGTACTGGGGTCATACACACACACACACACACACACACACACACACACACACACACACACACACACACACACACACACGCGAAAACACAAACACGCGTGCACACACAAACACGCGCGCACACACACACACACACCACCCCCCCCCCACACACACACACCTATGCAGCGACTGTCGCAGTGAAGCTACAACGGCTTAGTGAAGGAAAATTCTATGTTGTTCATGCTGGCTGCAGCGCTAGGCACTGCAGTTCACCTGGCTCGCCATACAAGCAAAATGCGTCGTAACCCCAATGTTGCAAAAACAGAGAAAACTGTACGACTTCAGTCGCACCAGACCAGACGACCTTCACTTATATGGTCTTAAACGAGAGTTATCGATTCCATAATTCAGGGTGGAACGCACTGGCCAGACGGCGTTCCCTTATATGGTCGTACACGAGAGTTATCTATTCCGTAATTCATGGTGGAACGCACTCGCGAGACGGGGCGCTCAGGGGGTGCTTTACCGTGCTAAGCATCCTATTGCTACCAGATTCAGCCTTATGTTCTCTGTGCTGCCCTGATGAGTCCACAAAGGACGAAATTGTTCTGTCCACAGATTGAGTATATATGATTGACCCAACAGCAGGCCTGTTCCTATAACGGGTCGGGTTGGGTGTTCTCCCTATAACGGGTCGGTTTGAGTCGCATATATGCAGGGGCGTAGCAGCTGCTCCGGCCGGTCCTGCTTTGGCCGGACCACTTTTTCGCCCGACCACAACCACCATAGTAAAACAAAGCTAAAAGTGCCCAGAATGCAGGATTTTGCACCCTAATTTCCAAAAAATTCAGGGGGGACATCCCCCCGGACCCCCTCTGGCCAGACCACCGCCAACGGCGGTGCTACGCGCCTGAATATGCCAGCCCAGAGTGCACAGTGCTAGAGGTGCACATCGTATGCCTCACACAAATAATAGCTTTATAGCTAGCTCAGAGCACACAGCCTCATGTACACTCTGTGCTTCAAATATAGCAAAAAGCAGATGTAGAAGGTCAACTAAAGGAGAGCTGAAGATCAGTGGATCAACTAAAGGTTATGGCTACGCAATGCATATCAGAATATTCCCAAAATCTAAACAATAAATGCCGTTGCGCTCCACGTGCAGTGCAGAATCTACACATATACAGAGTAAACACGCATGTGTGTATTCAGGAAGGAGACCAAACACCTACTGTTTCGAAACAAGGAGTTACTTTGTTTGGTTTCTGGAAGCCGTGGAAGTTGACCGTCCTTCTCGGTCTCGTGCGTCAATGGGTGCCTCGGTTGGTGCGTTCCTGACATGACTACCAGCAAAGGAGCCGGCTGGCGAGTCGTCGGTGTCGGCAATGTCGTACAAGCGGAAGAAATTCTCTCGACACAAAGTAGCTACGCTCCCCCTATGCCACTGCGTCATCAGTGCCGCTGTGCCGGCTGCTCCGCCGAGGTTTACAGCTTTCTTGTAGTAAACGACGTCTCCTACATCATGCTCAAATGCAAATTCCTCTGGCGTCCATGCGAGCTCGAGCGGGTATGCTGCTCCTGTCTCTGGTGCTGTCGGGTGTGGCTCCTGATGGCCTAAAGGAATGTTCTCATCGTCGACCTCATCCTGATCGTCATTTGCTTCATCGGCCAAGTAACGTTAGTTCAGGTTTCCCTGACACTGGAGAAATTCCTTCTCGTCTGTGGTCAGATTACATCTCATACGGAGTTTTCCCGAGTAGGCTTCTGTGGGCGCGGTTGTTGTAGCTGTAGTAAAACAGCGGCAGCCGATCAGGCCAATTTGTATCTTCCAGCAGGTCACGTCTTAGGAATTGCGCCAGTGTCTGGTTGAGGCGCTCTACCCGGCCTTGACTGCCGGCCTAGACTTTGTGGGTGATACGGTTGGCCGTTGATCTTCTGTGCCCGCATCTCGTCCATGAGTGCCGACAAATCACCATTGTTGAATTCTTTCTCGTTGTCCGTTTGGAGAATTCTTGGAGGTCCGTACAAGTACATCGCAAAAGGATCACGCGGCACACTTCCTTCGCAGTCTTGGCTCTGATGGCACCACCCATCGCGAATCGGCTGTGACAGTCCACAATATTACAGACGTATTGGAAGCCTCGACTCGCTGGGAGCTTTTTCAAGTCCATTTGCCAGTGACTGTTTGGGTAAGTGGCCTTTATTGTTCTTCGTACCAACGTTGGCTTAGGCAAAGGATCCTGTTGGACACAGTGCTTAAATTTGAGTGTTTTGCGCACCCGTTGCAGTACTGTCTCTCGGATGATAGGATAATACGAACACCATAAGGATTCATTCGTCTCGGGTCCCCGATGATCAATACTATGTTCTTCTGCAATCTTGCTGATCAAATTCCTCCCTTGAGATGCATTTCCTGTGCGCAACGTTTAGCTCGTTTGACTTGTACTAGAGCTCGCCATACTCGTAGAAGTAGCTCTCAATAATGTTCTTGATACGTTGTTCATTAAGACTTCCATAGTTTCCATCTTCTATCAGCTGTTTCATTAGCCTCGCTGCTCCCCATGCTTTGTTCAGAGCTCTTGCCTTGCAAACTAGTATACACTCATCTAGGCCTGCCCAAAACGTTTCTGCATTTCGATCTTTTGTCTTTGATTTTACCCTGCTCGTTTTCCCTACTGCAATTCCACTGCCCTCCGCCTCCATCATGCTCTCCCCCTGTTCTTCCATATCCATCTTCGCTTCAGTATAATAGTAATAGTAGTCTTGGCATAACCCATCCCTCATCTCTTTCACAAGATCAATAGTTCCTTCCATTGCCTCTTTTCGTGTGAATGCAAAATTGAGTCACGGGTCATGGGGTCAATGAGGATTTCCTGGTTCTTTCATTTCCGTTATACAAGGTCATGGACCCCTTGCACTCAGAAGACCCAGTCATGACGTCATGAGTGCACTTGCATGACTTCCTTTTTTGGTCAAATCCGCCCTGCTATATGGAGCCGACCCGTTATAGGGGCCGACACGTTATAGGGGCCGACCTGTTATAGGGACCCACATATATCCTCTATAATGGTCTGTGTTGAAATTTTGAGCCCCTGATGAGAAGGGAACAAGAAGGTTTGATTCAAATGATTTTTGCTGTGTTCTTTCGGACTGATGTGGATGTTGTGTTCTTTCAGACAAATGTGAATGGCGTGGAGGCATAGACTTCATTAGAGACTCCATTCGGCCAATGTGCATTTGTTTTCTTTGCAATTTGCTTTTGCGACGAAATTTCTAGAAGCAAAATCTCTCTCGGAGAAGGTCCTCGTGGAAATCGGAAGAAACTGGGATAATTTAGGAACTGGTCTCAAAGAATTCGGAAATCTTTTGCATATGTGAAGCGCAGAAGGGGCCACGATCTTAATTGATGCGAATGTAGTACGCACTGTGAAGTCATAAACTCATGATCAACTTGTGGTTTTTACCAATAGTTTGCATGCGCTGACCCCAAAACACGGGGAATCTCCAAGTTCAGCTACCTTTGAAGTTTGAAGAGCTTTGGAGAGTGTCCTAAAATTCGGAGAGGGTATAAGAACTGTTCTGGAACTATTCCGAGAGGATTTAAAAGCGCACCCTAAAGGCAAGTTGACGAAGTGGCCACTTTTATTTCATTAAGAAACCTGATAAAAATTGAAAAAGAAGAAATCACATGGAAACGAGTTATGAAGCAACTATGTTATTTCTTCTATTTTAATTATAATTATTGGCTCAGTATCCGAGTTAAATTTGCACACTTGATAATAATGATAATCATTACTTGGAAGAGTAAATGAAAACTTATACTGAAAGGCCTGATTACACTTGATGATTGCTTATCTTTCATACTATTTGCTCTACATCCAGTTATTTCTACAGGAACCATTTCCGCCTGAATCACCATTTGTGTGAACTGGTAGCCCCAAGGGACTACATGAAAGCTGTCTACGACTTCCGCCCAAGCATAGAGGTCAAGAACTACATCAAAGAAAGTAAGTTGAGTGGATTCTTCTGAAAATCACGCTGTGTGCTCATGCTGTGTGCTCATGCTGTGTGCTAATTACAATGGAACTCGCGTACACATACACCTGCTTGGTAGTGTCCTTTTTTTGTCGCACGGATTTCCTCCCATGCGGCCCAGCACATACAAATGTGCACGGACACGAGGTACTCTATATGCCAGTCGACGTACACCAGTTGAAGCGGTCGCTACCGTCACTGAATCTATACTTGCAATTTCTGTGGATCTAGATGAGCTTGGGCTGTTCATTCATGCAACAAAGACTGTAACTCTCAACACCTATGTGTTTTAACCAACAGCGCCTGTGTTTGGAAAAAAGTCGAGAAAATAGCGATTTGAATTCCGCGCCAAAAAAATACGAAGTGGAGTGCGATGCTAGTTGCTGTTCTTGTTCTCCTCGGTCGACAGGACTGTTCTCGATGCATTTCTTTGTAGCAAGTTTATTTGTTCAATGTTGTATTCCATGTTGCGCTGAGTCGCGTAAAACCTATCGTCATTGATGTATCGAAGGAAGAGCCTAATGCGGAAGAAGACTGCATCCTCGCGCTGCATGCGCAGGATGATCTTTTTGTGGATTTGCGTCGGTAACAGAAGTAAGACGATGATGGCTACAGCGACGAGTCATTTGAGGGCGACACTTTCATCGAGCGTAAATTAATTGATGCTGGCAGTCCCACAAGCTGCAGGGACGAGAAGTTCTACTCTGATGATAAGTTTGGGCGGGTGTATTTTTATTTGTAACATTGTAAAACAGCTGGCCAACATTTTCAAATAGGGGTTTCAACTGCCAGATCATAACGTGAAGCAACTTAGAAGAATGTGTATGTGTGCAAAGTGTATCGGGGAATGCAAGGAGGGCGATATTGCAGGCTCGAATCCCATGTTAGGCCAAGCCGAAGAATCTACTTCATGATCCTCCCTTTTTTAAAGTAAAATTGGAGAGGGAGAGCGGATTTATATTTCTATCATTGTAAAAGACAGCTGGCCACCGTATTGAAATAGGGCTTTCAACTGCCAGATCATAACGTGAAGCAACTAGGAGGACTGTGTCTGCATGCAAAGTGTATCGAGGGAATGCATGCAGGGCGATAGTGCGGTTCGAATCCCATCTTAGGCCAAGCCAGGAAATACAATGTCATGTACTGCATGGTCATTCTGTTTTTTTCAGAAAGGAATGGGGAGGGTGGGGTATTTTTTTATTTCTATCATTGTATTGCAAAAAACTTTCCATCAGTTCGATTAGTAAGCATGATGACCTAGGCAAAAGGGCATAGTGAGGGCCCTGAGCTTTGAGGCTCTCTTGTTGTTTTCTTTCTATTGCTTTGTGCGCTTTGTGCGAGTTTTTGTAGGTAGGGTGTTGTACCTTTGCCAAGATCTAACATACTTGTCCCAGTGTTGGCACTAAAATGGCCATGTTATGTGAGCCGCACCACACTGAAAGGTGGCTTGGCGTTTTGCCAGCAAATCGGGAGAATCACCAAAACGTCACTGTTGGCAAAATTCTACTCGAGCGCGATCGCAAAACTATTTCACTTTCAAGTTTGCTAGCGGAGAGTAGAAGAATGAGGACTTTTTTATTTTTGTGCACCACTTCTTTTGTGTTCCCTCTTTTATCCTTGTGGGGCTTTCTCATCACAACCAGAGATCATAAGGGGCCGTCCGTAAATATCGATGTTTTTTTAGAGACGATATTGGTGCGTCTGGGGGGGGGGGGGGGGAGGGGGTTTGAGCCATGTGCGTCTTTTCGAGCATCAGAAAAATATCGATGTAAATATCTGAAGTTTCGCCGATCCCTGCACGCGGACGTCTAAATGGCTATACAAGAAATGTGAAACCAGCTTCCGTTCGCGGAGCTAAAACTCGCGACACACAATCAACAAAATCAAAAATTGGAAGCTGTACGCCCATGGCGAATTTCAAGAGCAAAAGAATGAGCTATTGATTGTGGAAATCGGCCGAACGATGCCTGCAGGAGACCTTTTTCAAGACGTAGAGGCAGTGCGAACAAACACGGACGAACTCCACAAAAGTTTCCAGTCTTCACTGTCTGAACAAGGATTTGAAAAAATTCAAGCCCGAGCGTAGCCGCTTTGGCTACACCAGTACACGATGAGTTGCACTTTGAACGCTTTTTGTACGATGAGTTGTAAAGTCATAATGCTCTCCTTCTCAATTAGACCATATAAATACTGCAAACTTGCCATCTTGGGTTCATATTATTGACAAAAAAAGGAAAAAAATGAGCATCCAAAAATATAGATTCCATGATCTAGATGTACATGTGCGTCTTCTGGGGGGGGAGGGGGGGGGGGGTCAAGGGAGAGAAGCACCAATATCGTCTCTGAAAAAACATCGATATTTACGGACGGCCCCTAATGGAGCTTTCTATAAAATGTGGAGGAAAGCAGGATGACATTCTGTATCCGTCTGCACAACGGTTTGGGCTAAACAATGAGTTTAGGGTCGCTACGTTCAACGTACGAGGACTCACTGCGCCGTGGAAGAGGCACTCGCTCGAACGAGACCTGAAGCGGTATCGAGTTGATGTTTGTGCAGTCCAAGAAACAAAAATTTGTGAAGCAAATTGTACCGTGTTACCGCTGGGGTACCGGCTCATAACGTTCGCTCAGGACCATGGATATCAGCGAGGAGTAGGCATTGTCGTCGCTCCTCGTCTGGACCCGTTCCTGTCAAGATACTGGAGCGTTGGTGAGAGAATTGGTGTTGCGGAATTTGTTTTCCCTTGCAACAAAAATAATAGTAATTGTAAACCAACTCACAACACGGTACGTGTCATAAGTGCATATGGCCCTACCACTGTTTCCTGTGAAGGGAACCCATCGCTGAGAGAGGAGTTCTACAGCGCCTTGTCGACTGTATGGAAAGATACAACAAGAAGCGGAGTTCTATGCTTCATCGCTGGAGACTTCAACAGCAAAGTTGGAATTCGTAAGAGAGCTGATGAAAGTAAATGGCTAGGCTCCTTCAGCAGAGGCGCCAGAAATGATAACGGACAACACATGTTGGAATGGTCAATTGAAAATGATGCCTTCTTGGCCAATACAGCTTTTCAACACCGCCAGAGCCACCGCACTACATGGACGGGTTGGCGGCGACCTGGGAGTGGAGAAGTTGGCCCACAACCTGTCTACAACCAGATCGATTTTGTTCTTTGCCGTACGCAACAGAAGCCACTGCTGTGTAATGCACGTAGCTATGCAGGCTGCGAGACACCAACGGACCACAGAATAGTCATTGCCACACTGCAGCTTCGTGCGTTATTTCCAATTTGGCGGAAGGGAAACCAGACAACTAAGCGTAGCTTCAACACCTCGATGTTTACTCAGAACCCCCAGGTCTGTAGTCAATTCCAGGAGGAGGTAGACAAAGCACTGGCAACGCAACAAACGCAGCAGGGAACTGTTTCAGCTGAGGCACGTTTCGGAGGTGTGAGGGATGCACTGGAGTCGGCTGCAACAAAAACAGTTGGATATAAAAAGAGAGCCGAATGTAGCCGAAAAGCCCATGATCCTGGCATAGCCCTTCTATCAGCACAACAAAAAGAACTGCGGGTAAAAATCGACTCGACAAAATGCCCAGACGGGAGGAAATCACTGAAACGCGATCGGAATCAGATATTACACCAGATACGAGATATCGCCGGGAACAACTCTGAAGCCCGCCTGGACTCCTTCGCTCAAGAAGTAGAGAAGCTGAAAAACAATGCAAGGGTCTTTCAAGCAGCCTCTTTGCTGCGGCGGCAGTCTCCCGCGCCATTGGTTGTTCAGGACGCTCTTGGACGGATAATCGCCAACGATAAAGAAGCGGCAGAGAAGGTAGCTGACCACTTCAGGCAGCAGTTTCGGGATCCATCTGCAGTAAATGATATTCTGAGACCGCTGGGCTCGAAGTATCTTGAAGATAGGATCAGCGCTGCGGAGGTTGCCCTGGCAATTAGATTACTCAAATCGCAGAGGGCAGCTGGGCCGGATGGCATCCCCGGGGACCTGTTCAAGCATGCTGGTGAGAGGGTCGCACATGAGATCGCTGCCATTCTAAACCAATGTTTTGCGGATGGCAGTGGAATGGATCTTGGATGTGGAACACTAATCCCGCTCCCGAAACCAGGGAAACCCAGAGGGCCGCTAACCAGTATCAGGCCAATAATACTCTTGAACTCTATACGCAAATGCCTGTCAACAATCACACTTCGCAGGATTATGCCAAAGATTGACTCCTACCTATCTCCAACCCAGAGCGCTTCCCGTCCGAGTCGGAGTACTGCGGATATTGTCTGTTGTGGCCGGTGGCTGGCAGCCAAGGCTGAACGTTTCAAGTGGCAATGTACGGTCCTCGGAATGGATATGAGCAAGGCGTTCGACACAGTGCAGCGGGGAAGATTGGTGGAGGTAATGAAACAAATAGTTAACACAGATTAGGTACGAATGGTGGAGATGTTGTTGCACAACACAAGGCTAAGAGTGAAGATAAAGAATGCGCTCTCGGCAGAATTTCCAACATCAATAGGCATCCCACAAGGAGATAGTTTGTCGCCGGTGCTATTCACCTGTTATCTCGAAGCGACAATGCGTTGCCTGCGTCCCAGGATATCGCCAAGACCTGCCATACTGAATATTGGAGGGACAGCCTACACGACTGTCGATATGTCCATACCTTGCGAAACAGCATACATGGACGACGTTAACCTGTACTCCACGGACCGTCAACATCTAGCGTGCGCACTAACAGAGGCAGAGGTAGTTTTCAAAGAGTGGAACCTCAACATCAACCCTACCAAGACCGAGTGGACCCATCTATACCAAGAAGAGGCTGTTGCAAGAAGAGGTGAGGAACGATGGAGGTCCACCCGGTTGCTTGGTTCACTGTACGGAGTCACAGAAGACCTCAAGCGCCGGCGCCAGCAAGCCGCAGCTGCCTTCAACACACTTGTCAACCTGTGGATGCGGAGACAAGTTATCTCTGAAGCAACCCGCCTGAGGTTGTTTGATACATTTGTGCTATCTATTTTGACCTACAACTGTGGCGTGTGGGTGCTTTCATCCCGGGATGCTACAGCAATGGATGCGTTCCACAGAAAGCAGCTCCGCCGTCTATTAGGGATATCTTACCCGGAAATTATCACCAACACAGACCTATATACCCGCTGCAATGCCGAGCCAATATCCGTACTAAGCAGAAGAGCACGGTGGAAACTGTTTGGTCATATTCTACGCCTCCCTGAAGCAACTCCAGCGCAGGTGAGCATGACAGCGTATTTCCAGCGACAGAATCGGGGCTGGCTCGGACGCCCGCGCATCACCCTACCAGTGGTGATAGACAACGAATTAGCCAAGGCAACGTCCATGCGTCTCCGGAGTCTGAAGGACCTGGAGACACTGCGTTTGGTGGCTCGGAACAGGCAATCATTCAACGATATAATCGCACAGGTCACATTGTAGAGTGCAGATCACCTAGTGCTTTCAACAATAATAACGTACTTCCACATTATGGGAATTTGGTATAACCCCACCCCGTCATTGTTGAATATTCGATAATAGCGTGGATTTCCCCAACAATATATTTTCATTTTTTGTTATCCTCTCCCATGCCGTTGTACATAAGCGGCTTGCCGCGGATATGTCAATACTGTGCGCCCTACCCTCTTTCACAAGGAAGACTAGTATATTCGTAGTAGTTGTGTTTCTCATCGTGGCCACAACTAGAACGGCTAGTATAGCTGTGGGGAGACGTCTACAAGCCTTCCGACCATCATTCAGACAAGTTGCCTAGTGAGTTGGCCCTTGCTGCAATGTTTCACTTTGTTTCGGCCACCTTCTAATGTTCATGAAGTGACGCACTGGATTCCTAATTTTCCTCATTTCAAGGAATTAGTGCCACACAATGAAGCGATGCATTGACTCTACCTGCTAGCATTCCGTCCTGTGGCGCATTCTACCACTATCCTTGCTGGGAAGGAGAATGACTTGGACTTGTAGGACGGACAAAGAAATCAGTGCAGCTTTCAACCGATGTGCAGTCTGCGGGACCTAGGTGCACGGGCAGAACACCACTAGAGCTCAATCTCTGGCAAAATACTATGAGCTACATGAAAGCATTAATTCCCGTAGCTATGCAAAGAGACGTTCCTTCAGCAACGTCTGGCGCTAACCAGGGTCCACACAGCTTTAATTCCGTGTTTGTTTGTTTGTTTGTGCCATCGGCATGCCTGGCGCTATCCCGTACCTGTCCCATACCGTACCATCAAAGACAGCTGGCCACAATATTCAAAGAGGACTGTCAAATGCAAGATCATAACGTGAAGCAACTTGGAAGAATGAGTATGTATGCGAAGTGTATTGGGGAAATGCATGCAGGGCGATAGTGCGGGTTCGAATCCCAGGTTATGTCTTGATAAAATAGGAGAAATGAATATTTGTAACATCCCTATGCTTTCTTGCCTATTACTTCATTGCTGATTGATGTGTGTGCTTGTGATTTGTTGCAGACCTATCTGAATCCTTCTGTCACAGTAGCTGTGAAAGCATACCAAAGAATGAGCCTACCTGCGAGAGTGGTTGCATCGGGACTGTCTATAATTATACTTGTGTTGGTAAGTTGTCCAGTGTATACAAGGACCTTGTTGTTCTGTGCAAGGACAACAGATATAATCTCAATGCATAATTACATAGGGCCTGCCGGCTCAGAACCCAAAACAGGCTGGCTAGGGAAGCTCTTAGATTTTGCTGAGATCTTGAGCAGGTATACTTTGGTGTCCACGGCAACCATGGGGAAGGATTTGTTGCTGGAGATTTGTTCACGCCTACACCTAAAAAAGGCCCAAAAAATAAGAATTAATTCAAAAAGAGAAGAAAACACATTAGAACGAGTTATGCAGCAACTATCCACGACTGTAACAAGATGATAAAGAGTCAGAATGTGCGATACTAGGGTACACAACTGACAGGCTACTGAGACACTTGCTGTATACCTCGTTCTCATGTGTTTCTTCTCTTTTTTACATTTAATACTGGCTCAGTATCTTTCTCTCTATCTTGCATAATCCTACTTGCTAATCGTTTGTTTGCAGTTATGAAAAGCCACTAACGTTCCCATCCTCTGTGCCTTGTTCTCGTCATCCAATCACTTTCTTGATGCTGTTTTTGGTGCTTATGCTGATGCTGATGCCGCTTGTAATGCTACTGCCGCACAACAAACTCCAGTGCCTACACCAGGTGAGATTGAAATCATTGAATTCAACTTGCCTGCGTCATACTTCCTCTGCATCAACTAAATGTGTGTTTATCTTTTAAGTGCCTGTTAGCCATCATTCTTAGAAACTGGGAACATTTACATGGGAAACTGGATCCAAGACCCTAGAGAAGAAACTGACATCTTTCATAACTTGCTTTTGATCATGGCTTAAACCTGTTTGCTCAAAACATCTCCTACATCGAGTAACACATTCAAAGATGTTCTAGCTTCCATGATACCTTCACACGTGATGCCAGTTTGCGAAGCCGGTGCACCTATTCCACACATTATGGTTTCTTTACTGGAAATCCTGTACACAGCAGCTACATTTCCGCCAGGGTCTGTAATCGAGTGGCTCTGCCAGCCATGACTCGTTACAGCCTCTGTCAGCTATGGCGTCACTGTTATTGCAGTAACCATGACCAGTTACAAACTCTGTCCACCACGACTTGTTACAAATTCCGTCAACCATGACCTTTTACAAACTCTGTCAACCATGACTCGTCACAAACTCTGTGAACCATTACTCGTTACAATGTACATGTACAGCCTCTGTCAACCATGACTGGTTACATGCCAGCTCAGTAATTAGGCTAAGGCCTGTGGAGAATCCATAAATAAATATACAAAGTATGTAGATACACAGTCTATGCATGCCTGGTCACACGTCTCTAGCTAGGTGATAATGAACTGCTGTAAGACAAGGGAATAAAACCAGGGAGTAAATAAACTATTATTTTTTATGAGTCAGATTTCTTCGTTATAGTAAGTTCTGTTGGGGCTGTAAGGCCTCATATGTGTTATATGCTCATACATATGCTCATACATAGTGGGACCATTGTTATTAGGCTAGGGCCTGTTTTGGACTTCCCACTCTAAATAAAGAATACAAACAAACAAACAAACATGCCTGAAGACTGCAAGATCGTGAACATATGTGCCCGGATTAGCGAAAATCATCAATGGTGTTTGATATCAAATTCATCAAAAAGTGACGTTGAAACAAACATTTAAACTAGTGATATTTCTTCGTTATTGCAAGTGGAACACTAATCCCGCTCCCGAAACCAGGGAAACCCAGAGGGCCGCTAACCAGTATCAGGCCAATAATACTCTTGAACTCTATACGCAAATGCCTGTCAACAATCACACTTCGCAGGATTATGCCAAAGATTGACTCCTACCTATCTCCAACCCAGAGCGCTTCCCGTCCGGGTCGGAGTACCGCGGATATTGTCTGGTGTGGCCGGTGGCTGGCAGCCAAGGCTGAACGTTTCAAGTGGCAATGTACGGTCCTCGGAATGGATATGAGCAAGGCGTTCGACACAGTGCAGCGGGGAAGATTGGTGGAGGTAATGAAACAAATAGTTAACACAGATGAGGTACGAATGGTGGAGATGTTGTTGCACAACACAAGGCTAAGAGTGAAGATAAAGAATGCGCTCTCGGCAGAATTTCCAACAGCAATAGGCATCCCACAAGGAGATAGTTTGTCGCCGGTGCTATTCACCTGTTATCTCGAAGCGACAATGCGTTGCCTGCGTCCCAGGATATCGCCAAGACCTGCCATACTGAATATTGGAGGGACAGCCTACACGACTGTCGATATGTCCATACCTTGCGAAACAGCATACATGGACGACGTTAACCTGTACTCCACGGACCGTCAACATCTAGCGTGCGCACTAACAGAGGCAGAGGTAGTGTTCAAAGAGTGGAACCTCAACATCAACCCTACCAAGACCGAGTGGACCCATCTATACCAAGAAGAGGATGTTGCAAGAAGAAGTGAGGAACGATGGAGGTCCACCCGGTTGCTTGGTTCACTGTACGGAGTCACAGAAGACCTCAAGCGCCGGCGCCAGCAAGCCGCAGCTGCCTTCAACACACTTGTCAACCTGTGGATGCGGAGACAAGTTATCTCTGAAGCAACCCGCCTGAGGTTGTTTGATGCATTTGTGCTATCTATTTTGACCTACAACTGCGGCGTGTGGGTGCTTTCATCCCGGGATGCTACAGCAATGGATGCGTTCCACAGAAAGCAGCTCTGCCGTCTATTAGGGATATCTTACCCGGAAATTATCTCCAACACAGACCTATATGCCCGCTGCAATGCCGAGCCAATATCCGTACTAAGCAGAAGAGCACGGTGGAAACTGTTTGGTCATACTCTACGCCTCCCTGAAGCAACTCCAGCACAGGTGAGCATGACAGCGTATTTCCAGCGACAGAATCGGGGCTGGCTCGGACGCCTGTGCATCACCCTACCAGTGGTGATAGACAACGAATTAGCTAAGGCAACGTCCATGCGTCTCCGGAGTCTGAAGGACCTGGAGACACTGCGTTTGGTGGCTCGGAACAGGCAATCATTCAACGATATAATCGCACAGGTCACATTGTAGAGTGCAGATCACCTAGTGCTTTCAACAATAATAACGTACTTCCACATTATGGGAATTTGGTATAACCCCACACCCGTCATTGTTGAATATTCGATAATAGCGTGGATTTCCCCAACAATAATTATATTTTCATTGTTTGCTATCCTCTCCCATGCCGTTGTACATAAGTGGCTTGCCGCGGATATGTCAATACTACTACTACTACTATTGCAAGTGGTTGTGGGGCTGTAAAGCCTCCTATGTGTTATTTGCGGATATGATAGTACAGTTGTGGCAAGTGAAATGCGACACTTGGCATAAGGGACTGCACCATGCAGTCTGCAGCCCCTGCCGCCCTGCATACGTACAGTACATGTGTTACATACAACTTTTAAATATCTGTCTGATGATAAAACTCGTACTCATCACAGTCAAGGTTCAAAAGGTGCTGGCAAAAATGAATTGGGATTGGATACCAATACTCCTTACGTGTACCATTTGTGAACTGCGTGTATCTACGCTGCGACCTTTCGATCTGTTCGGGATGCATACGGCTCTATAGTACAAATTAGGTGCAGTGCATTACATCATTGGTGTCCATTTGTGGCGTTGTCCCCTATGGCAAGTGTCGGATTTCACTTGCCACGACTGTATATCCTCTTTTTAACATGTGGATTTTGGACAACTTATTGGCGATTCGTTGTGATAATGTGCACAGCTATAATTCTAACGAGTTCTTAAAATTGGCTGATTTACGTGTTCCAAAGATAACGGCTATCATTTCAACTATAAATCTCCGTGCTTGCTAGCAACACTAGATTTATACATTTCTGTAGAACTTTTTCTCTTTCAACGAGGAGATTTCTCCCCGTCACCTCGTTAGATTTAGCACTTGGTTATATAAAAGGCTTTTACAGTGACATACCTTACAGTTCCACCTCCAAATATGGGAATAATCACGTTACATAATAATAGTGGTATGCTAGATGTGAATAAAAATTATTGTTAAAATTGAGCTCTCTGATTTGTTTTGTCTCTCAGAGGTGAATAAGACCAATCCAGCCTTCGCTGAATATAATGACACAATGGTTGCTGTCTACCTCCCAGCCGAAAAGCCTGGCTACTCAAGACAGCTGGTGGGGATTGGACAACATGGTTCGGTGACTGTTACGCAGGAATACCAAAATTCTCACGTTGGTGAGCTTAGCTATGTGTTGCTCAACCCAGGCTATGAGAGGTACGGTTTCCAATATGTTCGTGGCAGCGATGGTCGTAGGTCACCTGTCGGTGCCGAGTTCTCAGTGGGTAAGTACTTTAAGGTAGCAGCCTGGTCGTAAATTTCATATGGAATTCAATTGACCGTAACTTTGGTGTCTCTCAATGCATTTGAGTAAAATTTGCACCACACACTCCTGCCCCTATGCTGGCCCTCTGGACATGATTTCAAAGTTCTTGCGCCTCACTGACAGACTTTCCAGGTCGGAAAAACTCAAAATTCTGGCATAACGCCACGGTGTGCGAGCCAGCCAGGAGCCAAAAAATGCATTTACAATTGTTTTCACATTTTCTTGCCCATTCTGTCCGTGCGCGGGATCCAAACCTAAAAAAGTCCAGAAGCAGCCATGGGTGGTGGGATAAGACCCTTCAACGTGGCCCTGGAATCTGTCACAACGGCAGGAGTGGGCGTTCTCCCACACACTCCCACAGACCCAAGTCAATTTGTGAATTTTTTAGGTTTAGGGCGTGCTACGAGGCCGTACCTTTGATACAACATCCAGTGCTGGGACCTCCACAGCAAGCCATTTCCAAACCGAACCCAGGATACCCTCTAAAATCGGCAAAGACTACCACTCACGTTCCACTACTGCCTAGTACCGAATCCTACCTGACTTCTTGATACGACTAAAACTTGCCAAAGTCACTAAATCAACGTCAACTACAATAATCAAGCCACATCTCTGCAACGTCACGAGGGTGCTGGCAAAAATCCGTGCAGCCCAATACGTGGCTAAAAACGTGATTTTTTGGACTGGGAGCAAAATTCTGCACACTTTCGCGTGTTTCCATGATACGACAAGTTGCGCACGGTCTGCTCACATTCAAATACAGTGCTGAAAACAATTGGCAGCATGCAACAAAAAAACGTTCCTTCCAAGGGCACATTTTCGGCAATAACCCTTGAACGGCTGGTCAGATCGAAACAAAATATTCAGAGAATTTGCAGCTGTTCATGCTCTTTCAACTGATGTAGCATTCGATATGAATTTACAAATTCGATTTTTCAGGGATTTTACGACCAGGCTGCCACCTTAAGGAGTACAAAGAGGACAACTGATGATTTTGCAATACCGGTCTACTTTTGATTATTCAAGTAGCATTTACAACAATCATTCCTCTTGTACTTTGAGGTACTATGTAATTGCAACCTATGCAGAATCGAGAAGATCACCATACTGAACAATGTCAGGAACACGAAGAGCCTGAACAAAAGAAGGGAACCAGTATCAAAATGCCACTACAAAAACAAATATCACATTAAAAAACTTCACACCTAGGGTCACAAAGTGGAACAAGTTAGTAGCCAGTGGAAGGATTTTTTTAGTTGCATGTCTATGAAAGTGCACATGCCTACATAGAATGGAAGGGAACAAGAACAGCAACAGCAAGAGAACATAGGGGACTACAAAGGGCGTGGAGGCGATATACAGATGTGTCAGTGAGGTGAAGTGCGCTCTCCAAATCAATGATCTCGGGATGAAGGCACACATCACACGTCACGGGGGAGAGGAGAGAAGAAAGACCGTGTGTGAAAGAGTGAGAGCCTCAGAGCCCGTGAATAATGGAGAGAGAGAGAGAGAAAGAGATGAAGGAGGGAGAGAGAGATGGGGAGGATGAGTGAGGGAGGGTGATTGGATTGAGAGTGTGAGTGGCAGATTAGTTCAGGAAGCTATGGCAATGGACCTGCAGATGTTTTTTTGCAGTGGGGGGGGGGGGGGGGCAAGACGGAGAACTGAAATCGTAGCTGTTGCCAGGCAGAGTAGCGTGCAGTCACTGGATCAGCGAGAAAGGGCCACCAAGAGGAGTGCTCTGTGCAGATGTGTGCATACCAGTTGAGTGATAGTGGTGGCTCGCACGACATTTGTTCGAGTTCTACCTCGCTGTTCCAGCTTCGGACAGTTTCTCGATGCGATTCTCTGATGCGCTTGCTATTAGCCAGCTTAAAGGTGGCAAACCGTGCACCACAGGTATTGTGTACACCTTGACGTACTTTCACCATGCAATTACCGGCAAAGATCCGGTATGGTGCTCTGAAGTAATAGAGAGGTTCTGCTATACGTGAAACGCAGAGAAATCACATAGGCGCGGGAACTCTCTTCGCGTTCCTGTAACGTAAAGAAAAGCTGTTCTGCTCTACGTTCACGTAGAGAAATCACGTGAAATGAGTACTGGGACTTTCCCCTTCCATATTTGGCAGTTTTCTGCCTGCAGTTGATCGATACCCGGCAGATCCATACGCATTTTCTCTGCGTGTGCCACAACGTAGAGAACCTCATTTCCGCATAGAAATCTGTAGCAAAACACGCGAAGCCGTAGACTGTAACCCAGACACCTGCTCTCTACGTGATTTCTCTACGTTTCACGTATAGCAGAACCTCCCTATATACCCACAAAGCAAAGTGTGAATGGTATTCAAGATGACCAAGTGGAGGCACGACTTGAACCCAGACTATCCTGCCTGTTTCAGATTGGATATTGTACTACACTTTTATTTTTTATTTTTTTATTTCACCTTCCCGTGGCCAGGGTGTATAGGCCAATATGGAGGGAGGGGGGGGGGGGGCTGATAGCCAGCCATGGCAGTAAGCAAAAACAATGCAAAAAATATGACAAATTACAAGAGGCAATACCCTACACAGGGGGAGGCAAAGAGAAACAAATGTGAATGAAGAATTAGCAGATATTAGAACTCAAGCTTCATGTTGAACTTGATTTAGCTAAAAAGACGATTTTACTGATGCAGTTAGGCCCAGCCAGAGAGAATAGGCAGCGAAAACGGAGATCTGGTGTAATCTGATGTTTGGGCTTTAGGCAAAGTGCAGGAAATGCGTGCAGGACGAGCGGGAAGAAAACAATTATAGTTTCACAAATGTAGCGGGGCCTTGTCGAGACGAATAGAATGAACAACAATACACAGTTTTCGATCGGCTTGACTGGAGATGGGGAAGGTGTTAAACACAGATCATACAGCTCAGCAAAAGGAAAGTATGATGGTTTGCGGGAAAGGACTTTCAGTATCCTCCTATTGTGGACTTCCAGGGTACTCCTCATAGATTTACTTAGTAGTAACATGGCCCAGCTGGACAAGGTTCAGCAACGTGCCCTGCATTTCCTGGGACCTGGAACCATCCTCCAAAGTCTCCAGCTTCGTCGGATGGTGGCAGCCCTGTCATACTTGTTCAAGCTGCACTACATGCCAGGGCCTCCCCAGGCAAAGGCCATGCTGCCACCAACCAAGCCCCCTGCCGTAGCTAGCATGTGCACACGGCAAAAACGTCAGACGCACCATGCCTTTCAGCTGAAGTGGACACCCCCTCGCACAGCCCCTGACTACCTCCTGCGATCCTTCCCCTTCTTCGCCATCACACCCTGGAACAACCTGCCTGCGGACCTCCTGCTTCACGAGCCTCATTCAAGACGCCTCCAAACCTTCAAGGTCAACGTATGTAAGGATCTAATCCGAAAGAGATGGCTGTGGTCCACACAGTACCTGTGACGATGATATTGAGACCCATTTAGTATTTACCTCTCTACTACTACTTGCTTGTTATGATTATTGTTCTCTTTCTTCTTTTTCCCTTCTGGTTTAGTCATTACACGTATTTATTATTTGGTGCAATACTAGCGCCCCTTTCTCGCACCAAATTATTATTTTTGCTACCTGACCATACAACCCCCCCTTTTTTCGATGCCAGGTTGCATCGCTAACGCCGAGACCCCTGGTCGGTCGAGTTGCTCCCTGTACATCGGCACGTCGTCCCTACATCCCCTGTGTCTTGTCTTGTGTTTGTCTCCACATGTCTCTTTGTAGGGCTGTGTTCTAAATAAAAAAATAAATAAAAATAAAAAAAATAAGAAAGGTTTGCTCCCCACACCGGAGCTCCCGCTATTCCGCCGACTTTACTTGACACTTAACTAAGTAAAGTCGGCGGAATAGCGCGAGCTCAGGTGTGGGGAGCAAACCTTTCTTACAAAATCATCGCCGAAGTCGCAACCACTACTTCGTAAAAAAGAAAAAGAAAAGGATGACCAGGCAGTTGAGCAATAGAGAAAATGGGGAGAATATAGCAGTGATAAAAAAGGCGAAGGCATTCAAGCAGTAGGTGGGAGCAGTGAGACACGAGGTAGCATACAGCTTTACTGACTTTGCTACAGATATAGTCGACATGTCTACTGAACGATAAGTATCACTGTTACTCTGTTAGCCGGTTTGACAAGTTAGATAGGTGTGTCCAAATCTCTCTCTCTATCTATCTCTCCATCCATCTCTCCATCTATCTGTCTCTGTCTGTCTATCTCTCTCTCTCTCTCTCTCTCTCTCTCTCTCTCTCTCTCTCTCTCTCTCTCTCTCTCTCTCTCTGTCTCTGTGTGTGTGTGTCTCTCTCTCTGTCTCTCTCTGTCTGTCTCTCTCTCTCTCTCTCTCTCTCTCTCTCTCTCTCTCTCTCTCTCTCTCTCTCTCTCTCTCTCTCTCTCTCTCTCTCTCTCTCTCTCGACCACACGCACACTCTTTCTCTTTCTCTCTATCTTGCATAATCCTGCTTGCTAATCGTTTGTGTGCAGTTATGACATGCCACTAACGTTCCCATACTCTGTGCCTTGTGCTTGTCCTCCAAACACTTTCTTCATGCTGTTTTTGGTGCTGATCCTGATGCTAATGCCATTTCTTAAAATGCTACTGTCGCACAACAAACTCCAGTACCTACACCAGGTGAGATTGAAGTCATTGAATTCAACTTGCCTGCATCATACTTCCTATGCATCAACTAAATGTGTGTTTATCTTTTAAGTGCCTGTAAGCCGTCAATCTTAAACTGGAAACATTTAAGTGGAAAACTGGATCCAAGACCCTAAGAGAAGGAACTGTCATCTTTCAAAACTTGCCGTTGATCATGGCCGTGTTTGTCAAACATCTCCTACATCGAGTAGCATATTCGAAGATTTTCATTAGCTTCAGTTTGCGGAGCCACGGCACGCATTCCAGACATATGGTTTCTTTTCTGGATATCCTGTACACAGCAGCTGCTTTTCCGCGAGGGTGTGTATGCGAGGAGCTCTGCCC